CGTGCTCTTCACGTTGAGCGGAATTGCAAAAATAATTATTCATGGTTAGAGCTGATATCGCAGAGTGAGCTTGTGAGGTCTGTGTGTGAGCTGAGTTTGAGTGAGTGTGCTGATTAGTTTCTTGTTTGTAGTGTTCGTTTATTGTAGATAGTCATTGTTGACCACCTACCCGAGACCTACTAGGCGAGCGCGAATGATTGGGTTGATTGTTGTGCGGCCTGGGGTTCACATGTGCGGCGTGTGCCGAATAATGTTGGTGCTCATCTGCTGAGCGCTGTCTGGGTTGCTCTCTCATATGCGTAGGTAGAAGATGAGCGTTCGAGTGAGTCGGAGAAGAAGCACCGGGCCGATGCAGTGATGTGTGGTGTCTTGTATTTCCACACTCTTTGCAAGCCCTCGTGGACTTGCACTCATTCTCATAATGAGGGCCTAAGCATCGTCGACAGCGGTTGCGAGCGTTGATAAAGTCCCATCGGCCCTGGATCGGTTGGTCATTGTACCGCGGGCAGGCGATGAGCTTGTGCCCTCTATGTCTGCAGTATGGGCAGGGCATATTATCTGCAATGGGAGCGACAGGAGCTGATGGTTGAGCCGAGTAAACCGGCCTAAGCGGAGCCGGCTGCGGGGTGCTATATTCGTGTCGACTTCTTGCCTGGTTAATTGGCCGAAATTGATGATGAGCGGGCTGACGAGGAGAAACTCGTGGAGAAGCAGGGGGGGTCCGCCTGCGGTATTGGTTATTCTGTGGGGAGTGCCGACTAACTTGTGAAGAGAGTGGGCTGGATCGCTCGGTCTCCACACAACGCGCGTGCTCTTCCAAGAAGGTGATTAAATTATTAAGAGTTGGCAGAGTCTGACGTGATCCATATTTACGCTCAAAGAGGGTCCGAAGCTCACCCTTAAGCTTTCGTACTACTATAGATACGAAAACGTAGTCACTATCCTTCATGGGCAAATCGAGGTTATTTAGGGCGCATTGCGCAGAAATGAGCGGAGTCAAGAAGAGTGTGCGGATATCAGAGCGCGTATGGATGTGTGGTAGCCCTAGTATGATGTCCACAAACCGGTCGATCAGGACGCGACGGTTTTCATATCGCCTGGTTAGAATATCCATGGCCACGGCGAAGTTCTCGTTGGTGAGCTGAAGATGAGATACCATACTGCGTGCCTCGCCTGAGAGGCACGAGAGCAGATAATGAAGCTTCACAGAATCCGAAATGGTTGTCATGTCATCAGTAAGACTCCTAAAGATGGCTATGAAGGAAGGCCAGTCTTCAATTTTAGAGCTGAACTTCGGCAGAGCAATTTTGGGCAGAACGTTAGCAGGTGTGGCTGACGTGGACGGATGAGCAGTCTCCGGAAGAGCTGAGGCCACCCTTAATTTCTCAAACGCAACTAGGATATCATTGTATTCTGAAATCGCCTTTTCATAATTCTTAGTATATGTGGCTTCGACGTCATCGGTGAGGTCCTCGTCATCCAGGATCTCGTAGAAGACGTTTTCCAATTTGCGCTTGTGTTCCTCTAGCTTGGCGTACTTAGCAGTAAAATCCGTTATACTGTACTTTTTCGTTTCCTTAGCTATCACCGCCAAGGCAATTTCCTTGAGCTGGTTGATTGCCTTTATCGCCTCACGAAAAATAGCTGCTTGAGATTTGGACGGCATTGTATGTAAATTACTATATAATTAAATAAGTGAGGAAAAAAAAGAGACGAGCAAAAAAAAATACAATCGAATTGTGAACCTCCTCCTTTTTTAGAAGTCGGTTAAAAAATAAATGTATGTGAGATTGTGGTATAAATGTTATAATATTATGTTATTGAGCCGAGCAACGGATAAGTGCGGAGCGAAGACTAAAGTGAGCAGAATATCTATATTATTATACTAACTATGTAAAAGTAATTTAAAAATTAACACTAAAAAATTTATAAGCTAAAACAATAATAATGCCTATTGAGAAGAAATAATACGGTACAATTAATATATATCTATAAACGCTGCACCAATTATAATACAATCTATAACACTGTACAAATACAAAACTATAACTTCGCTAATTATTACCTTTTAAATTAAAAAATAAAATATGTTAACACTTGCTTCTTTCTTACTAATGATCGAGACGCACGCCGTGTCCTTGACCTAGCTACGACTCAGCTGATCTAACTATAAAGCGCAGTATTGAGCCGATTGTTAATACTTTTCTATGAACTTTTATTATGTTTATTTATATTATTATGTTATTAGTTATATGTTTAAAAATGATGCAATCAAACACTTGTTGAAATACGAGACGTTTATTATGTTCGTAAGCGTTAGCTTATTACCTACGTAGCAATAGGAACAATGTATTGAGATGTGAAATATTTATATTTAAATGTTAATAATAAATGTTATGTATTAGTGAATTTCAATAGTTGGGCTGAGATTATATGATTATACACAAGAAGTTTTTATCTATTTATGAGATTTAAATATTTAGTTGAAAAAGAAATAAATAAATGTGGGTAACTTTATTCTCAAAACTGGGTGTGGTTGGGCTTATTTCCCGGGTTCAGGACACTGTTTATCCACAGGGGGTGGTTCAGAGGCCGAAGGACCAAAAAATGTATGTGAGGGTTAGCCAGCCCTAAAATTTGTAAGGGCTGGGACACCTCACATAGACGATGAGCTGAAGCGGGGGTTGGAGTTGTAAGGGAGAGAGATGTAAGGGTGTGCACTTACTTGGAATGTAGATGGGCGGATGATAGATGGATGGCGCTGGGTGAGTGGCACGCTCCTGAGCTGAATATACCTTTGCACGTATAGGTACACGTGCAACAAAGTTTTATATTATACGCTATATTCACTATCACTGTTCAATTGTCTGTATAGTTTACTTTAATAGAAGCCGGCCGGCAATATACTTATAATAATTCACACACGAGCAGATGAGCTGAAGGGTTTTACTTTTACATATATTTTCAATTTAACGACCCTTCTCGAACCGTGGACGACGCGTGACCATTTTCAAGTGGCGCGCATGCGACGCTCGCGCCGAATCAATGAGTAAGAGTGAGAAAGCAAATCAGGGAACCAATCGTCGCGCCCGAGTGGCGCGAACAGCGCTAGTTATTTATAAAAGTTTAGGTAATAAATTTTTAGAATTGATCATTACCGTTAACTTTACATTGTTTTTTAGAACCAATGTGTTTAGTGGAAAAAAATTGGAGATAATTTGGAAGAAGCAATAATTTAGAATGTCATTGTGAATACGTCTTAAGAATCGTTGGTGAAGTTTAGTGTGGGCCGAAATTTTGTCACTAAACTTGATGATTACACGCGTAAAGGGTTGACGTGAAACATGATGTGATGAGTTTTTGTTTAATTAAAAAAGACCGCAACATGCTTAAGGGAAGGTAGGACAAGAAAAACTTTTATTTTTGAATAAATATGTGCATTGTGCATTCTATGCAGGTAAAAGTAGTTTAGTCGTAGGGTCACGTGCTTTAAAGTTTTAAATTAATTTAAATTAAACATTAAATTGTGTTGTTGTATTGTTATTTGCCATTTATTATAATCGCGATACGATTGTTTATAGAATTTTCATATAAATTTAAAATAATACATTTTTGTTTAACTTTATTACACTTTCTGAGCCCCGTTAACCTGTCCCAGTGTTAGCTGTCTATGGTGAATTATAAGATACAATGGTTATAATAAAAATTTTCACATACATTTTTATTAAATTTATTATAAATACTTACATATGTACCTATATCTATTAGAATAAAAAAAACATCCAGTTTTAGGAAGCCAAGCATGCTTATTGCTTACTATGTCAAGTGGACTCTAGTAAAAATAATTCGAATTTATATGTAAGATATATTTTTTTTAAATCTGTCTTTGGATAAATGTATGTATAATGGTAGAGAGAATCAAGAAATAATAGACATTTTTGACTAATAAGTCACGTTAGGGATGTAATGATACCCCCCCAACGTGCATTCACCTTGTCGTGGTGGGGGGATCAGTAGTGCCCGGCAATCCACGGGGCGCGAAGCCAAGAAACGCACAGGGAGGTGGCCCATTTCGGTGGGCGGTGGGAGGTGGCCCTCTTCGGAGGGCGGTGTACCATGTGGGTTGCTCCTGGTACTTCTCTGATAGCAGAGTGGACCTTGGAGCGACCCTTCAGTGGTCTGCTTCAGGCCTGCCACCTGCCGTCGGGGCGTCGTATTTGAATGCGTAAGCTATCCTGCGATGCCCCATTAAGACGGGGGAAGGCTTTGTTGGGTTTTAGTGGGTAGTACTGGCTTTGCTGGTGAGTCCCACACCTCGTGCGTAAATGCATTACTCAACGATAAAAAAAAGGGATGTAATGATAAAATTTGTGTAAAATTACTTTATGTCATTCTAAATACCCTAAACATGTTTAATATTTTGATATTATGACAATTGAAACGAAAAAAAATAATAAAGCAGAACTAAAACTTTTGATAAATATTGTTTGGCGGTTTTTATTACCTTAGCTATTTGTCACGCAGAAAAAAGGTTGTTCGATAAGAAATCGAATTCACAACTTCCGGGGCAGTAGGCAGTTGTCAGAACCATTTCTCACAGCCAGTTTTTTTTTTCAACAATGGTTGAAGAATATATATGAAAAAATATATGAAAATGATTAATCAATATTATGATAATAATTATACAGGCCATGAAGATTAAACTTGTAATTTAAAATCTTTCTATTCTTTAACGATTGTAGAATGACATCTCGTCCAAGCCCTTAATAAAAATAAAGTTAAAAGTTGAAGTTTGAATCCAATTTACACAGTTATATTCACAATTAAAAACTGTATACATATTATGTATATTGTATACAAATAAATAACTATATACTTACCTATGGATAGATCAGACAGAAATAATTAATAAATAAATGCAAATGATGTTCAGATGAACAGTTTTTTTGTGTTTCAGATATTTTTGCCTCGTCATTATTATTCTGTGTTTAAACATAAAAATGGCCAATTTAGAGGAGACTAACACATTTAATCATATTGCTAGAGAAAGAAGGCAAGTCAATGCTCTGCCATTGGTTTATCCATATGGAGGAACTTATAAGGTAAACAATAATTTAAAAAAAATTAAATGCAAACACGCGCATTTGGCCAGCGTGGTGGACTGTGTCCTAATTCCACTGTCATTATATGAAGTTCCGTGCCCAGCTGTGAGGCATTAAAATTATAATACCTAAATTTATAAATAATAAATTTACTTTTATCTCGTCTATTTGTCAGTAGCTGTAGACGAGCTTTAATGTTATTAATAAAGAAAATTGGTAACAGCTGCTTTTTTATATAGATCGGTAAATAATATTTATGACACAATTTCAACTACTGTGCGAACACTAGTTTATATAAAGAGCGCTTTTTAGTTATGGATCAGAAATATATTTCATAGCCATTTGCATAAGCATAGATTATGAGGTGTAGTAACATGGCTACTTTTTATCCTATATTATTTGGTTACCATTGGACATTAGTCCACCAAAAGCTTGCGCGCTTGTGCGTATACGCGAAATTGGGATAGAAGTTGTTAAGAATTGAATAAAACGAGGGCTAGTTGTAGATTTATGCTACTAAGTAGTTAGTATGATAGAGATCTTGACATTCTGGATTCAAATCCCGGATTGGCACAAAAATTTAGTTATTGGTTTTTTCTTCAAGAAATTGTCAGTATCTGTTTGGACTTGAAAATTTGTACGAACAATATGCGTAACCTTCCGCCCTACATCTGTTCTCTATTCAGTCGATTCGAATGGTCATTTCACCGGACTATAAAACTTACCTATATACATATAATAAAGTATTATCGGTTAGGTAGGACAAAATATAAAAGTATATGTTAGTCAGCTAATTTTGTATTTATTTATATTTTCAGCTTCTAATTGGTTTTGCATCGCCAATTCCGACTGACGATTACATCAGTCTCCTGTTCGCTGCTAACTTTCAATATCAATACCTTCAATTCACAAATATATCTCAACTATCGAAATACTACTTCATCAACACAGTCTCGAGAGAACAAAGGGAAGCTGACCTAATAGCACGAAGGGATGAAAGGCTCATATTTTATAGAGCTGTGGCTAATATGATGCAAATGTGAGTATTATTAACCGACTTCCAAAAAGGAGGAGGCTATCAATTCATCAGAATCTTTTTTTTTTCTTTTTTTTATGTTTGTTCACCGACTACTCGAAGATGCCTGAACTGATTTGGATTTTTTTTTGTTTTTTAAAATTATAATATGGATTTAAAACAAAAAATATCTATCTCTCGGGAACAGTATATTTTTTGTTTGATAAAAAATATTTTTCCAGACTATAATCTATCTCTGTGCCAAGTTTTATACAAAACCGCTCAACCGTTCTGGCGTGAAAGAGTAACAAACATCCATACATACAAGCTTCCACATTTTTAATAAGTATTGATCGGAGTGTACCAAATTGCAAGTTAGATTTTGGAAAAAAGCAAAGAAATTTATTTATGAATTGCCTATATATGTTTTCATCTAGATGAAACCCAACAATAATCTCTAAAACTCCTCGTAATATAGGAAATAGATAAACATACCTTTGTCATTTGTTTTACCATGCAAGAAATATTATGTGAAGGCAAATCATTCTTACCAAAAGCTTCATCTACATGGAATATATTTTGTAGTACTCATTCTAAATAGAAACAGCTTATACTTTCATGTCACGCAAACGTTAAAGTTAACTTCTTTAGGTTGAATTTTGAAGAACCTTTTCAGAGTGCTCGTTTTTATTGCATAAGTAGATGGAAAGCTCAAAGTTTTTAAAGCTCTGCTATTGAAGTTGCGAAATGTTAATACAGTGGGCTTAAATAGTGGTTGAAGAATAGAAATCTAAAAATATATGGGGATGACATTATGTAACTCTAGTACCTGGGTGACCGAGTGTTTCTCGGAAAAGATATAAAAGTTGGGTTTATTTTTATGGAAGGACACCTATATACGTAGATAAACTTAAAAAGCAAAACCTTATCTAAATACAAAATTTGATACAAATCGTTAGAGCAGTTTTCGAGATGCATAAAATAAATATATACATTATATATAGGTATACATACTCGTATATACCAGAATTGTTCATTTCATGTTATAAGATAATGATTTTTGGCATTTCTATACATTTGTATTTCTTTTTCGATGTGTGTAGAATGACATATTGATGACAAAGACCAGAGTCTAAGCTCCCTTTCTTAATAATCTACATAAATAAGAATGGATGTTGGTAAGCGCATAACTCAAGAACGGCTGGACCGATTCGGCAAAAAAAAATTTCATATGTTCCTTAAGGTCCAAGGAAGGTTTTAATAAAGAGAAAAAATGAAAAATTAACGAAAATAAAAATTTATATGGCTAACGCTGGCTAATAACTATTTATATCTATTTAAAACGTACATTTTTTATCAATCCGCTGATACTTGCTATGCTACTTTAATAGGAAATAACATTATAGGAGCATCCTTACGTATCGAAGTTATAAAATTTTTTATATATGAAAAGAGAGGATAAGGATAATCTATCGATTTTTTAAAATGTTATAAATGTACTTACAATCTAAAACATGAGCTATCGATATTTAAACAACTGAGCGTGTCAAGAAAATATTATTTTTCGTTTTTTTAAATCTATTGTAACAATCTTTAGCTGCCCCAGAAATATCATTATTGTAAAAAATGAAGGAAAATAAGTTGTTAAATTTTTTTTCATAAAAATATGTAAAATGCAGTAAAAAATATACTATGTGTCTTACCTAATATATAAATTCTCGTGTCACAGTGTTTGTAAAAAAACTCCTCCGAAACGGCATGACCGATTCGTATGAAATTTTGTGTGTATATTCAGTAGGTCTGAGAATAGGACGTAAACTATTTTTCATACTCCTAAATGATAAGGGTTGTCCGCATTAAAAAATACATACAAAACTAAATTTGCACTCCAGATGAACCCAAGCGGAGCGAGAGTGAGTCGCTAGTAAATAAATATTATTCATACAGTTACTGAAATTACGGTCACATCGTAAAGTAAGAATTTTATACCTATTAATACCCCATTGATTTGCCATAAGATATCAACTATCTTTTCATTCATCTTTTCATTCATACAACGTAAAGAGTATATGCCAAAAATGACCAATCCTTTGTCATTGCGTAAACAAACACACAAACGAACAAACAAATTTTCAAGAAAATCTGCAATCTTTAATTATAAATAATAATTTAAATCTGCAATTACACAAGATAATTGTATCAGGAGTAAGAATTATTTTTCGAATGAATTCAACGTATTTAATAATATAAATAAGTACATAAAACTAATAAATCACAATAGGTAATGGTATGAACCTTCCGCCCCACTAGCCGCGGTCTTTTAATGTGTCTCTCGGGAATTTAGAGTGGATTCAGTTGAAAATCGAAAATTAAGCTCCGAAATTGCTTTACGTAGCAGATATACGTAAATGTATAGAGGAAGTGTTAAAAATATTTATTTTTTGTTATTGTTAATAGTAAAAATGTTACGCTTTAGTTCGTATTCTTCGGCTTTATTGAAAAAATATAATTTTTAGGAAACCAATTTCCTAACGCTAGAAAAACATGGTGGTGTGTCCTAAACGATTCCGGCCACGGCGGCCAATCTCATTGAGACTAGCCAACTGCGCAGGAGATATTTAGTGCACAAGTGTACGCGCAGACACAAGTGCACTCTCTATTCCTGTCACTCTCTAAACTTGGCCCGACCCGGGACTCGAACCCAGAACCTCCGGGTGTGCAACCGTACATGCTAGCCACTACACCACCGAGGCAGTTAAGAAGTTAGAAAATCATATACAGTATACAAATACCTACTTAATTTAATTAGGTTTTGTTTTATATTATGTAACAATATAATAAGCATTAAAGGTTTTAATATAAAACGTTATTAACATTTATCATTATTCACACATGGTAGAAGTGAAACTTAATATTAAATATTTGTCAGACAATAACAGCGGTTACCATGGTAACATGGCAATGTATTCTATCTCATTCTCTCGCCGGTTTAATCCTGTATATTTATGTGTTTGTCTCTTTTTAGTGTCGCATTTCTATTTCATTTCCATTTCAAATCACGGTTCTAAAAAAGTTTCACTTCAAAAAATCAGTTTCTTTAACTCATTATTAATTGATCAGAATTAATAATATTACGTTTTAATAAATAATATAATATTTATTTCTTATTTTTTGTTGTGCAATCTCTATAAATATATGCTTTAGCACTATACTACTTTACTTTATCGGAGTATAATTATTATATGCGATAGTTTGTATGTGTATGTTTGTTACTCCTTTATTGCCGAAATGGCTGGACGGCTTTGGATGAAACAAGTAGTTTAGTACACAGATTATATATAGAAGTCTGAAGTAGCACATAGGCTACTGTTTGTGTTAAAATTTACCAAAAACTGTATTTAATATTATCATAAGCTAATGTAAAATAAGCTTGATTCCCCATACAAACTTTTATCCCTATTTTCACCCCCTTAAGGGATGATTTCTGGGATAAAACTATCCTATGACCTTCCTAGGGTCTCAAACTATCTTTTTACTAGATTTCATCTAAATCAGTTTAGTAATTTTGGAGCTTATTCAGTACAAACAAACAAACAAAAAATCAAATCTTTCCTCTTTATATCATTAGTATAGATAAAAAAAAACACCAGCGAAAATAGTTTTAAAATTAAAAAATTTACACTAATACGAATTCCAACACAACTTAGTGTAATAAAATTGGTCGTGTTACAGGAGAGGCTTGGACGGACAGGATTGCGTCTTGCGGGCGATATGTGAAGCCGCACAATATCCCGTACACGAAGAGGCACTCGTTGGCGAGGTTTTGCATATATTGTTGACGTGAGCTCATTTTCATTACTTATAATTCTTATTTCGACTCAAACTACATTTTAGACTCAAACTAGACTTTATTTCAACTCAAACTAGATTTTAGACTATTTCTAACGTCATTCTCACAAATACATTTTAATTTTGAACAATCAAGAAAAGATATAAGAAAAATTGTGTTAAAAAGTTACCTATAAAATTCTGTCCATAATTACAGCAATAAAATATATATTTTTTATGTATTCATCAACTTACTTTAAAAAATACTACCGGAAAGCAGTTTCTTAGCTCTTTTAAGTTTTAATCAACTGTAATACGAACATACGAACATTCATTTTTATTTATATAATAATAATATATTTTATATAATAATATTTTAATTGCATAAAAGTATTATATATTTACATATTTTATTTTAATAAAAGTAAACCTATAGTTAGACTTATCTATCGATTAATGAAAGTAAGAAAGCAGTTACCTCAAATTGTTTCAAAAAAACCTGCAGAATTGATTTTTCGCATTATCTATGCAATAATATGAAAATGATTATGTTTATTCATTCTTACAAGTACATTAGATACGGTAGGCATATGAAATTTTGGCATGGAATTATATTTTGACAACGTTATATCGATTTCATGACCAGTAAAATGTATTTATATAATTAACACCTTAGTACAAACACATTAACTTACAGTAAATCAAATTACACAAATCATGTATAGAAATTTCATAAACATGATTAACGTGAGTAACTTAATCACGATCGACCAATACAACTAAACGAACAATCTGTCTTAAGATTAGAATCCCAGAGGACTGACATTAGTGATGTATAGTCAACTTGCTCTTGTTTTACTCATGTGTAGACTATTCCGTATGTGTTACTCCCGATCATAGTCTATATATCTGTGCACTTTTCACCTAAATTCGTTCAGTATTTTTAGCGTGAAAAAGTAACAAACGAACACTCAATTTTTTGCAATTATAGATTATATATATATATGCATTCGTTAGTTTATATATATATATATATATATATATATATATATATATATATATATATATATATATAAACTAACGAATGCATAAAATCGTCCCAACTTATAATTCTATACTTTAAAGTTAAGTATATATGTACATATACTGTCATCTTTTTCAACTACCTTTCGCTCGTGGCTTCGCATTCTACCAAATAGGACGGAACCTTGTGTGTTTGTGTGTCTTGATAAATAAATTCACTAATAAATACCTAATCATTCTGTGCTTGTTAGCTGACTTCATAATCACATTCAAAAATATTGCACCTTTAAAAGTGGCTTGTAAAAGTGTATACCACTAGCAAAACGTGACCTATAGTACCTACTCAGCCCTTTTTTCAACGTCTCACTGCTGGGTTTAGGTCTCCCTTCAATGCGAGAGGAATCTGGCTATAGTCCACCATACTGGTCAAGTCAGGTTGGCGGCCTTCATATGTCTTTAGAAATCTTGCTAGGTTTTCTTAGACATGAAAGCTTTTTCACGTACCTTCATATATACATAGATAAGTGATAATCATAGTAAAAATGATTCGCACATGAAAATATCAGAGGTGTAAGACCAGGGATTTGATTCCACTTCACTTAGCTTCCCAAACAAGCGCCAAACCATTGCTCTATCACTAACTTTACAACTACTAAAGTTTGTATACAGTTTTTAATTTGTCAGACTAAAAAATCGAATAACTCTACATCATTCAAATGAAATATAGTGCACTAAATAATTTAAAGTCGACAAAATATGTACATACGAGTATATTCAAATCCCACACTCAAAATAGCAACAGCCTAGAGCTTCACACAATTCCCTTACCATCAAACATGTGTATATTTTATCGCCTTTAGTTTGTGGCAGAATGGAGGCGTTAGAAGCACAATGCCCGTCTTTTAGTCTTAAAATGGATCTTGTTACCAGAAAATGTGAAATTTATGTATGATTTTGCTTTGCAGCGAATAAAATATTTGGTTTAATTGATAATTGAGATAATAATATTAGTTCTATTATTAATAATATAGTATAATAGTGGCGATTTACCCTCGCTGCTTATCAGCGGTTTCAGTATGTAGTATTAATAAGGACACACACACACACACACACACACACACACACACACACGTGTTATACAGCGACTCAACCTCGCTTCGCTCGGGTTCGTCGTTATGAAATTCGTATAATATTGTTAATACAAAAGTACTAAAATTGCGATTAAAAAATGTGAAGTGGAGGTAGAAGGGTGAAAAATACTTTACGACCTATTCTCATACCTACCAAATATACAAAAAAAGTAAGAGGAGTGACACCATAAACACCGTGACATGAGATATTTATATATTAGATAATAATAAAGAAATTATTTATTTTCTCATCACAAAAAGCCAATATATCAAGATTGTAACATCATAAATAAGCTTAACAAATAACAGTTATAGAAGGTTTTGTGAAAGACTGATCTCTGTACTAGGTCAAAAAGAATCTATATTATAGATCGCCAGGCACTTACCCTTATTTACAACTAGCGGCACACCCTCGCTTGGTTTCACCTCTAGGAAAACAAAAATAAACTTATCCCACGGAAACCGAACATTTTCCGGGATAAAAAGTAGCTTGTGTGTTATTCCAGGCTATAATCTATTTCTGTGCCAAATTTTATCCAGATCCGTTAAGCTGTTCTGGCGTGAAAGAGTAACAAACATCCATACATACTCAAAAACTTTCACATTTATAATATTTATACAGATTATAAGCTTAATATATTTAGTTAGTTAATTATATAATATAAATATATAGTGTAGACTTAAATTATATATGCATAGACACATACACACATTAAAAAAGCTCGAGTGCTTTTTAACTTTTTCGTACACTTTCAGTATATTCGCATTCCAAACGAAAAGTGACACCCCTTTTGTTGCAAACGGTTTCTACACCCCTCGCTCTCCAATGTATTTATGTATTTTCTTATCACACGTACCTATTTTTTTCTATGAAATATATCGTGTTCTTTTTGGGAATTGCATTATATAAAATGCCGCTTCGCGTAGGAATTGATATTTTGCCAGATATTCTATCACGCTTTATGACGTAGTGTCCAAATAAAAAGATTTTTAAGTAAATAGTATAAAAATATATATAAAAGATTGTTTTAAGTTGAATGTTGATAGTGACAATGTGATAAGTCTAGCATTGATATTACTTATAGAAAACTAAAAAATATATATAATAATATATAGTTTTGTTGGCGTTTAGTGGGTAGTACTGGCTTTTCTAGCCGGTGAGTCCCAAATAACCACCTGTATGTCTGCAGGTATGCGTAAATGCGTTTCCCAAAATTAAAAAAGAATACGTCCCTAGCTGCTAAATGTAGTACTACAAAGCACATGGTTTGGATCAAATCGTCCTACAAATAAATTGGTAGGATTTCTCAGATAGTCTATGTGTTACTCCAAATTCTAGTCTAACTGTGTATTAAATTTTATCCAAATACGTCCAGCCGTTTCGGCACGATGTAGTAACAGACATACACACACATATATATATGTATGTACATATATATATGTACATAGTAAAATACATAGTAATTGTACATAGAAAATAATATTACAGGCCAGACTACGGGCATTCACCGTTCGAAGAGAACGACCCGGATTGGGAGGAAGCTATGTCAACGTACAAGGATGCCGCCACCGCCGGCCGCCAGATGTTTGACTGTGGCTACATATACAGCGGCTGTCCGCAAGGACAGGGTGTACTCGACTTTATTACTACGCTTAGAGATGAATAAATTTAACTTATGGTGTGTGTTTTTGTTTTCATTTTCTTGCATTTTGATATTGATACAAAATATTGATATATAATACATATTTTTAATTTTATAGTTTAATTTCAGTTGTATGTATTAACTTATTATTATTTTTAAAAACTAAACTTGCACCTTGTAATTAAATGTTACTGACGTGATATAAAAAAAACATGTTGTGATAACCTATAATTAAAAGAACATTTATAAAATTGTTAGCATACGAGTACCAATGCGTTTTCAATGTATCTTGTGTTGGTTATCTTTAAATAAATAAATAAAAAAATAAGTTTAAAAGTAAACATTTCTCTGATAAGAGTGCATTTTATGAAATAATGAGGAACTGCACGGTATAAAGTAAGGACGTACTAATAAATAAATAAAAAAGGAAGCGCAATAAGTGAAAAAACCATGTTATGTACAGATTAAGTAGCTTTTATTTTTTGTAAGTCAATGAATATGATACACTCACTGATTTATAGGAGTACTTAAGTAACAACAAAAATTAATTCAGTAAAAAAACATACTATCTCCTATGATAGAGTATAAGATATATCCGTACATATACATATGTCGATGTTTTACGTGAGCTCAGGTATCGATGTACGCATAAAATTGTAATTGCACAATACTTATGTATTTAATTGTATTTTGACAATTAAATACATAAGTAATGTGTACATAACATTTTTATTGTACATTAAAGTATTAGACAGATTGAAAAACTTCATCTGGGACTTTATATTGTTTGTGCCATTTTTTATTTCGAGTATCATGTTGTACGAATTGAAAAGTCCCTATTGTCTCTACACACTCTATACATAAAAATCAAATGCCGTTCGTTAGTCTCGCTAAAACTCAAAAACGACTGGACCGATTTTAGTATTATTTTTTTGTTTTTGTTGGGGGTGGTTTAAGTAAAAAAAAATTGGAAAAATTCAAAAGAATAGCTGGAAAATCTAAAAGTTGATGACAATCACTACTTCGGATTACTTTCAATAGATGGCGTTAGCAGCGGATCTATCATCTATAATAATGCGTTCTATCAAGTTTAAGTTGGAAAAAAATAATATATAGGTATATTATATAGTCTGTCTATTCTACACTTACCGTTAAAACGTATCTAGGAATGAATCCGAGTGAAGAGAGGATAAGTTGCTAGTTTTTAATAAAATGTGTGACATAAGTTACTTTTTATTTTTCCACTACGATATCTCGGACTAAAACATTATGTAGTCAACCAAAAAAAGGTCAAAAATAAAAATAGTAGCGTGATTTTGCTGTTGATGTCGCTTACTTTCTTCAAACTCTTGTACTTTAACAAGAAAAAATTATATATGTATTATTTAAATTAATTTACAATCTTTGTTGTAAATTTATTGATTTTTTTTAATTTTTATTTATTAACGTTTATTTAATTATAACTCAGTATACAAATTGTCATTTGTATACTGTTAATCTCGCCGCGACCGCGGACACGCCGGCGTTACAGTTAACAATAGATTTCTTAGAAATTTAATTAATTTCTTAGAAATTTACCTGGAGGTGATTATTTATATTATTTTAAAACATTATTGTTTGGCTTTTCTTAGTTCTATGACACTATGAATATTATGTATGGTCACGATATACATTATGATAGATTTAATATGATAATAAGTTAATATCTAACATAAAATTATTAACTGGTTTGATGCAAAAATCATCAAATTTTCTAATAATAGCATTGTGTTAGTAATAATATTGCTATTTTGTATATTTTTTAAGAGTATGTACTATAAAATGTCGTAAATAACTTTGTTGTATGGAACATCACTTCAGTAAATTAAGTGCGTCTCATACCCTAGGCACGCCCCAACACTCCTGAAGGTCGCCGCAGACTGTACTTTGAAGTTAAACTTTCCAGATACTTTGCAGTAGTGAACTTGATCGACGACGCACGAAGTTTTTTTTAATAATTATAGTTTTTTTATGTATTTGTCATAATACAGGGTTTTTTGGTCTTTAATTCACAAAACTTTTTTATCTGTATCTTATGTTACTTTTTGTTGTCCCTTTCTTAATGTCAAACGGCTGGGCACGGGCCTCCCTTCAATACGAGCGGGATTTACTTCTAGTAAATTAAAAAAAAAAAACACGAAGCTTTATCGAATCCAGGACTAACGTATGACTAACGCCATAATAATCTCTATTAATTTATATACTTAGTTTTTGCCAACGGTTTCGTTTGCGTTGTAAGCAGGGCGGGATTCAAGAGTAGCCCATGTCCGATCTCAGGATGCAATCTATGTTCTTGCCAAATTTTATCAAAATCTATTCAGCGGTTTAAGCATAAACGTAACAGAGTTACTGTTACACTTATAATATTAGTATAGGTTAAATTTAAAAGTTCTCATTCATTCTTTTATTTCATGTCTACAAAGATCCACTGTAGCTGATGCAAGGTTTGCTATAGAGTTTTATGGCGTACAAGATTTGATATATTGAATTTATAAAAATAAAATAATATCGAAATATAATAATGAATTTCGTCATAATCCATACTAATATTATAAATGTGAAAGCGTGTTTTTTTGTCTTTCTTTTACGTCGCAACGGATTGACGGATTGCCGTGATTTTTGTGTGGAGATAGTTGAAGGGCTGGAGAGTGACATAGGCTACTTTTTGCTGATCAGAATTACTTGAAAGTTGGTATTCATGCTCTTCAATACAATTAAATAAATAAGTGTTCTAATCTAGAGGATTAGTTTAAGCGCGAGCGAAGCCGCCGTTCTGCTACTATTAAATAAAAATAACATTCGCATAATATATTATTATTTAGTAAATATCGATATTGCTTATCATTTTTAGTTAATCATAAAAACAAATTGTTGGTAGTAAATATCTATTTATGTATAAATAGACAAAGACAGAGTTCAGTACCTTTTTCTCCTCTGTTTGTCAACCGATTAGTTTATAATCCCGACTTATGTGGTGGACCCCTCATTATTTTCCTAGGCGAAATATATTTTTTAAACCATAAAACAAACTAACAAACACGACCCACGGGTGTTGTCACCAAAAGTTTGCTCCAGGCTATATGAAATGAGCAGGAATCGAACACGTTACCACTTTTATAGAAGATAGTTCAGAAACTGCCAATGTTCATAAAACAATTTTAGGCGTCATTCATTAATCATTATGGTCATTGTGATTGCATTACGAGTATCGCGACCAAACATCCCGGGAGTGAATGTGAACAATCAGCTTGGGATTAAATGGTTTTGGTCCAATCGCTTATTGGAAGAGCGTATTCATTTTGTAAGCTGTCATTAGCTATCGAGGCATATAGCGTAAATAGGATAACTCACAGAAATCCCTTATAATTAATATTGACTATTGACGACTTCAATTCGTTTAGGATTTATCTATACTAATATTATATAGAGGCAGAGTTTGTTTGTTTGTTTGTTTGTTTGTATAAAAGCGCTAATCTCAAGAACTACTAATTTACTAATTCGATTCAATAAAATATTCTTGCCTTAGATAACCCGTTTATTGAGGAAGGCTAAAGGCTATATATTGTTATGGTACTACTCAAGGGACCTTAGCAGCAATATAATATATAATCTATCCATTCCATACTAACCGTTAAAACGTACCTAGGGACGAACTCGAGTGAAGCAAGGGTGAGCCGCTAGTGTAAAAATTATGCAGTTAGAAAAAAGTAATTAATATTCTTGAGATAATGGCGATGCATAGTAAAGAGGTCCCGATGCACCTTTCTATTTCTAGTAGTAACTCACCTCGCTTCGCTCGGGTTGATTCCCCATACAAACTTTCATTCCCATTTTCACCCTCCGAAGAGATGATTTCTGGAATAAAAAAAATCCTATGTCCATTCCAGGCTCTCAAACTATCCTCTTACCAAATTTCATCTAAATGGGTCCAGCAGTATTTGAGTTTATTCGTTACAAACATACAAAAATACAAAACTTTCCTTTTTATAATACATAGCAGTGTAGATTCTCCACTTTCTGGTTGCAACAATATTGAATTAAAACTAATATAGTTATGTATGTTGTATGTTATATAGGTATGTTATAATATTAATGCATGATTAAACAGACTGACAGTGGTAGTCCAGTGGTAACGCGCTCGACTGGGAAAACAAGCGAAGCGGGTCAACAAATCCCGGGTCTCGCATGTTTGATGTTTTGCATTGCGAATCATTTCCAACATATTTATCACTTATCTTACGGTGAAGGAAAATATCGTGAGGAAACCTGTATGTCTGAGAGAACCTAGCAAGTTTTCGAAAGACGAAGACGACGACGAGAACTCCGCCAACCCGTACTTGGCCAGCGTAGTGGACTATGACCTTTTTTTTTTTAACGTTGGGAAATGCATTTACGCACGACGTGTGGGACTCACCGGCGTAATACAGCCAGTACTACCCACTAAAACCCAACAAACGTTCCCCCGTCTTAATGGGGCGTCGCAGGATCGCTTACGCATTCTACTACGACGCCCCGACGGCAAGTCTGCCGAAGCAGACCACCACAACCATGGGGTTGCTCCAAGGTCCACTCTTCTATCAGAGAAGCAACCCGCAAGGTACACCACCCCCCGAAGAGGGCCACCTCCCACCGCCCACCGAAGTGGGCAACCTCCCTGTGCGTTTCTTAGCTTCGCGCCCGGTTGAATTGCCGGGCACTACTGAGCCCTCCCACCACGACAAGGTGAACGCACGCTGGGGGGGGGGGGTAGTGGACTATGACCTGTGTCATAGTCCACTACGCTGTGAGAAGTTAAAAAGACCTGAATACGTATGTACATACAAACTGACTAACAAAAATAAAACTGTAGATTTAGTTTCCACTTCTTACTAAATATATATCCAAAAAATATTAAACACATATTTTTTAGCAATTATAGCCGTTATAATTTTACTTCATGAATTTTATTTAGAGGTAAATAAAAATATACAAGATTTTTTTTATTACATGTAATATTAGAGATCAGTATAGGGTAAAACTTCTAACATTGAAAAGGGACACGCGTTGATAGATAGCTCACATTCGTCGTCGGTGATGCTGTGCCATTTGTCCGTCGTTGATGATTGTTGCCTAAAATAACAAAGAAAGATAAATTAAATTTTATCTCAATAGCCCTTTTGAATTTGGAAATTTCACATATATACCATGACGATAAAATATCATTTTCTTTTTAGGTTATTAGACCTATTGAGATTAATAGGACCCAGTTATGCAAAAAAACAGCCATGTGCCAACAGAGTTATAAGCATTTTTCTGTCGATAGTTGCACTTGGGTTACGTTTTGTTTTTCTGGTTATTTTAAAATTGAACAATATTTTTATAAGTATTGTTTATTTTTTATATTTATTTTATTTTTTATAATAAAATGCTTAAAACTCTGTTGGTACTTTTACGCACATGGCTGTTTTTTGCATAACTGGGTCCAATTATAAATATGTTAGTTTGTTGGTTGCAGATAATTTTACCAGTTTTACTTTGGTATCGATAGTATTATAATAATCCAGTATTTTTATGTAAAAGTAAGTGAAAATGAAATCATTACCTGAACACCATTTTAAGAATTTTATAATATATTCCCTTTGGATCGTTCATTTGGTTAATCTCGCATATTGTTCGGCGAACACAATGTGAGCCGTTTAAGCCGTTTCTGAAAATAATAACCCATTAAATTAAAAATAATATAATATACGTCAAAATATATATTTTTGGTTCCCTATTTTCTTTCCTCCTTTATTTGTTTATTTATGGCTTATGTTCTAAGGATTTTATAGATGACAAGAAGCGATTTTTTTGCTTTCATAGGTTTAGATAGCGCACATGAATGAATTTGCATGTGTCTTATACAGGTTTAAAAAAATAACAATATTAGATGTTGAATCTACTGCTGATATTGAGTCTTATCAAAGTTATAAGTGATTCAAATTTGTCAAAGCTACGAGTAAATATAACGCGATGATAAAAAATAGTACAAATTCCTTGTATGATATGCAAAAAAATGTATATAGTATATACAAAAAGCATAATGGATTAAATTCTTATATTTGGTAAAATACATTTCTGGGTATTCAATATTTAGTAGCATTTCCAGCAAGCTCATTTCCAGAACACACATGCGTGTTAAAATAATTTGTCAATTTATCTTAAACTAGTGACCTCCTTGCTCCTTGCTAGGTGCTTAAAAGTATCCTATGTGTTACTCAAGGTCTTAAATTTCTTTCATATCCGTCCAACCGTTTCGTATGAAGAAGTAACAAATATACACACATACAAACATACAAAAAGTTATATACTTACTTATTTAATAGCATCTCCATGTTTTGATATACGCTTCGTCTGCTCAAGTGACGGTAAGGATGGAAGGAGTCAGGGGGATCATCCCAGTTCATCCGGAAGCCGAGCGCTTGTGCGAATATCTGGTTCCATGGAACCATGTTCGCTTTAAAATTGAAGCGTACCTTGAACGTAAAATATCTTAATAATAAACCTTTCTGCGTTCTATTTCAGGTTTTTTTTTTAAGTTATGATATATTCAGTTATTTAAAATAATTTTAGGTATAAGTTGGAAAAAGAAAGAAAAATATTATACAAATCAAGGCTAAATTTTATGGCAATAATACGTAGTAAAAAGTAGCAAGAGTGGTAACAATAAAGAGAAAAATTCAAATGAAAATCATAAACACATCATATTTAAAACTAAAATTCACATATATACTCGTATATACTCGTATATATATATATATATATATATATATATATATATATATATATATAATACTAGCAAGTTTAAATTGATATAAATACTAAATAGTCATTAGCGAGCATTAGCTATATAGATTTTTTTTTGTGAATTTTTCCGATGTTTTAATGGTTATACTGCTATTCGGGGCGGAGACAAATCCAACAAATCAAAGATCATAAAAATTGGTCCAACCATTCTTGAATTATAAATAAACTTTCTTTTTTATATATATATACTACTATATCGTTTTATATATAGATATAATATAAAAATTAAAGCTACTTACGAAAAAATGTGATATATTTCTAAAACTTAAATATCTTCTCGATCTTTGCACGTTATCACTAGCATCACTAATGTCAATGAACATAAAAACTATAGAACACACATAAACCACTAAAATTATTTGGCAAATTTTGTCCATTATAAATGCTTATTTGACATTCCTGTAATTTTTATAATTATATATAAAAGATCATATTCTCTCTTTATTTACACATTTTTTGTCTCTTTTCTATCAATTTTTCCTTCATTGAAGTAATGTAGCGTTTTTAAATCTTCTGAGCACTGAAACAAAAGGATTTCGTTATGACACCAATACATTATTATTGTAAACTCACCTCATTTAATGTAACAAGTAATATGACAAGTTGGCGTGTCAGTTTGTGCGTTGAAATTCTTTCGTAGACTTTGTATTAAAACGTATAAATACTATTTCAAATTTTGATTATATGGTTTTTATGTTATTTATAATATACATATGTAACAGTTTGTGAATGTACCGGCTTTACCTCGTCTAAGCTCTTCACACAGTACTACATTTACTATTTTGGAAGCATATAGAAATAAGCCTTTCTTACCGCCAAAAAAAAATCATCTATGCAAAAATCATGAGGATTTGTTTCCTCATAAATATTGAAATTTAACATATAATAAATATATAGTTTTGATATGATATAAAAAAATGGTTAGGAACAGACAACACCATACGCAGTAATATGTCATGATCACAGAGTTACGGTACTCATGACATACAAAGATGTTTGATTTTTGATTAGAACTATTATCTGGGGCTAACGGCATATAGTCTAGTTTTGGGGAACTAAGACACCGTAAGAGCCGTTAGTAAATTTTTTTGTAACAACATGATCTTTTGAATCAATTACCTTAAACTTACCTTATACTTAGACCTTTACATAATTATTTTCTAAATAATCCTTTTAAAATAGTACTAATAATATAATAATAATAAATTTCTTTATTGTTTGTACAATGTACATTCAAACTCGACGACCCTACTTGCTGTTCCAGCGGTCGTGGGTTTGAGTCCCGCTGAGGGAATTCATTTGTGTGATGAGCACGAATGTTTGTACTCCATGTCATGGATCACTGTCATGGATCTTTATATTTATTTATATTTATAACTAGTATTGCCCGCGGCTCCGCCCGCGTTCAGATGACCAAAAACCAAATTCTTAGGTCTTACATATTAGTATACTCTTACATTGCAGTTTTTCTATTTTTTCTCAGAAATGAGACATTTTCCCGCGTTAAATGTATCCTATGTGTTGACCCGGATAACCAGCTATCATTATACCAAATTTCATCAAAATCTGTCCAGTGGTTTTCTCGTGATGCTGTAACAGACAGACAGACAGACAAAAATTCTAAAAACCATAGTTTCGGACTCTGTATCGATAATAATGTCTATTTCAATTAGATTTTCCAAAAAAATATTTAATGTAAAGATTCCACTTAGTTACAATTTTATTATATGTACCTATTTAAAGTTATATATTATGTGTAGTGTATCAACTATCTGGTATCCATAACACAAGCCTCGTAGCTTACTCTGGAACTAGATGGCGCTGTGTGCTAATTTCCCAATATATTTATTATTATTATTATAAATAAAAAATGAGAGTGGATGGAAAATGTACAGAGGCAGCCGTGCGATTTCTTCCAGGCAAAACTAAAGTGTAGGAATAAGCATGAGGCGTGAAAATTAAATAAAGGGAAATAAAAAATACATAAAAGGCACTAATGCCTAAATAGCTTTAAGATAAAGAATTTTCGAGAATTAAACATTAACCAATAAGGATTTTGCATAGAGTTTGTAATTAATAAATGAAATAAATTTAATGAATCTTAAATTCATTCGTTAAGAAACTTTCTTTAGTATACTTTGTATTCAGTCCTTTTTTAAAAAAAATATGTAAACTGTATGTCTTTGCCTATTTACATATACATATATTGTATATAGATAGTTATAACTCAACTTTAAGCCTTTCAGTTTTGACTGAAAGAGCTTTTTGAGTAACACAAAAATAAGAAATATCAAAAAAAATATACATACACCAGCATTCCGTAAGAAGTTCTTATTCAATAAACACGAATATTTCATTAGATTTTTTCAGTTATCTATATTTTTAGAGCCGATGGCTTTTCACTATTCACCTCTTTTCCTGCGTATTTATTTAGATTTTAATATTCAAGAAAAATAATATATATCACATAGTTAAATATATCAATATCAAAATGATTACATTTTGCGTAAAGGACCTGTTCAGAAAGCAAATTAAATGTTCAATACACGCTCGACCACAAGTTATTCGTTCGAGTAGACGTATTTAATTTAGAATTAACGACTTTTTCCATACTTGCTTAACCTACATTTAAAGTGTATTAGGTCGAAAGTACAGGCCGATAAAATCTATAATTAAATGAAAATGAATTTTCGTATGTTGTTCGCTATATTTTCCTAAATTGATCCGATTTCGATGAAACTCTGGTCGGTTATTCTGTAAACGACTGCGAAGATTCCTGGCGCAAAAAAAAGAATTTTGCTTTGGACGTCTGTCTTTTATGCGTTCCTAAGCTATTTAATTTATATGTGTATATTTATATTATATTTTATTGGCCGCGGCTCCGCCCGCGTTCAGATGACCAAAAACCAAATTCTTAGGTTTTACATAGTAGTTTTTGTATTCTTTCTCAGAAATGAGATTCCCGCGGTAAAAAGTATCCTATATGTTGACTCGGATAACCAGCTATCATCATACCAAATTTCATCAAAATCTGTTCAGTCGTTTTCTCGTGATGCGGTAACAGACAGACAGACAAAAATTCTAAAAACTATAGATTCGGACTCTGTATCGATAATAATGTCTATTTCAATTAGATTTTTCAAAAAATATTTAATGTACAGATTCGACTTAGTTACAATTTTATTATAGATATGCGGGAAAGTTTGATAAAAGTACGAAACTAATTACTTCCAATAACATGTTATGTAATATAGTATAATAGTTTTTGCTATAAAGGTAACCAAAAAATCACTTCAAATGTAAATATTGTAAGGATATCCATACTTATATTATAAATGTGAAAGTGTGTTTGTTTGTACTTTTTGGCTACTTTTTACTGCGTGGGATTATCTATTTTCCACGGGAAAGCACTATATAGTTTAACCTAAAAAATATTTATGATCAGAGTTACTTGAAACTTGGTATAAATGCTCTTCAATACAATTAAATAAAAACATGCTTAACATTTTTACAAATTCATCCCATACTGTTTATAAACTTATACTACTTATACTATACTGTACTTTTTTAAAGTCGATCAATTCGATTCAACTCGTTTCCTTTACTATTATAAAAAAGTAAAATCTGTTTGTTTTTTCATAAACTAATATAATATCTACTTAGTTAACTAATTAGTAATAAAAACCAATATCCTAAAATATTTAAAATATTGAAATACATCATCCTGTATAAATTGCTTAACGGTTATAGATGTTTGTGGTTCGTGATTACCATTTTAAGTATAATCCATTGCCGGGGATAAGCTAACATACTTAGTTTAGTCCCAAAATCTAACCAAGAAAGTATATCTGATGCATATTACAAAAAGCTTCAACAAACCTACCAATATTTGAAATTAAATTTTAACCAATTTGTAAAAATGTGTGCTGTCAGAAGTTTTCTGAGCTTTTTATTGTTAGCTATAGTTTTTTGTCAATCCCAAGCGAGAGAAGATATTAATGATCTTAATATAAACAATGATACAAGAGTATTATCTCGAAGAAAAAGATTTATTATCTTTCCAGAAGGCAGCTCCTTCCAGTTGGGTAAGAAGTATATGAATTGTTCTAGTAAATAGTTATATCATTTATGTTACGTGACATTTATTTTGTAATGATATTTGTATTTATTAACGCTAATACTATATAATATTCTTTGAACTTTGACACAAAATTAAATATATAAAAGAATTTCTCTATTGTTTACCCAAGTAGCGCTGTAAACAGTGCCGGAGATTCCGGGTTTGATTCTGTTCTAGAGTATAAGCTAAGAAACTAAAAGCAAAATTTTATATAATGAGTTTTTCCATACAATTTATTTAAATTTCCAGTCTTTTGTACAACATATCCATCGGTATCAGTCATTGGTGATATAATTTTATGGGGAAATACTGCTGCTTTAGCGTTCGAGCTCCCACAAGATCCATATTCCCCGTTTAATCATAGAGCAGACCCTCTTCACAGGAGGATGGATACGAAAACTATATACTATACAGACTTTGATGGCAATATCGTTCATAAAGAACCTTACAAGAGGTACTAATATTACTTTAATCATCGTAGCGGTATAATATCCGGCTCAAAGGACTAAATATAGTAAAACATATAAATATATATGTTATCTATATCTATACTAATCTATACTAATATTTTATAGAGGAAAGATTTGATTTTTTGTTTGTTTGCACTGAATAGACTCCGAAACTACTGAACCGATTTAGATGAAATTTGATATGAAGATACTTTGAGGCCTTGGGAAGGACATAAGATAGTTTTTATCCCGGAAATCATCTCATAAGAGAATGAAAATGGGGATGAAAGTTTGTATGAGGAATCAACCTAGGGACAAACCCGAGCGAAGCGAGGATGAGTAGATAGTATTTTATATTTCCCTTATAATTTGATAAAGTTACCAATTAATATTCATAGTTTTGATTTCATATTTCAATATTTATTTTATATAATAATCTCAGCCTATCATAAGAATATTCCTATAATAATAACAAGGTAAATGGAGAATAACAAGTTTTATTTTTCCATCTACTTATAAAGGGTTTGCAATTTTAGTTTTGTATACAATATCCGATAAATCTCTAAACACAAAATCATTGTCAGTATGTTTACAAACAAGAAAAAGTGCACTTTCAATAGCAATTGCTATACGTAAATAATTATATAATGCACTTTATTATAAATGGTGTAAGGTTGATTATTAAACACAATGAGATTTAAATGTAGCCTATGTATTTCAGGAAATTCATAGTAAATCCAGCGTTTGCGAAGCGTAGCGTGGACGAAATGGTATCCCCAGAATTTAAAATAGATAGGAAACAGATGCACGCTTCGAAACACACACGGGAGTTTTTGAAAGGCGGGCATTCAGTTGACTTTCATAGGAGTAGCCGAGCGGGACTCTACCAACAGATAGAGGCACTATTACAAGGGTAGAGTATAGATTTGTTGTTATAAAAGAATTTATTACAAATTTTTTGTAGCACAAATTGCCTTCACTATAGAGCAAGTTGGATGAAAATGTTTATTTCATGGTTTTTTTTCTTGATTGTCCTTTTTACTGATTTTATTTCTTATAATATCAATAATTAGGAAGATTATATAATATAGTATTAGAAATATTTATCTTTTCCTTTGATTTTTCATCTTTTTCTCTAAACTAAATAACGCAGAAACCTTAAGTAACTATTTATAAAGACACATTAATTAATTATTTCAATTTAAGAATTTTCTGTGCTATTTTTTACTTTCATGACTCATAAAAAGAAAATTTAGTAAAATATAAATTAGTTCTGCTATCCATATTAATATTATAAATATGAAAGTAACTGTCTGTTTGTTTATTACGTTTTCACATTTAAACCACTAAACATATTTTGATGAAATTTAGTAATCACATAGATTGTGTTATACGAACACTTTATACTTCAATAAAATAATAAAATCTGTTATATCTTTATCATTTTCCCATATAATATACAAGCAAACTCACGGGCAAAAAACTAGTTATTTACAAAGTGTTCGTTAGTGGTTTAAAAGTTACATAGCTATAAAATAAGCTAATAATATGACACATACTGTATATGTACAAACGATTAATGTACTTAAATATTAATTAATAATAAATGCTTTGTCATTTGAATCATAACAAGTGGATAGCACTCCAATAGTAACTAAATTAAATACACAAACATTATGCTTGTATCAAATAAACAAAATTTAGTTATATTATAATATAGTGTCAGATAATTTGTTAATTAAATCGAATTGATTAATTATTTTTTTATCTAGATACATATAATAAAATTCTGAGTCGAGTCATTAAATATTTTTTGGAAAATCTTGTTGAAGTCATTATTATCGATACAGAGGTCGAATCTATAGTTTTTAGAATTTTTGTATGTATATCTGTCTATCTGTAACCGCATCACGAGAAAACTACTGGACAGATTTTGATGAAATTTGGTATGATGATAGCTGGATATTCGGGGCAACATATAGGATATTTTTTACTCCGGGAAAATATCTCACCTCTGAGAAATCTATACCAAACGTTAAAACGAACCCGAGCGCAGCTTGGGTGAGTCACTAGTATACATATAGGCATGTCATAAAGTCAAAAATAGAAAATTATGTATATAAAAATAGTCTACATTTTAATCCAAGGTGTCTTTTCCGAATAATTATCTATAAAGATTCTTCAGATTTAGATTTTTTTATTAAATAAAATTACAAAACCACATTAAAACATATTTTAGTAAAAAAAAACCAATGTTTTCGAAGTGAAATGAAGCAAAGTGAAAACTTTTTTGGTACTAAATCTATACTGTAGTGCAGAAGCTAAAGAGCTGTAACTTTTCAACCACAATAAAGTTTGACTTTCAAGGGAAAATTCAAATTTTTCAAATTCATGAATCTACTACCAGTTCGGAAAGAAGAAGCCTCAGACCTTAGAAGAACTGGCATTGAATATGTTTTATTATAGCAGATATGATATGAAATAATTAATAAGTAAAAAGCTTAAATTGAGACAGATGGGGTTAATAACATTGTTATTATATTTTGAAATAACTTTAAACTTTAAGATGTATTTGATCTTATAAGAAATCGGAAATTTATATATAAAAGCTACTACAAAATTGATTTAGATTGATAAATTTTACTAATACCAAAAACTAATTTGTTTTTAGATTTGGGGCTGATGGTAGGAGCTGTTTACTGAAAACTCTCTGCTTAATCGGACAGTCACAAAATGATCCACAAGGTGCTTTTCTCCAAGAAATATTACGAGCGGTTTTCACGTAAGTAATAATAATAAACACACACTATACATATATAGCCCAGTTGTAACGCGCTCGCTTGGAAAACCTAGCGAAGCGGGTTTAAATCCCAGGTCCCGCATCCCTGATATTTTCATATATGTGTCCTATTGTGAAAGAAAACACGAGGAAACCTACATGTCTGAGAGAACAGAGTAAGTTTTCGAAAGGCACGTTAAATCCGCCAATCTACACTTGGTCAGCGTGGGTATGACTCCTCGGATTTAAGGGAGGCGGTTATATTCTCACTAAGCAGTACCTAAGGATATTGACGTGATATTGCAGATGGTTCAGGGATTTATAACATAAAATAAACAGACGTACATCCAGACTAGTGTTTTTTTATACGTTTTTGTTAATTCAAATTAAAATAAATATTTACCTTGTGAAGATCTCAAGCATTACACCTGTGGGCTGTGACCATGAAATTTAATTTTGCATTTCCTTAAAAACTTTAATGAATCTATAATGAAGAGTACACGCGAAACAAATTCTAATGGCAAGTGCTTAAGTACGCTTGAGGATATAAATTAGTTCCCAGATGTTACATTAAAACTAAAGAAGCGTCATCTTATCTAATAGCCTAGACTTTAAAATATGGTACAATGTACCGTATTTTATACTAATACTAGCGGACCCGACAGACGTTGTCCTGTCTACACGTCTTTAATTTTAAAATTTCAAACATTTTTTAATAATTTTTTTGATGAAAATTGTTATTAGTCGTTTAAGAGAAGTTCAGTGACATACACACTCACAGAAGAATTATATTTAAAAAGATTATCATTTTTGTATACATTTTTTCACATTTTGTTAATTTTTAACATGGTTTTAATAATGTTAGGGCATTTATAAAATGAAAAATGATGGACCATGTACAGTTTAAACTAATAAATAAATGTCTAAAAGCATGTCTTTTTAGCAAGCATTTAATATTAGTGCACATTGTACAATGTACATATAACAAAAGTGGGCACTATGGAAAAATATATTTTTGTAATTGTATGGAGATTCGTCATTTTTAAAGTAAGAAATATGGAAATTGATGTTAAAGCTTTTGTTTACATCGTCAATGATAAATCCCATCGAGCTCAGTGCTTGTCGAATATTAAATCTACGAATAAATAGGGGCTTAAGTTTTCAGAATTTATAGTAAACAAGTTGACTCAACAGATGTTGTTCTGTTGAAATATCAATTAAACTTTCCGTGATCTTCGCGTTCATGCAAAAAAATCAGTTTTTCCTGAATTTTCGAATTTTCTGCGCAACTTTTCCAATTTTTTTACCTTAAAACCTTTTTTTAGCTATTTTGGGTACTTTTTGAAAAAATGGCAAATCTTTCCATTCGTTTTCAAATTATGCCATATACCAACAAAGCCACTTCACTATTAAATATTTATATAGACAAGCGACTTGCTATCGCAGCGCCTCTGCTCTCATTGTACATGTCAGAAATATTTAAATATAATAAGAAAATATCTTCTATCTTACGGAAGATTCCACTAATAAGAGTCCCATTCAAATCGATTCAGTCGAAGATTAATACTTAACAAAAATACTTTAACGATTGTTTGGGTTTTCATATAATAATGTAGTTCAAATAGCAACATGAGTTCAATATGTAAAACACTATTTTTATGAGAAAACTTGGATGTTAATATTATGTAATTAATTTCGCCATACTGTCTCTAAAATTTAAAAATTATTATATAATTATAGTCATATCAGGTATAAGAAACTGTGCCGTTTTATTCAAAGTTAACTATCTAGTATCTCATTTAGTTGTTTAATGAGATCGCGTCCCGGTTATATTTTTAAATGTTCATTTATTCATTTAAGAGTTAAAACCTAGTTAGTGTGATTGTAAAAATAAAGAAAAACGTGCTCAAATAGTTTTGGGTACTTATTGCTAAATACGTAGAGTAATTGGAAGAAGAAAATTAGAAGATCTATGTGAAATTTTTAGGGCCAAGTCTGTTGCGTAACTTTGAATAAAGGTTTATTTGATCCAGGAAATATTTTTTTTTGTATGGTAAGATTTCTATTTTTTTTATAATATGTATATTTCGACATGTAAATCCGAAGTTAGGTAATTAAACTCAAAATGCATTTTTTCATATATAGCTCCGTAAGATTTTTAATGAATCATTGTATAGTAAATAACACATCAATGAAACTAGCTTTTTTCCCTCGCTTCGCTCGAATGCGTGGTCCTAGGTATAATTGGTTTAGGAACGCTTAGAGAACGAACATAGTAAGTTAAATTTCTTTTACTTGGGTCTAGAACTATCACAGGTGTACGCAGAACAACCCACCAAATGTTCACAACAATCGAATGAATAGTTTATAAATGTATAAAGTACAAACATACAAAAAAAACGTTCATTTTTAATTATATATAAGATTATACTGTGCTTAGATTCGTTTATGTCATTAACCATTGTTTGGAACAATATAAGTATTTAATATATATATATAAAAAAAAAGTCAGCTCAAATGTCTGAAGACCCTCTCTACAACCATGCATGTATATGAAAGACTATAATTTTGGAAGAAATGAAAGAAATATGCTCCGAAGCCCTCGGAAATCTGTTTTTCTGACTACCCCGCAAGAGATATAACGTGAAGCTGCGTATAGCCTAGTTCGAAGTGAAGATGGAGACTTGCTATTATATATTCCTCCATAGGATATTCAGATTACACAGCTGTCGATCTTGATTACCTCAGCAAACACTCCAAGTTAATTGATAACGCCTTAATATAAGCATGTTTGTCGCTTAAATTAGTCTTCTATTGTGGAAATTTCGCATTTTAACATAATACGTCGTGTTCACGTATAATTATTCGTTTAATTATGCATTTGATATGTAAAGGCTCTAATATAAATTGTGGTGGATTTAATATATGTAGGTAGGTTGTTTTTTTTTGCTTTAAACTCACAACAGGCCTTATGGCGAAGTATTTTAATGTTTATTTATTGTTTTTAATGGATTATCATATTTGTAACTGTTGTACATTGAATAAAATAAATTATGGAATATTAATAATTTTGTAATAACCAAAGGATTTGTTATTACAAAATTTGGGAGATTGTGATTTAATATTTTTTTTTAGATTTACGCGAATATTTTTATAAAAAACGATTTACATAAAACGATCTTTCTCTCATAGTATTCGAACATTATTATTTAACAGAATGACTTAAAAGAAGACGGAGTTGGAGTTATTTTATCGATCGAAAACTATTTTACGTAAATTTAAAGAAAAAATATTCATACCTGCAGGGCAAAATTACAATAAAATTATTTAGTTAGTGTATTTTTTCAGCTAATTAGTTAAAAACATGTTTTTTTATGTTACAGATTACCTAAAACTGATAAGCTGGATAATGTAAATGAAGACTATGATGCAGCGTTCACCGCAACTACACCATGTAGCGAACTATACCCCGAGTGTGTAGATAGCGACTTAAAAGGACAACTTATGTAGCTAAAAAGTTGGATGATATATGACTATATTTTTAATGTATTGTCGCAGATAAACTGCTAAGTTAGCTATTTTACATAACAGCTAGGTATTTTACAAAACAGCTCGATTATGTAAAGCGGCTGAACGACGTTTAGCGTTTTTTTATAATTACTAAGCCCTAATACACAAAATTACAAAAACGTTTTGCATTTATCAATGCAGCACGATAGGTCAACCAATAGAGGTAAGATTGTAGATTTTAGTAACTTTTGATTTCCGATTAGGTGACAAATCCGACTTCGATCACGATAGGTTAAGCTAAGCTAAGGCGGGAGCTATGCTTCATTTCACTTTTGCCTCTTAACTTCGCCTTCTCATTGGGTCTTTTTCTTATTTCAAACCCAGAATCGAAAACTATAATTGCAATGGCAATCCCGAAGAACGCTGTTCAGCTGTTTTGCATAACAGAACTATTTTGTAAAATAACGAACGGTTATGTAAACCAGCTGGTTCGGAAATACATCTGTGACATAATATACATAATTTTAAATCATAGGTTTTTTACGTGTACAATGTTTTTTTTTTAAATGATTGTAATATTTATATTTTAGTACTTTAGAATATATATAGACTTTCTGTAAATTTAAATAATTTAAAGCCTGTTTTATGTGGCGATCGAAGAAAACATGAGAGTAAGAGTTTGAAATTCTGCTTGCCGCTTTCAACTTTCTATACAAAAGACAGAATTTCTATTAAATGTAAAACAATTGAACTGCATATAGTACACATTAATTATTTATTGTAGCTGCCTCATTGAAATCAAAAATATCAGATTTTATTCGAAGCCATCGTATTTTTATATATATATATATATATATATATATATATATATATATATATATATATATATATATATATATATATATATATAAATATATAAATTGTCATCATTTAAATTGTAGAAGTCAATGAGGAAGCTATCACCGATTTGGTGACATCGCCTTGTCTTTACTTTTCTTGTTTTAACGAGGATTCCATATAATTTTTAATGTTTTCTATATTAAGAACTTACAATGTATGTTATGTTCTATTCATCTTTATATATTTTTTTTATAATTTACATACTAACAAACTGTGTCAGTTTATCTAGAAAACCTTTTTTTAATAGTATTCAATTATTATTAGTAGCAGTGGTAACGCGCTCGCTTAGGAAACCGAATAAAGCGGGTTACCGAGTAACCGAGTAAAGTAAAATCCAGGGTTTCGCACCTCTGATAATTTCATGTGCGAATCATAACCAACACCTTTTTGTCTTGTGGTGAAGGAAAACATCGTGAGGAAACCTGCAAGTCTGAGAGAACCTAGCAAGTTTTCGAAAGATATGTGAAGTTCGTCAACCCGCATTTAGCCAGCGTGGTGGACTATGACCTCATCTCTTTTGTATTAAAGGGAGGCCCATGCCCAGCAGTGGGACTTTAAAAAAGGGCTGAATACAATATAATTATTATCGTACCTAATTATTTAAATGTTGTATTCAGATAAAATATTTTATTGATTTGTTTCTAGAGAGATGGCGTAGAGTCGGGATATTATAATGTTTTAATGGCAAATTATATAAAATTGGCTCCTTTAGCTATTACATAATTATATCTGTGCAACAACCAATTTTATACAAGAATTATAATAATTCTGCCGTTCTAAATGTTCTTCTGCTGAACTCGATCTGTACGAGGGGGAGAAGATCATCAACCATCATGTACAGGCCGGTTAGTTGGGTTCAGATATGCAGATATGGAGTTTTCCTTATAATCTTCTCCTTTATTGTAAATACGATGAAGGAAAATATCATAAGTAAAACGTGGATATATCCTAAAATAAAAATCATAGGGATGAAAATCAAGGGTTTGAACCCGCTTCACTTGTTTTTTCAAGTGAACGCGTTAGTAATACCCTACCACTGCTATAATATATTACAGATTAGTTCTCTGTAGTTAAAGGATTAGTTCAGATCTAGACTGAAATTAGGTGGCTCTTGAGAAGATAAATATATATTGCACAGACGAGATTTTTTCCCGCAGTAAAAAGTATCCGGATAACCAGTTATTATTATATCACATCCCATCAAAATTTGTCCAGTGGTTTTTACATCATGCATTCCCAGACAGAGAGAAAAATAGACAAAAATTCTAAAAAACAATGCGGCCTCTGTATCGATAATAATATCTATAATAACAGCGTTTTTCTAAATGCATATCAATATACGGTACTTATAAGAAAAACACATTTTTTTAAAGTTTTTGTCTGTCTGTCAGTCTGTTTGTTCCGGATAATCTTTGAAACGGCTAGACTCACTCAAAAAAATTAAAATGTACCTAGGTACGAACCCGAGCGAAGCTAGAGTGAGTTGCTAGTATATTTTAATAAGATTTTCCAAAAACTATTTAATGTACAGATTCGACTCAGAATTTTAATACGTATAAATTTTGTGTTACATATTATTTAAGTTGTATATAAGTACTTATTACAGGAGCTAAAGTTAAAATTGATATTTCAACCAATAAATACCTCTTAATTCAATAAATCAACTAATTCATAGCCATTTTTAACTTGTTTTATTATATTGCCATACTTTATAGGCGTATCACGTTTCCGTGACCCATTTTGATTACTTTTTTCGTTTCCAAAAAACCATTTTTAGTAAAACAATAACTGTCAACTACTGACACCATACATGTTAATTGTACTTTCATTTATACTTATTCTAGCACCATCGAGTGTTAACCATTGTAGTCCATTTAGTTCTCTAATGCTGTTAGTTGTATTTGAAACTTAAGGAAAAAAGTTTTAAAATGTTTTTGGGATTTGTTATATTTTTATGTATATTATCGATAAATGTTGGTGTAAATGGCAATAATTTAACAATTCAAAGCTCTGAGGAAGATTCAAGCTCTCGTGTATTATCCCGGACTAAAAGATTCTTAATTTTTCCTGATGGAAGCTCTTTCCAATTGGGTAGGTTTTTTTTGTAATTAATATTTAACTATTAGTATAAAATTAGACTCAGCTTTATATCAAAATTGCGTAATTATTTATTTTAATGAAGTAGTATTGTAGTTATTTATACTATTAATTAAAAGAATTAAATATAGCGTGAAGATTGATTAAAAAATCATTAAAATTGATATTATTTTGTACAATATTAATTTAAACGAGTATCTTTCTTTCCCCTCCTCTTAACATAGATTTGCTTTAAAATTTCGTATAAAATCGAGTCTTATTTAATCATGAGTATTTTTTCAACTATAATTATTGGAGAATAAATTATTGCATATAAATGGTAGCCTGCGTCCACGTCATAATTAAATCTATAACCTTTAATTCCATCGAAATCTGTTCAGCGGTAAAAGCACGAAAACCTAACAAACAGACGGTCAGAATTACTTAGATATTTTTAATATTACTATTAGTATAGATTACCGCCTTTAATGAATAAGTTAAGTATATATAAAATAATGCTCCTATTTCTTAGTATTTTGAATGTAAAGTATATTTCAAAACAAAACATTTTTTAAATACAGATTTTTCGTTAAGTTAGGTAAAGAATAAGCTGCTGGCTACAATTTCTCAAAGTGCTACGTGGTTTTATATAGAAAATTAACATTTTCAGTATTCTGCTATCAAATAGCCGCTGCGATCAATATTGGAGATATTTTCTTATATGCTAACACTGCTGCTCTAGCGTGGAATTTACCTACTGACTCTAAATTACTACTGATGTTTAAACAATATGAAAAAACTGCTCAACGTCGAGGTGATGAAAAAAGCATATATTATGTTGATGAAAATGGAAAGTTTCTTGGTAGAGTCCCTTACAGAAGGTAATCTAGTTGAATTTTCATTTATTTCTGTTAAATGTTTGACCGACATTCTTTGCTAAGTGTAAGATCATGGATTTAACGTACGTGGTTAATTTTTATTTAATATATGGTGAGCTTATCGAACATACAGATTATTCGATGTTTGGCTCAGTTTGTAGTGACACTACTTGCTGTGCCAACGGTCGCGGGTTCGAGTCCCGCTGGGGGCATTCATTTGTGTGATGAGCAGTGAGCATGAATGCTTGTACTACATGGGTATATATTTATAATGAATCAACTATATGGTATTGCTAACACAAGCCTATTAGCTTACCATGGAAATAGACGGTGCTGTGTGTTAATGTCCCAACTATATAGGTTATTTCGTACCGTCCTACGCTAAAGATTTATCACAAGGATGAATCACTAGAATTCTTTATCTACCTTGCAAGAGAAAGATCATAAAAATATGGACATGAGAATAATTTGTAAAAATTTATAGTACTTCACTATCTTTATTACATTCTTAGCCATACGTTAAAATACAGAAACTTTAACAGCTTAGACAACGTGCAATAAAATAATCTCAAACTTTAAACTAAGTCAATAAAAGTTTTATTATTTCATATAAAAATATGTTTACTTTAAAACTTAAAGCACTTTTACTGTCTTTAGACCAACTATCGTGAATCCAGCTTTCGCAAAACGTAGTGTCGACGAACCAGTGACACTCAAAGAGAAAATGAAAATAAATCGAGTAAAAATGCATGCGATACAATCAAAACGAAATTTTCTAGACAGAGAGCATATGGACGATGACAGTGTACAATTTCATCGGAATAATCGGGTGCAGATCTACAAAAAATTAGTGCCGCTTATCACTGCGTAAGTAAAATATTTCTAAATATATATATATATATATATATATATATATATATATATATATATATATATATATATATATATATATATATATATATATATATATATATATATATATATATATATATATATATATATATTCAAAATCGACCAAACTCACTTTATATATACTTGTATAGTATATACACATAGATAAGACGAGGTGTTATGTGTTTTAAGGAGTGTTTAGCACTTTGACTCTATTGGCCAGGGGTTTCTATAGCAAATCATATAAAGGTATCATTTTGATTAAGGTGGTATAATACTTACTTATTTTCAAATCTTACATAGATTTTTAGCAAAGTAATAACGAATCTTATTTTAAAGAGCCAAATGTTATTTTAAAAAGCTATATATATTCAAGCAGTTGCAAGCGAAATCTCACAAAATATAAATTTTACGTTTTATACTATTTATGAATTCGAAGACGAATGAAATATGTTATTTATTGTATGTATAGACAATCAATTTATTCCTCCCGCGCTATTTTATCGAAAAATAAAATAGAATTGTGAACAAACATTTTCATTTCCTTTAAATATTTATAGACATTTTTCATTCGAAATTGTCAATTTTAAATTGCTTTGTAAAGTTTTACTTGTCAAAAACTTATTATTTGAAAGCTATAAATAAAAAGGTTTTTTTTTTAAATCAATTACGATTATGATATGATGACATACCTATAAAGAAATATTGGACTATAAAAAGTATTAAAAAAATAAAATAAAATCATATTCGTTTGTAAAAAATATTTTACTTAATGCACACAAAAATAGTGGTTTTGATTATGTTAAAATATAATAATTGACTAAAACTTATTAATATGGTAATCTGAAGGGATCAATTTGCCACATTGTGGGTTTGACTGATTGATGGTTAGCGAAAATCATTCCATTCGTATGTAACAATCGTTTATAACATGATCATATTGGATTTCGATGTATTTTTGTTTCGTTGATTCGTAATCACGACTACATGTCAAAATTAATAGCAATTCATTTAAGTATTAAAACGATAATGATCATCTTGCTGCGACATAAATAAAATGTAAATTATACATATATATACAAGTTCTTTATTGTAGAGCATAAACTTAATATTTTTTTTTATTTGATACAGAAATAACTCTTAATTTAGTTAAAGATATTAAATTTCATTATTGTGTTAATTTTTTTATTATTTATCGTTTATGAAACAAGGTTTTCACAGTTCATATTGAGCGTGCCATTTAAACAATTTGAGTTTAATTAATATTAAAAAAAACCATTATTGAATCAAGCTTATTACATCATCACGGAATACTTTGTAGATGTCAATGTGTGGGACCAATGTCTTTTGTTGGGTCTCACGTAGGATAAGAAGATAATTATTTTATTGCAATATTGTAAACAAATATTATTTTAAAAGAGCAACTGTTGAGTTTCTCGCCGGTTTTTCTCAACAGAACTGCCCTCTGAGTCAGTGGTAAATTCCTCACGGACATATTGATATTTAGGTACATTTTTTTAAATATAGAGTGACGATTTCAAAGTGCTTGTAAAAGTTTATTTGAAATATATTTTGTTATAGTATTTTTTCCACCATTTTTATAAAACCAATACACTAGAAAATCTATTCTTAATAGGTATTGATATATTAAAAATTCCTTTCTATTTCACCGACACCTGTTTCTAGACTGGGAGGCGACGGCCGACAGTGCGTTCTTTACAAACTATGCGAGACAGGAAGGATTTCGAGGCAAGGCACATTCCAGGAGGAGCTCCTACGGGTTGTCTTTACGTAAGTAGCGTTGAATTTCTCGAATTTTCTTCGTTATTCGAGGCAGGTTGCCTATAAATTTTAATGTATATTATTCCAGTTTAATGTTAAACTAAACCGTATGACTCAGAGATTGTAGAGTACGCTTAGGTATTAATATGAAAACGTAAAAATCGTAGATTCGATTTGTACTTATTTAGCCCTTTTTGTATCCCACTGCTGGACACGGGCCTCCCTTGCATTATAGATTGTAAGGGAGGCCAAATGCAATGATATAATAAATATGTAAGCTCATATAAAATTTTATCAAATTTGAAATAAGTTTTAAAGTAAAATTTGTGAATTTAATCTACTACAATAGTAACATAAACATATTTATTACTCTTTTTAATTTTTTATTATGATATCTTGTGTTCGACGTTTTAAATGCCTTGCAGCAAACTTGATAATCTAGAGACTAAGGTTTTTGACGTCATAATCATCGTAGTTGTTAATTTGAAATAGAGACATAGCATTGAAATAATTTAAAATGAAGAAAAAGTAAATGTCGCTAATTAAAAATCAAAATAAAACGTTAAAAATACCGTAAAAATGTTTTGATATGTTCGATATTAGCGTAAATCTAAGAAAGCATTTACTACGGGGTACGACTTTAAACCTATTCAGTCGATTGGAAATTTCTTTTATTTATGGAAAACTCTCAAGTTACTGGTAGTGTTAGCTTGCAATATCCCACCAAACGTATGCCAATTACCACCACTGTTACATAAATTATTATAGGTTATCTGTGCCTTCGAGCTAAGATAAAGGTCAAGAGTGAGCCCCTTTCTAATAAAAAAAGGTTATTTTCATATGAATATACTATGTCAGAAGGGCTGAGGCGAAACCTAATAGAAACTAAACAGCTGCTATTTAACATGCCACCGCACAATAAAATCTTCTACAAAGCCTAAAGATTACTTAGTAAATGGTTCACGGAAATGACAACTTTCAGAATGTCTTCCCATCCATTTTGATGTACCTCAAAATGATTTTACGCACGACATCCATGCTAATATTATAAATGTGAAAGTGTGTTTGTTTGTTTGTCATTCTTTCACGTCGAAACAGAGTGACCGATTGACGTGATTTTTTATATGGAGATAGTCTAATACTGTTTACCGCGGGAGATTATCTGTTTCCCGCGGGAAAACACGACATAATACAACCTAAAAAAATATGTATGATCAGAATTACTTGAAACTTGATATTAATAATGGTCTTCAATACAATTAAATAAATACAAATTTAGCATTTTTGGAAATTATAAAGAAGTAAAATAGGGGATGAAAGTTTTTATGAAACCTACCTTTTTTTTTTAAATGTAGTTTAAGCACGAGCGAAGCCGTGGGTTTTCCTAGTGTTTTAAATATGTAGAAACTTTTGTTTTACATAACATTTAATTAATGAGTATAGCAGGTTTAATTAAATTAATTTTAAATAACTTCGCACGAAGAATTTGTGGATTTATCTTGATCTCCAGGTTTACTTTATTATTTGGTACTATCAGTGTGCAAACATCTAGGTATTTTAGTCTTGTCACTGTTACGATTTACTGAGAGATGAGTCGCAGAACTGACGACTAGGATCTCCAAGTAAATGGGATGAAAACCCAATAACTTCTCTTGACCCGAACCGAAACAGGATATTCAGCCATATATATATAATAGTTTTTGTGTATTATATAGTATGTTATATTTAATATAAAAAATATTATTATTTTCAGGTTACCGAAAGGCAAGGAATTTGAAGATGAAAGTCATAAGGATTTTGATAAAGCGCATAGTGCAAGCGACGATTGTGCTAAATTATATCCTGGATGTTCCATAGACCTTTCGAGTTATTGATTATGTATCCAATGATTTGAAAAATAATAAGTAAATGTTCACTGATTTTGTATATCTTAAAAAAAATCTGATCTCAAAATCCGTTACGAAAGTAAATCCAGATCACCAATATCTTAGTTTTTGCCTTAAAATAAAATTTATGAAAAAGGTATTTTTTTTATTTTTTTTAACCAAGTATAAAATAAATGTAGTATTTTTGCTGATCATATCGTATACTATAATTATAATTAAAGAATAAGATTTGATAAAATTAAGGGATCTTTTTAATAAATGTGGCTAGCGTTGCCTTTATTTCATTTCACCTTATCTATATCCATACAAACACTTTGGAAGTATAGCCTATATTATTTCTTCTATGTTCTCTATCCGTCATTGAAAGTCGTATTAAAATAAGTTCAGCTGTTCCGGATATAAGGGTGTACAAGCGAACAGATAAAATTGTACTGGTTCAATAAATAATTAGTCACTGGTTAAGGGAAGGACAAAACAGCAGCACTTTCACTGTATTATGTTTATACTAGCGACTCACCCTCGCTCCGCTCGGGTTTATCCCTAGTTACGTTTTAACGTTTAGTAGTTTAGATTGCTCAGAGATAAGAAATTTTCCCGTAGTAAATTGTGTTCTATAGGCTGACTGGCTAACCAGCTATCATACCATATTTCATCAAAATCTGTCCAGTGGTGTTCTCGTGATGCGTTCCCGGACAGACAGACAAACAAAAATTCTAAAAACTATAGATTCAAAACTATAGATAATAATGACTATTTTCAATAAGATTTTCTATAAAATATTTAATGTACAGATTGGATTCAGAATTTTATTATATGTATAGATTGAGATAGATAAAGGATAGCTATAGTTATGTAGGAAAATAAATAGAATAGCAAATCGAGCACTCACTAACATTATGTCGAGGGGAAGTTTGAACAATCTTGACACACCGTTTATTGCCAACGGAAATGCTGTATAATATTTGTGCAAGTGAATTTGGATTAAGCAATTCAAATCGTATAATTAGGTCAGAGAAGTTATACTGTCGACTGAATTTTGTCTGCTGCATAGTTGGGTTTAAATACTGCAATTTTAAATATTTACTCAGTCTACGACTTTATTGACTTGTGATCTAATTTTGATGATTAATGAAACTTAGTTATACGTCTCCCGCTATTTCACTTCACATAATCAATAAATAAATAAATATATTGGGACTTTAACACAGCACCATCTAGTTCCATGGTAAGCTACGAGGCTTGTGTTATGAATATCAGATATTTGTTACATTACACATATATAACTTTAAATGCATACATATTATAAATATAAACATACATGACTAGAGTACAAACGTTCGTGCTCATCACACAAATGAATGCCCCCAGCGGGACTCGAACCTGCGACCGCTATAAACTGAGCCAAACGTATCGTCAAATCAAATTGATATCACGTACAACATTTTGTGGAAATCTATCGTATATGCGTAATTTTAATTACTATTAGGGATATTTTAGATAGTCACTTAAGTTAACCGATCTGAAAGTTCCTGTTTCACAGCAAGTTGTTGCTATCAAACATAGTGATTATCACATTCAGATATAAGCGGTAGCGCTGCTGGTTAAGATGAAAATATATTAATAATATATACTCTATAAATAATAAATAATCTTGGCTAGACCCGGTACTCGAACCCAGGACCTCTATATCTACAGCCATAATTGCTATATACATATATCGGTGGTCTACCGAGACAGTTCAACTACATACCTATGCAATATAGTATATGTGTCTTATTATGAGCGGCATCTTAATTTAAAGAAAATTTCGAATTTCTCCCAGATTTAATAGCTATACAAGTATTTAGATAAAAATATATATTAAAAACACTTTTTTTAAATCTTGTAGAAGCAGTAAAATGATCGTATTAGAATGACTTTCATCCGCCAAATATTATTTAAATTGCATATTATTAATAGGTTATTAGGTTTAATTTGATCCTTCTTCTGGACTTATAGAATATATAATTTTACTAAAGCCGTCCATAACACGAAAATAACAGTTATACTAACAACATGACGTGTTAATTGCTCTTTCATTTCTACAAATTTGCGTTTCCAACATCGATGTTAAGTGTACTAGATCATTGTGAGTTTCCTTAGTAGAAGTCGATTTATGAGCTTAAAAGCTTTAAATATGATTATAAAGTTAACTTATGTTATATTTTTTTGTGGACTTTTAGTATTGTTGTTGTGTTTTGTTTGTAAAGATATATTTTTAACAAATAATGATTTTGTAAGAAATGAAACACGTTCGCGAGTGTTGGGTAGAAGCAAGAGGTTCTTAGTGTTTCCAGACGGCAGTTCGCTACAATTAGGTATGCTCTACGAATTTTCATGTTACCAAGTCTTATTTGCACGGCTATTATCTGTAAAGAAAATGTTGCTCCATTATCTTTCTTATAACTGAGTTAACCTTTAAGTAATTGTTTTTAGTATTGTAATTACATCTATACATATAATAAAATTGTAACTAAGTCGAATCTGTACATTAAATATTTTTTGGAAAATCTAAATGAAATAGACATTATTATCAATACAGAGTCCGAATCTATAGTTTTTAGGATTTTTGTCAATCTGTCTATCTGTCTGTCTGTTACGCCATCACGAGAAAACCACTGGACAGATTTTGATGAAATTTGGTATGATGATAGCTGGTTATCCGGGTCGACATATAGGATACATTTTACCGCGGGAAAATATCTCATTTCTGAGAAAAAATACAAAACTGCATTGTAAGAGTATACTAATATGTAAAACTTAAAAATTTGGTTTTTGATCATCTGAACGCGGGCGGAGCCGCGGGCAATGCTAGCACGATAAAATGGAATAAAATGAATTAAATTTTATAGTAAATACACGTGAATGAAAAAGGCCTCTACTGAAAAGGATCTATTTTTTATCTCGTAACACAATATTACTCACTGTGAAACACTGCACTTAAAATATTTTAATCTTTAGTGCCTGCATATTTACAATATTATATATGTACAGCAAGCGTCACCTTTTGCTAGATTAAAAACAGTAACCTATGTGTTAGTCTAAGACATAATGTATGTGTAATAGACAAACACACACACATAAACACGCGCACACTACAACACACATACGCACACACGCACACACGCATATACACATACACACATATTAGCGCTAAACATTTTGTCATAAGCATTATTGAATCTATATCGTAATTTATCAGAAAAACGAATATTTCTTGAATATATTTCAAGTAGACATAAATGGTACTTGCTGTTGAGATTTGAATAAGGACTTTTAAAGATATCGTCGTGTTTTTGAGTTCACGCAACAAGAAACTTTCAAGATCTAGCACCCTTATTATATAAATGCGGTACGATACTTATAATAAAGGAATCTTTGATTGTCTTAATGTATATTTTAAGTACCTCTTATTATTAAAAGTCAAAGTTATTATAAATTTGAAAGTTTTTATATTTGTATGTTTGTATCATATGTATATAAGTCCTTCCTGTTGGAACAGCTGGATCGATTTGGGTGAAACACATCGTAATAAAACACAGATAAACTGTGACCTGGAGTAACACATAGACTGTTTGAATCTAAGGATGCTCCGAGTGAAGTTAGTGTAAATCGCTAGTTTATCATACCTTATACGATTAAATTTGGAAAATATAATTCGTAGCAATATTTTGGACAACAAAAAATGCTGAGCACGTTGTGCCCTTAAAACAATAAATATAGTATCGTAATTTAACGTGATTGTTTTGATATTGGTTTTCTTATTCCAGTATTTTGTGTGCAAACTTCGGCTTTAATACCCATTGGCGATATATTTCTTTATGGTAACACTGCGGCTTTAGCTTGGAATCTACCAACAGAAGCCAAAGATTTACTTATGTTTAAAGAAGACAAGAATACCGCTCGAAGGCGAAGAGATGAGGAGACGTATTTTACCAACGTTTCAGGAAAAAGGTAAGCGTTGACTGTTCATTGTTTATGATATACTAGCGACTCACCCCTGCTTCGTCCGGATTCGTCCCAAGTTTGATCCCCAAACAAACTTACATCCCCGTTTTCACCCCCTTAAGGGATGATTTCCGGGATAAAAATTATCCTATGTCCTTTCCAGGGTCTCAAACTATCGTCTTATTCTTCATCTAAATCGGTCCAGTAGGTTATAGACGTTGACCTTTATTAGTCACATATGCTAATGAGGCAAATTCTAATACGTATTTTCATTCAGGTGTAAAATATAATCGCACCTAATATAACACAAAATAATAAGTATTTATTTCTATAGTAAATATTTTCTAAGAAATAAATGTCTCTAAAGATAACAATCTAATTTATGTATATATGTATATAGTATAAAATGTATTTAATTTAGCGAAATGAAATTGAACATTTTCCCCTAACATGTAAACTGCGAATATTTTTCAGATCAGCCATCGTCAACCCGGCGTTAGCAAAACGTAGTGTTGATGAAAATATGACTTTCAAAGAGAAGCTGAAAATTAAAATAGATCGCGCAAAAATGCACGAGAGAAAGTTAAAGCGAGATTTTCTCAATAAACAACATTTAGACCATGACAGTGTGGAGTTCCACAGGAGCACTAGAGTTGGATTATATGAAAAATTAATTCCACTTATAACAGCGTAAGTTAATTATTTACATACTACCTTTCATACATGATTCTCTCAATATTTACGACAAAACAGTTTATTTTGCTCTCATCCAAATTCTTTATCCGTTTTAATCAGTTAAATCTTTCTTCTCGTTCGTTCTCTCCCTTTAATCTTATTTGTATCATTTTTGTTACCCAAGAAAAAGTAGAATGAGTCAGTTCATAGCTATGCTACTGTACTTAGTGATTCTTCAATTATACTTACTTAATCTCCACATTTAAGAATAAGTTTAAGTGAAATAATAACTTTAAAAAATTAAGATTATTTGTGTGTTGTATTATTTGTGTTTTAAGAGTTTAATGAAGTTAAATTTAAACCAAATGCTTAGGTTTTACATATTAGTATATTCTTACAATGCAGTTTTTGTATTTTTTCTCAGAAATGAGATATTTTCCCGCGGTAAAAAGTATCCTATATGTTGACCCGGATAACCAGCTATCATCATACCAAATTTCATCAAAATCTGTCCAATGGTTTTCTCGTGATGCGGTAACAGACAGACCGACAGACAAAAATTCTAAAAACTATAGATTCGGCCTCTGTATCGATAATAATGTCTATTTCAATTAGATTGTTCAAAAAATATTTAATGTACAGATTCGACTTAGTTACAATTTTATTATATGTATAGAATATCCATTGTTATAATTATATTCGAATTCGAATGTGTCAAAATTGAAAGTATCACGAAATATCTTCAAACACAATATTTTCATATAGCAAAATCAAATTGATTGAAAAGAAAACATACAAATTAAAACAGATACCACGTGTACAAAGGATGACTTATCTCTTTAAGAGATCTCTACCAGAAACCCTCAAGCGTGAGAAAATATAAAAATAATAATGCGGTGCGGTGTAGGTACAAACTACAAACATCAACTATAATATAAATATACACATATACAGACATACATACGTACATAGATACATACATACATGTTTACGTAGATACTTACACATATACATACATAGATTAAAGTGAAAGAGAGTTATCTGTTTGTTGCCATGGTAACCGTTGTTATTGTCTGACAAATGATATATAATATTATAATCTTTCCTTCTTTTCTTTCCACTGCGGCCACTTTTACATAGGTGAGAGGTATTTTATCGTGCACAGAAAAAAATTAGCTTTAATTTGATATATAAAGGATGAATATACGCCATGAACGTATAAATGTAACAAAAACATTTTTTATGACTCGCAACCACTTTTGCGGCCACTTTTACATAGGCAGACGTAGTTTATCAGGTACATATCAAATTAGCTTTAATTTGATATATAAACGATGCATGTACGCTATGAACGCATAAACATACCAAAATATGACCCGCTTATACCTGGCTGCGAAGAGGTTGCGGCCAAATGCACAACGGCAGCTATCATTTTTCAAGATCTCTACGTATAGTTCTATGAAGTGGAGTATAATTCATTGTAATAACAAATGCATCGTTTTCATTCCAGAAAGTCAACTATTATTTAGTTAATTAAACATACTAGCGGGCACATTTGAATAGGCACACCGGTCAAAACATATTGTCCCTTTTATTATTGTATATAAAAAATTGATTTCGATTAAATACGCAATGAACGTAGTAATCTTGCAGTGGGATCTCGATCCATTAGCAATAATTACCATTTCTTACTTGTGACAACCCTTTTGATAATTATCATAAGATCAAGGGAACCACTTTCTACTGTGATATGTACATATAGGTAACAAAATACTGTACAATGTGCATGTAATAGTGTAGAATAGTATTGAATATATGATTTAAACAAATTTATCAGAAACAGAAAGAGACAGAAAGACAGACGGACAGACGGAAAGACGGACAGATGGACAACAGAGTGTTCTTATAAGGGTTCCTTTATTTACCTTTTGAGGTATGGAACCCTACTAAAAAAATGCTTTCTAAAAATAAGATAGAAATATTTGAATAAGATTTTCAGTGAAAAAATTATTGTATTGTTATATTATTCTATAATATTATAAATGTAAAAGTGTGTTTGTTTGTTTGTTTGTTTGTTTGTTTGTTTGTCCTACTTTCACGTCAAAACGGAGTGACGGATTGGCGTCATTTTTTGTGTGGACATAGTTGGAGGGCTGGAGAGTGACATAGGCTACTTTTTACCGCGGAAGATAATCTTCTCTTTCCATGGGAAAACACATTATAATACAACCCAAGAAATATTTATGATCAGAATTACTTGGAACTTCGTATTAAAGCTCTTCAATACAATTAAATAAATATGTGTTTTAGCATTTTCCGAAATTTATCCTTTAAAAAATGGGGGGTAAAATGGGGGTGAAAGTTATAATATAAGTTATTTAGCACGAGAGAATCCGCGGGTTCTGCTAGTTATTCTATATTCAAAAGAATCCTTTCATTTCATTATGATTGAGCTAAATGACATTCCTTTACAGTCTCGGAGGCGACGGTCGACAGTGTGTACTTTATAAACTATGCGAATCTGCAAGATTTTCAAGACAAGGCACATTCTTAGAAGAGTTTCTTAGAGTCGTTTTTACGTAAGTATTGTTAATTATTATAATCATAGCATTTTCAGTTTTTGGATATAATTTATAAGGTTTTTTCATTTCAAGATTTAAAACAAACGTTATTATTTCGTGTAATCATCCATTTTCTAACATTTCATTGCTGGGTACGGGCCTATCTAAATACTTACTAAGAGGAAAGCTGGACATGTGCGCCTTGGCGGACTTCACTTGTCTTTTGCAAATTAATCAAAGATATCGCTTAACATGTATCAAAATATTTGCTGACTGGATTTCATAATAGAATTAACCTACATAGAAAACATAAAATTTTAAATTGATATAAGTGAAAGTATATGAATATAATGGTAATAAAAAAATCAATGGTAATAAATCTGAATTACAATTAATTATACATGATTAGCTTTATCAACTTACCTATTGGTAGAGCTTTAGACAAATTATCATAAACATAAAATATCACGATATGATTTGATTTTGTGTATCCACTGTAAAAAATAGGTTTATTTTAGGTATAGTTTTTTAATTTGCTCGTTACACAATATTTTTGTTAATTTAATGGACACCGAATCTTTATATCCATTTTTCATTGGATAGACTTTAATAAATAGAGTATAACATTAATATTAATATATTAATCTATACTAATTTTACAAAGAGGTAAAGTTTGTGAATTGTGAGTTTGTGACGTTGTAGGGGGTAATCTCTGGATCTAATGAACCGATTTAGATGAAATTTGGTAAGAAGATAGTTTGAGACCCCAAGGTCTCAAAGAACATAGGATACTTTTTATCCTGGAAATCACCCCTTAAGGGGGCGATAATTAGGATGAAAGTTTGTACGGGAGATCAACCTAAGGACGAGCCTGAGCGAAGTGAGGGTGAGTCGCTAGTATAATATAAAAATGAATATCATATTATATTAAACGAGCAATTCTTATATATATTGTATAAGTTTATTTGGGTATTTCGGAAACGGTCCTAACGATCGGGATCAAACTCGGTATAGATAACGTTTTACTTTTTTAAATGTTGTTTATCTATATAGATATTTTTTCTTAAAAAAAAAAAGAATTTTTGAATAACATATATCTATTACATGATATTATTACGTTCAAACGCAGTCCCACATAAAGAAAAAAATCAACCATTACACCGGAATTATTACTACTATTAAGATAATTTGAATTCAATGTTCCTAAAAAGGAATTTTGTGTTTTTTAACAAAAAAGTTAAAAAACACTTATCATTAAAAAAAGAATTGCCCGCGGCTCCGCCCGCGTTCAGATGACTAAAAACCAAATTCTTAGGTTTTACATATTAGTATTATAATGTAAGGGACATTGCAGTTTTTGTATTTTTTCTCATAAATGAGATATTTTCCCGCGGTAAAAAGTATTCTATAGGTATGTTGACCCAGATAACCAGCTACCATCATACCAAATTTCATCAAAATCACTCCAGTGGTTTTTCTGTGATGCGGTAACATACAGACAGACAAAAAATTCTAAAAACAATAGATTCGGCCTCTGTGTCGATAATAATGTCTATTTCAATAAGATTTTCCAAAAAATATTTATTATACAGATTCGGCTTAGTTACAATTTTATTATATGTATAGATTACAAAAAATCTGATTCATAATTTAATATTTAATTATATATTTTCCAAATATTAATTACAGATTACCAAAAGGTAGAGAGTTCCAAGACAACGCATATAGAGAATACGACAGCGCGCATACCGAGACGGACGACTGTACCACTCTATATCCTGGATGCGACTTTTATTTACCGATGCAAAAATTAAATAAATACAAAAAATAACTTTCTATTTTATTTAATATTCTATTTTATCTAATTCTAAAAACTTTGACTCTATTGTAAAACTGACATGTATAAATTCTTAATTAATTAAAAAAATACCATTTATATATAAAACGGTAACGCTAACGGACTTTATATAATACTAGCGACTCACCCTCGTTTCCCTCGGGTTCGTCCCTGGCTCGATACAAACTTTTATTTCCATTTTCACCCGCTTAAAAGATGATTTCTGGGATAAAAAGTATTCTATGTCCTCCCTAGGGTCTCAAACTATCTTGTTACCAAATTTCATCAAAATCAGTTCAGTAGATCCAGAGATTACCCCCTACAACGTCACAAACTCACAAACTTTACCTCTTTATAATATTAGTATAGATTAGTAAAAAATATTTTTTTTACTAAAATTATGTACAGTCCGTTAGTCTACATTTGGCCAGTGTGGTCGAATATGGCCTGATCCCTGTCGCATAAGGCCCATGCCCAGCAGTGGAACGTTAAAAAATATGTACTGAATAAAACGCTGAATACACAACCCATACCAAATTTTTTAATTACTAATAGGGCACTATTAATTAATCTACATTACTAGTTCATTAAGTCGTCTGTCTATCCAACCTCTAAAATACCATATTAGGATTGTATTATTGTGCATACATGCGGACATGCGTGCGTTCATGTGTACAGATTTGGATGAAATTAAATTATGATCTTACGTTACGTTATTACACGTACTTTACTCTTAAGTTGGCAGACTTCACAGATCTTTCGAAACTTGTTAGGTTCTCTCAGACATACAGGTTTCCTCGCGATGTTATACTTCACTGTTAAACAAGTGGTGATCATGTTGGAAAATGATTCATACATGAAAATATCAGTGGTGAGGGACCTAGGATTTGAACTCGTTACCTTTGCTTCCCAGACAAACGTGATAACATTGGGCTGCCACTGCCTGTACATACTGACACGGAATACTAAAACCCTAAAAGACCTTTCAATGAAAAAATACGCGCATTTTATGCTAGTACTAAACGTATGTAGTTTGTTGTGCTCTTATTTTTCATATATTTTTTTATATATTTTGCTTTTTGTTCTCTGAATTGCTAAAAAGAATATCCAAGTCCCCACTTCGATTTACATTCAGAAATTCGACCTTTTTACAGAAAAATCGATTTCAAAGCTTTGAATTGGACTATACAGTAAAAGCCTATTAATAAACTAGTTTTAACCTCGAGTATTTTCAATGTAATTCGCAGTCACATCAAAATGGTTAAATCTGCTTTATACAGAGTTTTCAAACTTAAGCTGTTGCACGAGAAAAATAGGAGAAACTTGGATATATCACAAAAAATGGGTAAAATAGAAAAAAAATATTTTTAGTTTTTATAATTTTGCTTATTTGACTGATTGCACATATCTTTAGAGCAGTTTTATTTATTTTACTATATCATACTTCAAATAACGGACTTTTATCTAATAGGAATCTTGAAGAAGAATAAAAAAAATAATAATATTTAAATCATAAATTATCTTCATCTAAAACACAGTCGTCCCATTTTTCTATTTGTATCCAAAGTAGTTGATAAAATTCAGTTCATTACTAAGCCAAAGTCAGGTGAAGAAGTTACTTTTAAGTACAATGTTTGTATTTCATTTCCTATTCTTCAAACCACATTCCACAACCGCTAATTTTCCTCGCAGCATTTCGTGAAGGCCCTAATTGAATGTCAACAAATGTGTTCCAATTTGTTTTGTTCTACTATTCATATTTACCAACAGACTACTCCCTTTGTTTGAGCTTGCCCACTGTCTTTACGGATCAGTCACGACTCCATAAAAGTCACACGGTTGAATCTTTAAGTAAATATTAGTTTTCTTTTTCATTCAAAGTAAAATTACTTAACTAGCCAAATTCTAATTTTTACTTAATTCATCGATATTGTAAAATTGAGAGGTTTCTTTTTTTGTTATTTTTGTTATAATTATCAAGGTAAGATTTTAAAAATGATTATAAACTATTTTAATTGTATTAAAAAAAATGTATCCTTTGATGTGCTCTGTTTCTATGTCATATCCATACTAATATTTAAATGTGAATGTTTGTGAGGATGGATGGATGTTTGTTACTCAATCACGTCAGAACGGCTGAACGGATCTGAATGAAATTAGGCACAGATTAAGATTATAAGTTTGCTATATAGGTTACTTTTCATCCCGGAAAAATGTACGGTTCCCGTGGGATAGACTTATTTTTGTCTAGGGATGAACCCAAAGCGAAGTAAGGGTGAGTCGCTAGTCTAATATAAATTGTCAAATATATTTATTTCTGACAATTAGCATACCCCATTATTGTATTTATGTATCCAAAAATTAAAGTTTTTAAGAAAGTTTATATAATTTGCTTTCAAATCCAGTGCAAAATTTTAGTGCCAGTCGATTTCCTTTAAAAATTAGGCTACAAAGGCACCAAGTCTACTTAAGTCCAAGTCTTACCATACAAATGATTGCACTATTCGCTGAGAGATTAGAGTTTAGCCGTGAACCATCTTCATTTATTTTTGAAAAATGTACAGTTTTGTTTTTATGAATTTAGCTTTAATTAAAAGTTTTGTATAAATTAGCGAAATTCAATGTATATATCATTTACTTTAGTTTTTAATATCCGAGTATCCTGGAAGGTGAGTAATGTTTTTCATTTTCTTTGTCGTATAATATAATTATTATGTCCCCCTCACATTGAAGGGAGGCTAGCTCAGCAGTGGGACGTTAAAAAGTCTGGATACATGTCATATGGAGCTTCCTTTTAATACGAAGGGGATCAGGACATAGTCCACCACACTGGTCAAGTGCGGATTGGTGGGCTTTACATGTCTTTCGAAAACTTGCTAGGTTCTCTCAGACATGCATGTTTCCGCACGATGGTTTCCTCGGTTTTCTAAGCGAATGTATATGTTCATATTAAAACCTTTTTAACATTTATTCATAGTATTTTGATACAAAATATATTTACTGTAAAGCTAAAGACAGTTGTTTGCTTGTCAATTAGTTTTTTTAAAAATGTAAATACTTTTTTCATTTTATAATTATAGTTTACTTTACAATGAAGGCAAAGATGAAAATTTTGTTGCTATTATTAGAAATTGTTTTGACGTTTGGCCAAAATAGGGAGTCTACAAACGATCCGGGCAGTTACTCGAGAATACTTTCGAGGAAAAAAAGGCACTTGATATTTCCTGATGGCAGCTCCTTTCAATTGGGTATGTAGAGTAGTATGATTATTGATTATCTTATAATACATACTAGTATAGTATTGTCTATACAAATAAATAAAATTGAAGTGTTTGTTTGTAATTTTAAAATAACAGCTTTTCACTAAATTCATGTGAAAGTATATATGTACTCTAAACATATATATCCATAACACAAGCATCGTAGCTTACCATGGAACTAGATGGTGCTGTGTGTTAATGCTCAGCATATTTATTAATTATTATTTACCTGTATATAAAGATAAAATTTCTAATACTATTTTCCTTTTGTTCAGTATTTTGTACGCAAACCCATGGATATCTACAAGTTGGCGATATAGTTTGGTTTGGCAATACCGCAGCGTTGGCTTGGGAACTACCGACTGATCCTAAACTATTTAACTACTTTAAGAAATATGACAAAATCCACACCGCTGAAAACAGAGATGGTGCATCTAAGCTAATATACTTTTTAGATGAAAATGGAAAAGTTCTTTCTAAAAAACCATATCATAAGTAAGTAATAGTTATATTCATGTCTTTTTGAAACACCGCCACTTTCCTAGCTCCGGTGTATTGAGAATTTCTCGTTAGAGAAACCTTGAAAACTATTTATGGTCTAAGCCAGGAATCGAACCCATGACCTTCGGCTCCGTAGCCCTATATGCTGGCTACTGGACCAACAAGGCAGTTTCTCTATTACATATGTCATATTATTTATAAAAAGATTCTAAATTCATAGTCCTTAAATTGTCTTATTATAAGTAATATACCTATTATAACTAGCGACTTACCCTCGCTACGCTCGGGTTCGTCCCTGCGTACGTTTTCAGGTTTAATATAGATTTCTCAAAAATGAGATATTTTCTTGCAATAAAAAGTATCCTATATGTCGACCTGGATAACCAGCTATCGCTATACCAAATTTCATCAAAATCTGTCCAGTAGTTATCTCATGATGCGGTAACAGACAGACAGACAAAAATTCTAGACTATAGATTCGGCCTTTGTATCGATAATAATGACTATTTCAATAAGATTTTCTAAAAAATATTCGATATACAGATTCGGCTTAGTTAGAATTTTATTATATCTATAGCTAAAAATCATTAATGTTAATCTAATATTTAAGGAGAATCATTGTAAATCCAGCATTTGCCAAACGGAGCGTAGATGGCCATTTGTGTGAAGAAAAAGAAATTAATAAAACATCCATTCAAGAACTGCGAAAGAGGAAAAAATATTTAAACGTCTTGAAGAATCTTGAGAGCGATGCTATTGAATTTCATAGAGAGGGAAGAAAGAGCCTTTATGCGCAATTAGAAATATTCATACAAGCGTTAGTATACTATAGTTTTTTTTAACAGACTACAAAAAGGAGTTATAGTTTTATCTATATATACTATAGAGAGGCAGAATTTGTTTGTTTGTTTGTTTATTTATTTATTTGAACGCGCTAATCTTAGAGTCTACTAATCCAATTTAAATAAAGGCGGGCGAAGTCGCGGGTTCTGCTAGTTTTGTGTATATGAGATGTGATATCTTTCTTAATAATTGTACCGATTTTTTAAATCCTAAGAAAGTATTAATTGTACCCATATTTATGATTCTTTTAATAGTGGTCAAATGTGGTCCCTTATACAAGGTGTGTGAAAGTATTGTCAAACGGAAGTCCAAACATAGAACACCCCTTGGGGTATCCAAATCACCCCCCATATACGTTACGTGATTGTTCGTAGTTTTTGAGTTATGATTTTTTTTCTGAATTTTTGTGAATTTTCAAACTGGACAACTTAAAAAAGTTCTAAAAAAAGTAGTAGACATTTTTGCGATTTTTTTTTGCCACGGAATCTTCATGAGTTGTACTTTTATGCTTATAATAATCAGCCCCGTAACTTTGATGTAAATTATGAAAATGTTGGTGTCAAGTGAAAAATTTACTAACATTTTCAACTTGAATTTAAAATTTAAACAGACATCATGGTTCCTAAGTAGGTCTCAAAAATCATCAATCAATCTGTAATATGGGAACTAAATGAGACAACTGTTTGGCTTCAAGATTCGTTTAATACTCTTTAAATAATATGATGTCGTACAATATCGTACAGTCGTAATAGGTGTCGGGGAGACTTACACACATACACACTACAAATCTCAAATATCTTCGAAAATATAAAAGTAAGAAAGTCATATCAAAAAGCTCAATTCTTCAACTTATAAGTAAGAAACGATTATATGATATGAAGTTTTCTTGAAGCCAAACTTATACTAGAAAGATTTTGCACAAAAGATAAAGAATTAGTCGTCCAAGTGTTTATAGAAGTGGCTGTAAGACTTTTATCAAACTTTAGCGAGTAAATACTTTCTTTAGTTGGACGTATTATTTTTAAAAATCTTTCATGCGACAGCTTTTTATGCGGTATTTTTTTATTTCTATTTGTCTTTTTTTTTCTAATAAAATAAGAGTGTGAGCGTGTGCGTGTGCGTGGGCGCGTGCGCTGCTAGCGCGTGTGTGCGTGTGTGTGATAGATTGATTAACTCGCAAGGAAATAGATATATTTTTGACAGACTTAAAAGGAAGTGGTTTCAATTCGTCAATATTTATTTTCATTGTGTATATGTAACGTGACATATTCGGTAATTTTTGCAATTTTCTTTGATAACCAATATTGTATGCAGAGTGTTATCAAAAAATTCCACCCTGACGTTGGAATAATTTAAGATGACTTTAAGTAATCAGTGTACTTTTTTAATTAATAAGTATTTTAATTATTACTATTAATACATTCTTAGTTTAATCATTAGGATTGAAATTTCGTTATAATTTGATGATATTTCAGCCTTGGTTGGAGAGGGAGAGATTGTGTCCTTCGTTTACTATGCGAGTATGGCAACACTGCAGAGCAAGAACACGGCACGTTTTTAAAGGAAATCATAAGAGCTATATTTACGTGAGTATTTTTATTATTCGCCATTTACACCCATTTGTTTACTACAAGCAATTTGTTACTTTATATCCAGATAAATTTGAACCAAAATCGTGTGCAGAATTTCGATATTGCTATTGTCATATTGGGAATGACATACTTTATTTTACTTGTAACGTTCACAATTTGTAATGATTTCAACAATATACCGTAAATGTATAAATTAATGATTATTTTAATATAATTTTATGAATGTACTGATTTTACATACAAAATGTTGATTTGTCTACAATTTAGTTAACAGCAGTACACAGTATTTAACTATTTAGTGAATAACAAATGTATGATCGAAGTTTACAAAATAAATTTCTCTTTGATATTATTCAATATCTGCTATATATATATATATATATATATATATATATATGTGTGTGTGTGTGTGTATTTCAAGTTTTAAAATATTTTAAAAAATTAAAAAAAAATACAGTGTCAATTATTATTATTTTATATAAATATTGATATTACAGATTATTTACTATTTATTATCATTTGAGAAACAAACAGATATATGATACAGATATAAATACAAAACTATACATAAAATCTTAATATGAAACTACTCACAAGATAAAAAATAATTTACATTTCATTACCTTCTGCTGACACTTTTTTTTTTAACATACCAATAAAAAGCTTTTTTAAATCGTCAAGGCTCTGTATTGGCATTACAATTAGATAGAAAGAAAAATAAAATATATCTATCTCACTCCCCATTACTTTTTTAACATGATTTAATATAAAAATTAATATATTTTTTTTAGATTACCTCAAGGAAGGGTATTTGATGGTGATTTTTACAGAGAATACGATACGGCATATACAACGAAAGAAGATTGTGCTAACTTATACCCACACTGTCGAGCGATGGAGCAAATAAATCCTGCCTAAATAAAAACCTCTGTAAATATCATATTGAGTTTCATTTTTGACTCTAATCAATGAATGGTTTATTAAATAAATCTATCTTTTCGGATTATTTCGCGGATTTATTTTGATTTTTGGTTCCCTAATCCGCGAAATAATCCGAAAAGATAGTTTTATTTAATAATGTCAAACATTCGCGTAAATCTAAGAAAGTATTAAATGAAGGTTTGTTTGCACTTATTGATCCCTGTCATAACTTCCATGCTTAATTTTTCTATTAATACTGGCTGTTTTCCATCCGCATGGAAAGATGCTCAAGTAATACCTTTACCAAAAAAAAACAATCCCACTACTTTCTCCGACTATCGTCCTATTTCCATTCTACCCTTTTTATCCAAAGTGCTCGAGCGCCTTGTACATCATCAACTAAGTAATTTCCTTTCAAATCATAATCTACTGAATCCTATGCAATCCGGCTTTCGTTATGGTCACAGCACGACTACTGCACTCGTTAAAATAACAGATGACATCAGACTAGGAATGGAAAATCAACAAGTCACAGTTTTGACACTATTAGATTTTAGTAACGCTTTTAACACTGTTGATTTTGATATTCTTCTTGCTACATTGTGTTCTCTTAACATATCTCCAGAAGTGATTGACTGGTTTCACAATGACTTGTATGGTCGCCGGCAACGAATCCGTATTCACGATTCTTGCTCTGAATGGATTTCGCTACATGCCGGTGTTCCTCAAGGTGGCGTGTTGTCTCCTCTTTTATTTTCTATATTTATTAACTCTCTCTGTAACTATATTTCTTCTCCCTACCACCTCTATGCAGATGATCTACAAATCTACCGCCAAACGACCGTATTAAACTTAACTCAAACCATCGATCATATTAATACTGACCTACTTAATATTTCGCAAAAAAGTAAATCATTAGGCTTAATAGTGAATCCAGGTAAAACACAAGCTATAATTATAGGTAGTTCAAAATTAAAATCAAAAATATCTTTATCACAATTACCACCTATTATGCTTGACGGTATACAAATTCCTTACAGCGATAAAGTGAGAAATCTAGGTATTATATTGGACGAGACATTATCTTGGAAGTCACAGGTGGGCGAAGTGAGCAGAAAAATGTTTGCTGCCGTTGCATCATTACGTCGCTTACGCAACTTTCTACCCATTCCCACTAAAATTGCCTTGGCTAACACTCTTTTATTACCAATTCTTGACTATGCTGATACTTGTTACCTCGATTTAAGAGAGGAACAGTTAAATAAACTTGAGCGAATTCAAAATCTCTGCATTCGGTTCATATTTGGACTTCGTAAATATGACCACGTTTCCGAATTTCGTAAAAAGCTCAAGTGGCTCCCTATCCGTCTTCGCAGAAATACTCACGTTCTTTGTCTTTTATATAATATTCTATTTAATCCCTGTACACCTCAGTATCTTAAAGATAGGTTTAAATTATTAAGTGATTCTCACCATTTTTCTCTTCGTTCTAACCTTAATCTAACTTTACAAGTTCCTTCACACTCTTCTTCCTTCTATACTCGCTCCTTTACTGTCCAATCTGTCCGTCTGTGGAACTCGTTACCAAATAAAGTAAAACAGGCTGATTCGCTGTCACTATTTAAAAAATTAATAAATGAATATTATCTTAACTTATAAGTGCTAAATGGTGTCATATTTTATTTTATATGTATAATGTATATATGTGTGTATGTATGTATGTATGTATATATATGGTATATATGCATATATCTGTTTGTATATGTATGTATTTATTGTATCTCTCTTTAAGATTGTTAGCACCCCTTCCTTCTCTCTTCTTTCTCTCTACCCAAAGGTTGCCTAGAATAGATCGCTCTCTAGCGATAAGGCCGCCTATTGTACTATATTCCTTTAATCTGTTTCAACTATATAATGTAAAATAATGGTGTGCAATAAAGAATATTTTCATATTATTTTTCATTTCACTTATTAATAATAATTATTAGCACTACATTATAGTACATACATTTATATTTTAAAATATTTAATTTTAGTGCTATGAGTATTAAAAGACTGTGGTTTAGTGCCAATGTTATTTTTAATAGAAAAAATCACTTCAATAAAATTTTAAGTTTTTCTTACATATATATTGAACATTAAAATGTGTTTTGTTGCATAAAGACACATGTTATTCTTAAAGTAACAGATTCTAAGTCGACATATTTGAGGTAAAGTATTTGTATAGATTTTGTAAATGTTTCTTAGATTTATTCTTTTATCCTGTTCTACTACAAGTTTTTTGTTACCAGTTTAAAAAATAAAAAAGTTAAAATAAGGATAATCCTACTTTATCTATTTACTTTGTTTTCATGGTTAAGTTACTCACTTAGTTTTGTACACACAAATTCTGATAAAATTTTCATAAGAATAAATACTTGAACTCCGAAGAATGATTTTTAATATTGAAAATTGCATATTTGTTAATCAATCTCTTAAGATTTTAAATACTACTACATTTTTAATGTGCTTTTAAGTTATATTGTATTCAGCCCACGGGCCTCCCTTCCTAATACGAGGAAGATCAGGTCATAGTCCACCACACTGGCCAAGTGCGTGTTGGCGGACTTCACATGTTTTCACAAAACTTGTTAGGTTATCTCAGACATGCAGGTTTCCTCACGATGTTTTCCTTTATCGTAAGACAAGTGGTAATCATGTTGAAAATTATTCGCACATGAGAATATCATAGGTGCGAGACCCGGGATTTGATCCCGTTTCACTCGATTAACCAAGGGAGCGCATTACCACTGGGCTACCACTGACTCTCTTAAGTTATATAAGGCACCATTATTAAATATTTACACGGCGCTCCTTCAAACAATTCATTCTTTAGATGGGCCTCAAAAATAGAACCGATAAACAAACAATATCAATATGTACATTAAGAACTGCCTTCATTTCCTTTATTATGGACGACGTAATATTAAAAAGGAATGAAATGTACCTACGCAGGTCAAAGAAATTTACATTTCAATATTCAAATAGGCTATCGAAATATACCAAAGAAGAGTATAAAATAGGATATGCAAATTTAAATATTAAATTTAGTGAAGTAGAGCATAAATTTGATTGCGACGCGATTCCGTGGAGGTGTTAAACTAACGTAATGAGTGGAGACGGCAGCCGTTCTAATTCCTAGATCAAACATCCCGGGTCGACGAACAGTGTTACTGTGTTAAAAAAGTATGGATATCTATGTTTTATTTAAATTTTAATATAATATTATATTTATAATGATATTGATTTAAAAATATATGGTAAACTGACGCTTCGCTCAGGAAGAAACCTGTGAGCTACTCTAAATCAGCTATTTCTGTATAAGATTTTATCCAAATCCGTTCAGCCTCTTCGGCGTGAAAGAGTTACAAACACACACACCTACAAATACACACACGCACACGCACTTACGCTCGCATGCACGCACCCACACATACACACACACTATATTGATATTGAAAAACATACTTTTCCTGTTTCCGGGTGACTAATTTATTTCAGTATATCTAATACAGCGTGCAAATAAAAAGAATCACTATGTAATTTTATCTATTCCATAAAAGAAATAGATACACTGCATAAAATATAGTGTAGATATAGTATTAATAGTTTTTTAATTTATATTTAAATTTCTTTTTTCGAACTTCATGAGAAGGATATATATATATATATATATATATATATATATATATATATATATATATATATATATATAGATAAATAAAATGCACAAACAGAACCGTGTGCATTAATAAAGTATATAAAGGACTTATCATCAATATAGCTATTAGTTCTTATTAAGTTCATTCTTGTGTGAATGTACTAATAAAGACGTATTTTATATAAAATAATATTATTAAAATATGAAATCCTCGGAGCTTATTCTGCTATCGTTGCACTTTAAAATTGTATTGCAATAACAAAAATTGTTATAATATTATGTTATCCCCTCACATCTTGCTTAAACCTTCCCAGTTAGTTTATTTAAAACATTTCTAATTAAAATCTTCTTGTGATCCTCTAGGCCCCTAGCTAGGGTATAGAAACATATAACCTAACCTAAAACACATCTATCCCTCGGGAACCGTATATTTTTCCGAGATAAAAAGTACCCTATGTGTTATTCCAGACTATAATCTATCTCTGTACCAAATTTCATCCAGATCCGTTCAGCCGTTCTGGCGTGAAAGAGTAACAAGCATCCATACTCACAAACTTTCAAATTTATAATATTAGTATAGATTCCCTCACATCTTGCTTAAACCTTCCTAGTTAGTTTATTTATAACATTTCGAGTTCAACTTTTCTTGCATTCCCCTAGGGTATAGAATATAGAAACATTATATAAGTAAAACTGTGTTCTGTCAATCTGTATGGATATATCGATTTTTATTATAAAACGAGAGTGGCCAATTTTTTTAATGACTTTAACTATATATACTAATATTATAAAGAGGTAAAGTTTGTGAGTTTGTGAGATTGTAGGGGGTAATCTCTGAATCTACTCGACCGATTTATATGAAATTTGGTAAGAAGATATTTTAAGACCCTTTTTTTTTTGTTGACGCTGGGGAAACCCATCATGGGGACCCTACCGGCCGTCAATGGGTAGGGTACTGTGAGACTCCTACTCACTAAAACCCACAGCGGAACCCGTCGCCGCAGTGCAATGGGGTGTGCAGGATCGCTTGCGCATTCACTGCAACACCCCTGCGGACAGCCCGTACCCCGCGGGCCTGCCTCGCCTAAACCGGGATGCCCTCGGTTCACAGAGCATCCCGACCGCCCCGATGACGTGCAGGGGAGTCAACGAGAGACCCCCCCGCAGTAGCTCCTCTAGGGTGGCGGGAGAAGATGCGCATACCGGCGCCTCCTCTCCCCCAGCCGACGGCGACGAAGAGGGTCTGCTAAGGCGTTAGCCTCGCGTTCCCTCTCCGCCGTCTCCTTCAGTGAGATGACGGCCTCGCTGAAGGAGACCATCGCCGACCAGGACCTCTCGTCGCGTAGCATGGCCCCCACCACGCTTCGCAACGAGAGGTCTCCAAATATTTTAAGACCCTGGGAAGGACATAAAATACTTTTTATCACGGAAATCATCCCTTAAGGTGGTAAAATAGGGACGAAAGTTTGAATGGGGAATCAACCTAGGGACGAATCCGAGCAAAGCGAGAGTGAGTCGCTTGTATGGTATATAGCAAAAAAAAAACACAATGTTATCATCAATAACAGTGATGTCAATTGGAAACTGATTCATGTTACAATAGCAAATATTGAATGTAAAAATTGAAAATCTAACATGACTTAGTTATCGAATTTGTTTTTAATCTGATATCTCTTTTTCACATACGCCTGCATTGCACTACTAAATGTAGGCAAAAAAATGCATCGACAATTGATATACATATTTCAATTTGCTTCGTCTATGAAACTGACAATATTTTTAGTTTCAACCAGATTAACACAGAGTGCTATAGAACAGATATGTTCATTTAATTTTGAACCTAAAACTACATATTATTTAAGCTCATGTTTTTAAGAAAGTACAAGTTATATCATTTATTTTACTTTTATTGGGCTGTAAATATAATACACAGAAAATATATAATATACAGAAAAAAAAATTGAAGTGTCTATTTGTAATATCAAAATCACACTTTTTTTATTAAATGCATATAAGATTATTATATACGGTACTAATAAGAAAAACACAATTTTTAAAATTTATGTCTGTTTGTCCGTTTGTTCCGGCTAATCTTTGAAACGGCTGGGCTTATTTTAACTGGGCTTTCTCTGCAACATTTATCTTAGAAAAAGAATTAGGGGTCCCCTCAAAAAAATGAAACTTACTCATTAGTATTATAATAAAAAATATAAGAGAAGATTTTTCTTGGTTCGAGTGTTCGAAAACGCTACTCTCTGGGATTAGCAATCACTTTTCCTACTTGCATGCTACGATCTATAAGTGCAGATCAATACACATATGTACGAGTATATATAAATATTTTATTTTGTTGCTTCGCATGCTTAAGGTTTTTCTTTTCCTTAGAAGCTTCAATTTTACTCCTAAACGTACATAAAAAAATTACTTTGACAACGGCTTAAAATATTTTTATTAAAACACCTATTTAAACTTTTTTTTTTTAACGTTGGGAAATGCATTTACGCACGACGTGTGGGACTCACCGGCGTAATACAGCCAGTACTACCCACTAAAACCCAACAAAACCTTCCCCCGTCTTAATGGGGCGTCGCAGGATCGCTTACGCATTCAACTACGACGCCCCGACGGCAGGTCTGCCGAGGCAGACCACAACGACCATGGGGCCGCTCCAAGGTCCACTCTGCTATCAAAGAAGTACCAGGAGCAACCCGCATGGTACACCGCCCTCCGAAGAGGGCCGCCTCCCACCGCCCACCGAAGTGGGCCACCTCCCTGTGCGTTTCTTGGCTTCGCGCCCGGTTGGGTTGCCGGGCACTACTGAGCCCCCCCACCACGACAAGGTGAACGCACGTTGGGGGGGACCTATTTAAATAGGTCAACCTATTCTCATGTAATGCTTTTGCAGACATTTATGAAAGAATATTAACATGGAAAGAGACCGACAAATATTTTTTTATAGTTATTTTAACCTCTTCTTCGTCGACTGTTTTTAGCAGATACTTCTTGGTTCGGTAATTAAAAAAAAGGATGTCTACAACAGCGTCACCTGGCTCGTATAAGTACATACATTACTTTTAACAAAATCGGTCAAGCCGATAAGGAAGAGAAGTATTACAACCCAGGCACACTGGAAATCTATATATTATTATAAGGAAATTTCAAATAACATTATATAGCGTTGTCTATTACTACGAATTACTTACATAATATAATTACTTATATAGTATAATATAATTACTTATATAGTGTAATATAATTACTTATAAAAATATGAGATATAATCCATTTTTATGCCCCAAAGAAGATAATCGTTTATAATAAAAGCAAATTCCATGCCGAGCCACACAAAACAGTCACATGACCAGTAACATAAACCACATTTGTTAGCCAATAGCATACATCATAGCACGCGAGTCGAATACTGTATTGGTATTCAATAAATCTATAGCATACATGCTTGTTTATTAGAAAAATGCGAAATTTTGTTTTACTTTCACTAATTTTACTATCGATATTCGTATATAGTGAATGTTTGAATTCAACCGATCAATGTCCGAATGTGAAGACTTCGCTTGGAGCGATACGGAAGAGGAGGCATTTGACTTTCCCTAATGGAAGCAATTTCATTGTAAGTTGTCTTTGTTATTTAATTAAATAATTTATAATCGGAGTACTATGATAGTCTAGATTAGTGTTTATCTATCATTTCTTCGAGCTGAAACGACTGACCAGATTTGGATGAATTTAATGCACATATAGAGTTTGATTTGGATTAACACAGATTACTCAGTCAGGGACGCATGCAAGCAAAGCGAGGGTGAGTGGCTAGTTTTATAATACTGAATCGTTAATTATTGCATTGAAATGTACTAAAGTGAGTATATATTTAGTTCGCGATTAAGCTACCACCAGCTTGATTTGCAGTTGAGAAGTGTTGACGAGAATGTGTTAAATATATATATATATCACTAGCGAATTATCCTCGCTTCGCTCGAGTGCATTTTGGTTTTGTGAGCGGAATCCTAATTAGTTTTCTAAAAAAAGTACCTTAAGTTATTCCTTATAATATCAGGTATCCGCAAGTGAAAGTCCTGTCATAAACAGTCCAGCCGTTTCGGAGATTAGCCTGAACAAACAGACAGACAAAATAAAAAGTGTGTTTCTCATATATGTACCGCATATAATCTCATAATATACATGTAGTAAAAATGTTATTTTGTCATTACGAACAGACAGTTTAATTTTATTTATCTACATATTATATTATAGATAAACTAAGCTAGATATCAAAACAAAGACGATGTTATATAACTTTAATTCCACGCATTGTTTTCTTCTAGATATTGAATCGCAGTTTTGTTTTTTTAGGCTCACATGGACGTTGTAGGAGTGGAGTTTCTTAAGAAAACATACATAATAATATATATTTGAAATCGATGTTGATAATTTTTAGTGTATACACTGTACATTTTTAGTGTACGATTGTCTGATAATCTTGATTCTGGTTTTATATATTAGTACTGTTAGTGAGAAGTTAAATAAGAATGCCTTAGCTTCTTTAGATTCAATTTTAAAGAGTAAAATATTAAAAAATATACACATATACAACTATCAAAAAATAATATTAGTTTGTCAACATTAGGTATTATTACCTTTTAAATTCAAATGCATGTACGTAGTTTTATGATTTGATACTATCTTATATAACAAATGGACGCTTCATAACCTAGTTACTCTGTGATATTTGATGACAGGCCGCGATTCTGATCAAATATTGGTATTGAAATTGTTTCTACGTTGATTGTTTAGAATTATTTCAATTTTACAATGTTATAAATTAATTTTGCATATCGCAAATTGTAGTTAGAATTGATAAAATAAATTCATTAATACACTACCAACAAACCACTGATTTAGCCATATAAATTGGATATTGAAGGCTCTCAGTTATTAATTCAAAATGAATCATTATGGTCTAAATACGGAAATATTAATTTACTTATATGTATATATTATGCAATGAAAGCTTAAGTTTACGAGATTTCATGGTCACTGGCATTTTATGATGTTAAATGGGATATACGCATATATAACATGTGATTCATCTGTCGAGTTAGACTAAATTATTTATAGAAATTTAACACTGATTCTAATAAGCATTATAAGTTTAATTAAATTATATTTGAAAAAGGTTGCAAGTGTGAGTGTTATTTAATAAAAACAAAACAATTATTTCATACTAATATTATAAATGTAAAAGTGTTTTCGTTTGCTTGTTTGTTTGTCCTTTCACGTCAAAACAGAGTGACGGATTGGCGTGATTTTGTGTGTGGAGATAGTTGCGAGGGCTGGAGAGTGAAATAGGCTACTTTTTACCGCGGATGATTAATTCCCACGGGAAAACACGTTATAATATAATTAAAAAATATTTATGAACAGAATTGCCTGAAACTTGGTATTCATAATATTCAATAAAATTAAATAAATACGTGTTTTATAAAAAAATAGCATTTTTCAAAATTCATCCCATAAATAGAGGATTAAAATTTTGTATGAAATGTACCTATTTAGAACTTTTTTCTGCATCTTTGCGTGCAAGCGACGCCGTGGGGAGCTACTAATATTTTTATATTCTTATAGTTTATCATGTAATAATGTACTTTAATAATATAATTTATTATTTAACAATTTACTTTTAACAATCCATCCGTGAAAAGCCTGATATTTTCATTTTAAATCATTTGCTTGTTATTTATGTTACAGATAACAATAAGTCTTGTAAAGGCATTCATGACTCATGCCCCCTCGGGTTGGAATATTTCTTTAGAAATTGACGTATTATTCCCTCTTCCTGACTCTAAATTCACCAACGCTCATTTTAGGAGAAAACTTCATCACCGACAGAAGAGGGAATTTTGGGAGAGACTTCAGAATGCTATTGATTTGTAAGTGACCATGATACTTTCTTAGATTTACTCAAATATTTGACATCTATACATATAATAAAATTCTGAGTCAAATCTGTACATTAAATATTTTTTGGAAAATCTTATTGAAATAGACATTATCATCGATACAGAGGCCGAATCTATAGTTTTTAGAATTTTGGTCTATCTGTCTGTCTGTTACCGCATCACAGAAAAACCACTGGAGGGATTTTGATGAAATTTGGTATGGTTATAGCTGATTATCCGAGTCAACATATAGGATACTTTTTACAGCGGAAAATATCTCATTTCTGAGAAAAAATACAAAAACGTATGTAATGTAAGAGTATACTAATATGTAAAACCTAAGAATTTGGTTTTTGGTTATCTGAACGCGGGCGGAGCCGCGGGCAATGCTAGTCTTATGTAAAACTCTATTTTCGGATTTTCTTGCTTTACAACTATCGGAAAACGGGTTTCTCCTGTGACCATAATTGCTGTTTGATGTTGATGATGTTTTGCGTCAGCGCTATAATTTATTTGTTTATTTATATAATATGATGCTCTATATGAGTCGTGTCTTCATATCCCTTAAACGCGAATAATACATTCGCAACAACCTTTGAGCGACAGTAGGCCTTTACTATTAGGTAGATTATTTACTCATTTGACCCTTTTTCTGTAAAAGAAGAAAGTGCCGTAGAGGGGACCTTTGCCATAGAGTTGAGTTTTATTGTAACTAATCGGTACTAAGCTTGCATTTTAAAAATACTCTTATTATTTCAGCCATAATTTAAACGGACGCGCCTGTGTTCTTCGAAGTATATGTGAAGCTCGCAGCAGTTTGGCTCAACCTGGAACATCTCTAGTCCATGATATACTTAGAGTTATTTTTACGTAAGTAAGAAATTCAAATTGTATTGATTAACATCAGCAATGCCTTAATTGTGTCTGACATATATATATATATATATATATATAATCCTTTTATGCCACAAGACGTCTTTTATAGGGAAATCATGTAGATAAATAAATACATTTTTCTTTTTTTATGTGTCTTAACTTGATACATATAAAGATATACACATAATCCTGAAAATCTTTAAAATATTTTATTGAGGTAAATGAGAGTGATTTTTATAGTTATATAGTATAAAAACCAAATTCTTAGGTTTTACATATTACTACATTCTTACATTGCAGTTTTTGTATTTTTTCTCAGAAATTAAATATTTTCCCGTGGTAAAAATTCCTAGCCTATATATTGACCCGGATAACCATCTATCACCATACCAAATTTCATCAAAATTCCTCCAGTGGTTTTTTTGTGATGCGGACAGACAGACAGACAAAAATTCTAATTAACTATAGATTCAGCCTCTGTATCGATAATAATGTTTATTTTAATAAGATTTTCCAAAAAATATTTAATGTACAGATTCGGCTTAGTTACAATTTTATTTTATGACATTATAGACAAAGTCTAAAATTTTTCATGAAAATATATAAAATAGATTAAAAAATAACTTATAATATTAAAAAGACAACAAACACTATTATTTATTGGTGAATTTCAACATTTTAATTTAAAGTTGTTTGCGATAAAACCACATCAGGTAACTGTATACATTAACTTCCATCTCTTATTGTAAATTAAAGCACATCTTTATATTAATATACAGACATTCGTTCCAAATTATAATTTTAGAAGCATAACAACTTATAACTATTTATTTATAACTAAAAGCTGTAAATCAGGTTTGCTATTATTTTACCTATTTCTGAGACCATCGGGGACGGTTTTAGGTTATCTCAGATAGCATAACAGGAAGTTTTAAATATCACACGTTTGTTAAGTACTGGATAATCGTACACACGGACGTTTAACGCTCAGTGTTGGTAACTACGATTGGAAACATACAAGTGTATTTTCGGGAAAACCTGACAGCTACACGCTGATATTTGGCAGTGCCTTTGAATGATACACAGAATATTGTATATATAATAAAAAAAGGTATAATATTATTATGCACGTGCGGAGATTGAGTGAGTGAGCTACGTAGTTATAAATTTAGTATCTTGAATTGATAGTTATGCGTTGTGATTTTTAGTGTTGGTAATTTTTTTTATCAGACTGCTAACTAATATCGAAAGCTGGTAATTTGTATTTTTACTAATTAATAAGGTAAATAAGGGTTTGTGTTTTTGTGTGTATTTGTTATATGAAATGGCTGGACCGATTAATATGAAGTTTACTATACAACTAGACTATGACCTGGAGTAACACAAAATAATAAGAAGAGTAAGGCGACAGTATAACAATAACCTTGTTAAACATATTACGACAATAATTAATCTTTAAAAAATATCAAGATTGAGTTTTCTTAAAAGGACGCAGGCTCGAACAAAATAATAAAACTTATGTTTCCACCTAGAATGTTCTCCATATCAACTTAATTGCCTTATAATCCGCGTACGTGACGCTTATCTATACGTGTTCGGATTAATTTATAATATTCATTCCAATGGTGGTTTTATATACACTCGTTGTCTCTGAAACTCGATAGCTCAGAAAACGATGTATATATTTTTACGTATAATTTTAGTTATGAAAGAGGGCGTCTGCTGAATCTATCTAATTAAAGTAACAAGTTTGATTACCTTAAGGGATAGATTTCTTTATTATTTGATAGTAAAGATATTACGGATTGAATCTTAAAAGAACTAAACTAAAAGAGATAAGAGAGATGAGATATATTTAATTAAGTTACATCAGAATAATATGTTATGCCCATATATATTTTAGTGTTATAGTTGTAAACTTGTTGAAAAGATAAGTAAGATTCGAATGAAAATCTAAAAGGGTCACAGGGTTTGAATTGCATCAATTACTAATTAACCGACTTCCAAAAAGGAGGAGGTTCTCAATTCGTCGGAATCTTTTTTTTTTCTTTTTTTAATGTATGTTTACCAATTACTCGAAGATACCTGAACCGATTTGGAACTTTTTTTTGTTTTTACTTTTTTTTGTATGTAAGTCGGTCAAGCGATTTTTTTTTAAATCAACAAATTATTATTTTTTTAATAAATTGCTTAATCGAACATGTTATTAATAAACTTTCTTCTAACAAATTACCTGCTTATTACGTCTACACTAAAAATGGACAGATAAAAACTTAAAAAAAAATAATTAAAACCGACTTCCAGGCACTAAAATGTAAAAAAATAACTAAACGGGGGTTTTCATTTAGAATAGATACCTAATCAGATATTTTCGAAGTCGGTGCCAGCCGACAATATTTTAATATGAATATCTAATAGGTAAATACATATGTGTTTTACGTATTGAAATATATTAGATTTGCTTTGCATCGACTGGCACCGACTTCGAAATGAAATAAATTCTAAATGAAAACCCCTGTATAGTTATTTTTTACATTTTAGTGCCTGGAAGTCGTTTTTCTAAAGTTTTTATTTAAATATATAAGTTAAAATTAAAATGATCTATGGATACTATTTTTATAGTAAATTTGAATGATCTAGAAATATAAAAGATCTCCTACTTAAGTGTCAAATGCATGAGGACAGTGGGACAATTGGGTTTGATCCCCTACTAATGGTAGCCTCGAATTTGTCATATGCGGCTTGTGGCGCGTGGGTCACATGATTGATAGCCAGAATGACAAGTGCAGGCAACGTGTATATAGGGGTTTTAGCTTTTGTTTTTAGCTTTTTATAAAAGCTTTGCTGTGTAGCTTTTATAAAATATTCTATATATATTATTTGATTTATAGCATTTGATAGTAGACGAAAATTTTCCAAAATAATATAATAACATAATTTGAGTTGTTTACGACTTAGATAACTGAAAAAAATCCATCAAATCAATTTGCTTTTTAATGAAAAACGGATTCTCCTAGTTGTTCCACATGCCAGGTAGTAGATGATGTGTTCCATGATATGATGAAATGTACTCAGAATGTCCCATTGAAACGTCATTTATTCGCTAACAGCCTTTTTTACCTGAATATATGAGAATATAACAGTTTGCTATGCGAGATTTTGTCGTAACTGTGGTTAAAAAAATAAAGGAATTCTTTCTTTAAGTTTTTAATATTATTTTTAATTTTTTAAATATTTGGGAAACATACAGTACAATAATACTTAGAATTAATCAGATATAAATAATACATAAACCAGCGAAGTTTCCACTTAAAAATATATCATAAATTAGAGCACGAGTGACAAGACAAAATTGGTATAAGGCAATTGATTAATTAAAGTTAAAACTAAAAATAATAATAACAATCATAATACAATAATGAAAAAATTAATTAATTTTAATAATATTTAGTCAATAATTCATTTAACTATATTTGGAGAAAAAAGATATATTATAAAGTAAAATGAAATATACATATGAGTTATATCATAAATGTATACAACATATAACAATTGATCTCTTTAATACTTAAGGTACTTTTTTCCATGTCTCATTTGTTTATAACATCCTGTATAACGTAAATACACACTGATTTTAGAATTATTTCAATTTGAACGAGAGTTCCTCACTTAAAACTAACCAGAGAATTGCAAACCCACGATTTTTAATAGTGTTATTACCAGACAGTCACGTACATAGACGTTCATACTTATAAATTAAATTTATATTTATAAACCTTTCAAAATATTACCGATAACAAGTAAAATTCAATTTATCCTTTTCATTCACTTAGTATGAAATCCAATTTCATGAGAACGTTGTGAATCATAATTTAGTATATCTCGTCTCATGCATTTCAGTTTCTACTCTTGAGTTACACTTCGATTGAAAGTTTATAGACCATGTTTATATTTTAAAATAGCTAATACTATCAAATACAAGAAAAAGTATCAAATATATTTGATACTTTTTCTTGTATTTGATACTTTTTCTTGTATATGATTTCTTTACAAGAAAAAAGAGTGACTAGTATATTGCTTTAGAAATTTTACGTTACGAATACATATGTAATAGAAAATGCTACACTAAAAATCGTAAAAGCGGTTTGAATGATATATTCAAAGAAAAGCTCGTGAAATATTATTTTGGCTTGCAAAATAAGAAAATTAACAAAAATATCAATCCAAAATTGACTTTTTTCAACTTTCTATCAGAGCCACGTGCCACTTATTAGCGTGTTTGCAAACTATAAGCTTTAATCGGTGAAGGGTAAATTTGTAGAATTCTTAAGTAAATCTTGTGAAGCTCTGAGGAAAGCTTTAAGTTAAAGTTGTGACATCAATTTGAAGTTATTTAGAAAGAATTTTACCAAAACTTATAAAATAATTAATTTATTATTGGGTCAAATTTATTATAAACCAATTCAAATATCATATAAATAATATTGTAAACAAATTAAAATACTATATTTAATATATGAAGATAATAATATATTTATTAATCAAAATCAATCATTTTCATCCAGTGTATGTTTTTTCTTCTTTACCATATTAATTCCTTATCCTTTAATATCCGCATAGAATATTAAAGGACAGTCCCATAAAAATCCCATAACAAATGACCTTTAAAAATTAAACGAAATTCTCTAATAAAAGGAATATACTTTGCAAACTAATTTTTGTATTTCAATTTTTCTGATTTTCTTTTAAGTGCAATAAAGAATAGTATATATATATATATATATATATATATATATATATATATATATATATATATATATATATATGAACCAATATTGAAATACAATGGCGGACGAAGTCGCAGTAAAAAACTAGTAATATGACTAGATGATACCCCATAATAATAAATTACATTATGTTTACGCTAAAGTGATTTTATTTAATTAAATATATTTTACAGAGCGCCCATCCACGAAGAAGATTTTACTAATGAAGTAGCCGACAGTTACAGTGAAGTGTTGGAGCCGAATTTCTGCGAAAACGTCAACGACTGCCCTTTCTCACTGATGCATTTTGTATTAGCTTTAAATAAACAAAAATATTAAATTTCCTAGAACAATATGCATTTAAATTAATAATTATTATTTTCTATATAATTCTATATAATCTCTTATTATAGAAAAATATTTCTAATTTATGAACTCTTGGAATTGTGAAAAATGGCGAAAAAATTATCTAATTTATATGTAAAACTGTACTGAAATTATGTTTTCTTACAACAGATATTGGAAAAATAAGCTGATATAGTTTTAATAACTATAAAATAACTATTATAAATTAGTATTAATAAAAAGTTAATTATTAAATTAAAATAAAGTTATTTGTAGCTAAGTCATTCCAAAGATTATTCCTGGCAAAACATAAAGACAGACAGACGGACAAAAATTTTAAAAAGCGTACTGGTATCATATAAATAACTTTATGTACTCGAGAAATCATAGTTATTTTGAAGAAAAGAACAGATAGACACTTTAATTTTATTTATATGTATATATTTTAAGTAAAAAAGATTTTATAGAGCACCAGTCATACAGACATACAAACGATCTTACATGGGTTCCACTAATTATTTCTAGCTACGAAATGCTTATTACGTAGCAGCTCTAACTTCCACTCAAGCCTCTTGAAGTCTCGAATTTCAAATATTCATATTGTATTATCAGTCTTATATTCCCCTGGGAACTCCTCGATGATCCAGGGTAAGAGTAACATATACTCGTATGTATATGTAAGTGATATGGTATAGGTATTTTAGTATTTTATTGGATGAATAAGTATGAGTGCTATAAGCTACCGTGTGCTTTGCATCAAAATAGTATAAACTAGCTTGCTTCCCCATACAAACTTTTATCCCCATTTTCATCACCTTAAGGTATGACTTCCGGGATAAAAACTATCCTATATCCTTTCCAGGGTCTCAAACTATCTTCTTACCAAATTTCATCTAAATCGGTTCAGTAAATCCAGAGATTACCATACAACGTCACAAACAATCTCACAAACTTTACCTTTTTATAATATTAGTATAGATGTTGGCCTCAAAAGTAGCATTTAACAGATCCCATCCAAAATTCTTTAGGAGAAGACAATTCTACCTAAATAGCATATTATTCTTACTTTAATCAATAAAACGCTAATATTTTCTATATTTAGTAGTATACGATAGAAGAAACCACACAGTTTCCACGTAGATCGATCTTCATATCAACTTAATTATAAGGCATAATCCGATTACGTGATGCTTATCTATACGTAACTGGAATAATTTTAAATATTCATTTTAATGGGTAGTCTTTGTATACTCGATAATATAAAGCTTTTAGATTATTACAGCAAGAACTGTTTATGCAGGTTTTTTTACTTTGTATTCATTTGCTTTTGTAAAATTATTCTATTTCAAGCTTTCATACTAAAGGGTCCACTCGGTATCGTATTATTAATCCATTGGTTTATTTTACTGATGGAGGGGTTGTATCTTTTCAATTATATTAGATGGCTGCTTCTAATTTTCATAGCATTTTCATATTATTACGGTATTTCATACGAATTACAAAAAGTAAAAAGTTACAAGGATCGCGATACAAATTAGATGTTTTTAAGGGTTATTATTGTTTTACTCTATAAAATTGGAATCGGATAAGGGAGAACTTGATTCGTCCACTGAATATAGGTCGTGGTATATTTTTTGCAGCATATTATGACAAAAAATTGGCTTCTACAAAAAAGTCTGTTATAAAAAAAATATTTATTTTGATCTAATGATATAAGTATACATAATATGTATATATGAAAAAAAAGTTTTCTTTAAAAAAGCTATAATCTGCAAAGAAAACGTATTATAATGAAAAATACAAAACAATATCAAACATCTTCAGTTGATATATTATTACCACATGCTGGTCTGTTTATTATTATAACACTATAAGGTGTTTTGAATAGCCAAAGTTAAATCTAAGAGCTTTTTTCGTGAGAGCTTTTTGTGCACGTGTGTGACGCTTAAAGTGAATGGAATCGAATATTTTACGGAGTCAATGTGCACGTCTCGCATTGACAATTTCTTGTCTTCTCCAGTAGTAAATAATGTTTTATTAAAGAACTCGACATGTAACTTCACTCTGTATAGATTTAAGTATATTTATAAAATGTATAGAAATATGGAAGTATTTGAACTCTGACTAAAAAATAATATAGATAGTTTTATAGAATTATTCATAAAGCCAAATAATAATGCTTTGAATTAGTATACAAACTAACGACTCACATTCATCTTTAAGTAAGTTTTAATGATTAGTTTTAAATAAACAGTTGCTCTACGAAATACAAAAACAAATTTATCCCACGGAAACCGTACATTTTTCCAGAATTAAAAGTAACCTATGTGCTATTTCAGACTATAATCTATCTTTATGCTAAATTTCATTCAGTTCTGTTCAGCCGTTCTGGCGCGATTGAGTAACAAACATTCATCCAAACTTTCGCATTTATAATATTAATAATAATTGGATGCTAAGTAAATATTTTTTTAAAGAACAAAAATATTGAATAACCCAATGCTATCTCTCTTTCAATTGGAAGAGAACTAATGCTTAAAAAAATTATAATAATATATTATGATCAATATTATTCATTGTTATATTTCAAAAATTGTATTTTAATATAAATAATTTCCATTTATAAAGTTTCTCTCTTAGTCTTTAAGCAAAGTAATCGATATTTATATCAAAATCGAGTACCTATTTAGTAGCATAAACAGCAAATCACGCTACTGTTTACCGACCTTATTATTCTTACAAAAATTACAAAAAGTTTTGGCTGTGTGTAAAATGTGCTTCATATTATATAAATTTCCCCATAAAGTAAGTATATTCTTTTATATTATATAACCTATGATACTATTTCATAGTAAACGGTTGACAATTAAGAGTTAGTAAAGTAGTTGAATATTTTTTGTCGTTGAAAGCTTGTCTTTTGTCGTATGTCGTTGTATTCCCCTAATATGTTCTTAGAATATTTTAAATTTTAAATAAAACTACCTTTCATCAGGAGAAAAACTCTTCCATGGTAGCATTGGAAACGTCGAAAACCAAAATAAAAATAAATCCTAAAAAATCGGAAATTAGAAGACCCTTATTTATCCCTTTTTACAGGTATAAAAAAGCTACAGAGTTTGTTTATTTGTTTGAATGTGCTAATCTCAGGAACTACTGATCCGATTTCAAAAACTCTTTCTGCATTAGATAGCCCGTTTATTGAGGAAGGCTATAGTTTATATATCATAATGCTACTACCCATGGTAGCGGAGCAGTAATAATAAATCAACAAATCGGGCAGACTTCCATACATTTTTGTAAAACTGATGTTTATAATATGTTTAAGTGCTTTAAGCTCAGAAACTTTGGTCAAGTACTCATTGTGTAGAAGGTAGGTATATGAAACACGTATAGATATATGTATAATCAAATTTAATGCGGTTGAAACCGCGGGGCAAAGCTAGTATAATATAGTCTAATAATCTTATTTAACCGATCAAACTCCCTCCTGCCTTCTCCATTCTACGTGACATTGGCGAAGTAATCTGAGTTCAACTAGCACGTTTTAAAACCATTACTTACATACATACTTTTGAATTTTATATTCAAGTTATTATGTATTAAAAATATTGCCATTTCTTTACAAAGTTTTATATGCCCGCGTTCAGATGACCAAAAACCAAATAAAATAACGCTATTGTTATTTTTAAGCTATTTTTAATAGTGTTTGCCTTATTTAGTAAGTTACCTTGCTAAAATATATATAGTACAATCGGGATTTTATTCTAACCAGTTTTTGTATTTTTTCTCAGAAGTTAGATATTCTCCCGCGGTAAAAAGTATCCTATTTATGTTGACCCGGATAACCAGCTATGACCATATCAAATTTCATCAAAATCCCTCCAGTAGTTTTTCTGTGATGCGGTAACAGACAGACAGACAAACAGACAGATAGACAGACAGACAAAAATTCTAAAAACTATTTATATTATAATATTTATTCGGCCTCTGTATCGATAATAATGTCTATTTCAATAAGATTTTCCAAACAATATTTAATGTACAGATTTAACTTAGAATTTTATTATATGTATAGATAAAAACACTATTTGTAACCGCTCCAGTTCTTATGTGAAGACGATTTTGCTAATAAATTGATGGAGACGTATCTACCGATCAGTTCAAGTGCCGACTTTTTGAAATGGCTTATTGCATTTTTTTTTTGAAATTTGGAACGAGTTAGTTTATATCTTGAATAGACACAAAGGGATTTTTCACATTTTACTTTCAAGCGGAATACATAAATATCTTAAAGTTATATTTTTAGAACCTTGCAATTTATGTGCATATTTTTATATGACTTCCAAAAATGAGGAAGTTTTGTGTTCGTCTGTATGTATCTTTTTTTTAGATAATACATTTTAGGTAACATTTACTTTGTATTGACTCGTGAGTACATTAATTCTATCCATACTATAATACAATAAATGTAAAAGTTATCTTTTCACGCTTAAACCGCTGAACAGATTTTGATGAAAATTTGCAAGTATATAAATTGCATTCTGGAGACAAACATCGTCTACCTTTGATCTCCATCCCATTTACAACGCGAGCAAAGCCGCGGGCAAATTTTAATATTAAATAAAATCGTCCAGATTTCTTTTTGATATAAATTATCATAATATTGACAAAATTCATTTATAATGCAAATCTGTATATATTATAAAATTACTCATATAAGTTACTCGTACATTTTTCTGGTAATAAAGGCATCCTCAAATTTTGACCTATGATTTTTTTGTAGAGCACTCAAATACTCAGTTATCCATTAGCAACATTTCTCTTTCATTAACACCTGCGATATGTGAAAATTGTTTTAACCGTTATACTTGACATACATTAAAAGTCAACTTGCTTAGTTTGATACTGAAAATTTACAAAACCGCATGGTTTTTATTTGAAAACGGTTAAAATTAAAAGCCGATATGAAGATAATTTATAATTTTATTTTCTTAGTTTTGTTCCTTATGAGTACTTTGTCAGCGGAACGTAATGGCAATGATAAGAAAGTTCTGTCTAGAAGAAAAAGATATGTCGCGTTTCCTGAGGGCTCGAGTTTTTCGGTAAGTTTAAGTTTTTATATAAAATTGTTTTAATGATGTTTTTGTGTTCAAATTTAGAGATTTGGAGGAAATTTTAATTCATAAGGAAATTATATTTATCTATAGTGTTAAGCATTTTGTTATATTAATAAACTTATAAGAAGCTATACGAACGGATAAATAAAATACATATATAAGAGATCATCACTTTTATAAGTCACTAACTCACCTTCTCTTTGCTCGGGTCTGTCCCTAAGTACTTTTTAACAGTTAGAATGGAATATATGTATATATACTATGTATTATATAAAATATTGTCTTTCTCAAGAAACGGGCTTTCTAACGAAAAAATATTTTTTCAAATCGGATTAATAGTTTCTAAGATAAGCGCTTTCAAACAAACTAAGAAACAGACAAACAAACAAATAAACAAACAAACGAAGTCTCTTTATAACATTAGTATGTATAGATATTAGATATTTGAAAAAGGTTCACGTCATTCGTTTCCATATATCTGATAATTAAATATGAAAAACCAAATTAAGAGAAATTAATTCTTATCATAAATCTGTTATCTACTAAAATTTCTCTACACTTATGTTTTATTTATACAGTTTTATATATATTTTCATTTTAAAAATCAAACCTAAGATCTCATGGCCATAAAATTTGCTCTATATTTTGTATATTCGAATATTTTTTCAGTGCGCTGGTTGCATGACAGTAGGTGTGATAGGCCAACCGGCGCCTTCATCTGCGCCAGGAACTTTCACCTTTGGCCTTAACTGGGGTATCGCATACGAGTTGCCAAATAACACTGAAACTGCATCGTTTTACCATCGCAAAAAGAAGCCAATAGCCCAAAGACGTAACCGACGAGAGCTTTACGAAAAATTAGAAATCATTATGGATAAGTAAGGATATATGTGTTTATAACTATACTAATGACTTATTCTAGCCCCGCTCGGGTTCGTCCCTTTTAACGCTTAGTATAGATTTCGCAGAGATGAGATATTTTCCCGCAGTAAAAAGTATCCTACATGTTGACCCGGATAACCAGCTTTCAGATACCAAATTTCATCAAAATCTGTCCAATAGCTTTCCGTGATGCGTTTCCAGATAGACAAACAAAAATTCTAAAAACTATAGATTCGGCCTCTGTATCGATAATAGTGACTATTTCAATAAAAATATCCAAAAAATATTTCATGTACAGATTCAGGTCAGTTAGAATTTTATTATATTATGTATAGATTGCCATTTTACAATCGTTGGAGAACAGGGAATCTTAAAAAATATATGGGAAAGAACGACTATGCTTCTATAACAACATTTAAAGTTCTTTCAATACAGCTTTTACAGCTTTTATTCTCTAAGGATATATACGAACAATTAGAGGACAAAAATGTCTAATCCCCTTTTTTGCAATTTTAAATATATTAGCTATTTATTTTCTAGATTTTACTTCTTTAATGTGCAAACAGGAACGTAATTTGACTTTCTGCTGAATATGAGTGAAGTTAGTTAGCCACGCCTTATTTAGACCGAGGCTATTTGTATGGTAATAATGTTTAATTAATATGTTGGGACATTATTACACAACACCATCTAGTTCCATGGTAAGCTACGAGGCTTGCGTTATAGATACCAGATAGTTGATAATATAAATATAAACACCCATGACTAGAGTACAAACATTAGTGCTCATCACACAAATAAATGCCCCCAGTGGGATTCGAACCCGCGACCGCTAGCACAGCGAGTAGGGTCACTACAAACTGAGCCAAACGTGTCGTCTAATTAGACTAAATTGGAATCGAATCTATTACATTGTAAACCATATCTTTCCCAAGTTACTCAGGCTTATATAATGTGGTTTGTCAATAAGAATCCAGTAAAGAAAATCGCACGAAAAAATTTAGCTTACATATAAAATAGAAAGTTTTTTTATAAAATAGAAGTGTAATATATTTTTTTCATCAAAGGTAAGTTATAAGTACCCATTCATTAATGATTTGTATTTTTGACTTGGGACTCACAATCGCTTTGCTTAGGTTCGTAGGTTGCTTCCCCGTACAAACTTAGACCCATTTTCACCCTCTTGAAGGATGATTCCCGGGGTAAAAACTATCCTTTGTCCTTCCTGGGGTCTAAACTATCTTCTAACCAAATTTCATCTAAATTGGTTCAGTAGTTTCACGCCTATTCGATACAAACAAACGAACAAAAAAAAATTTTTTCCTCTTCATAATATTAGATTAGAATAGATGAACAAGTAAGTTTATTTTACATGAATGCCTCCTTCTTCAGTATGGGCTACAATGGTCGGCAGTGTATATTAAAAACGTTATGTGAGACCACCCAGCGCATTGTGCCTCACGGTAATAACATCGTAGAAGAAATTTTCAGGACTATGTTTACGTAAGTTTTTTAATTTTCCTCTTCATTTACCTCTTTTACTTACATATAAATAGTCAAAGCTACACAGTTCAGGACCTTTTTCTCCTCTGTTTGTCAACCGATTTTCTTTTTTTTTGTTTAGTAGTTATTGAAGAGCTTTAATGGCATCAATATATTTTTTTGAAATAGAGTTAATTAATATATGGATAGGTAAATTCTATTCATAGAAATATAAATATTTTGATACATTAACACACACCACCATCTAGTTCCATGGTAAGCTACGAGGCTTGTGTTATAGATACCAAATAGTTGATACACTACACAAAAGTAACTTTAAATACATATTATAAATATAAACACCCATGATTGGAGTGCAAACATTCGTGCTCATTACATAAATGAATGCTCCCAGCGGGACTCGAACCCACGACCGTTGGGTAAGCAAGCAGGGTTACTATAAACTGCGCCAAACGTGTCGTCAATATGTTTAATCATTCATATACGAGTATTATGTATGTTTCCAATAATGATTATGGTCGAATTTCAACGATTAAGTGAACACTATTATCTGAAAATATTGTTTTTAACATCTCGCGATTAAATTCTAAGAAATTAATTGTTAACCGAGCCTCCTGTGGCTCCGCGTGCTTTGAAAGTTTAATTTAGATTGTTTCATCCTAATACGTTATGCCATCATACAAAATTAAACCATCCAAGTACTTTGTGCTTAGAGGGAGATAGATGTACTTTGAGGGTGTTTTCAATATATATATATCATTATTCTAATGGGATAAAAATTCAATATTTCTTTTTCATGCCACTTGTTATTAGACTGTATTGTTTGATTTTATTTTTGTGTAACTAATTTTTACCATAATATTTTCAGTTTACCTATGACGAAAGTACTCCCATCAGAACCATTGGAACACAGCTTATATGACTCTGCTCATCGTCTCGGTGTGCTTTTGAACTCATGTGATAACTTCAAATGCCCTCTATCATTAGTTGACCTTGCTAAAGGATACTACAATGCGCCAGCACCAAAAATCGACACTACTAAAAACCCTTGGGCATTATTCAGTAGTAGTTTTGGCTAGTCTTTAAGATAACTGGTGTGGAGAAGTTACTAACCGAGTGATAAATTATGGCGCAAATAAAGGCTTGAAATTTTTTTAAAGACTTTTTTATGCCTTTCTGGTTGTAATATCATAATTTTTTACATTAAATTTGAAGGAAGTTAATACATTTTTAAATAAGATATTATTTATATATTAATAGAATATGTACAATTATTTTAATTATTAAGAAAAGAATGATCAATTTGATCGTATGTTTTCTTATATTTTTCTTATAAGAACTATATTTTAAGAATATTTTTAATAAACAGATTATATCTCAAAGGTAAATAAATAAGAAAAAATTGAACTGAAAGTGAAATATTATTTATATTAAATAACATTTAACAACAACAATAAAAAGTATCCTATATGTTGACCCGAATAACCAGTTATCATCATACCAAATTTCTTCAAAATTTGTCCACTGGTTTTCTCGTGATGCATTCCCAGATAGACAAACAGACAAAAATTCTAAAAACTATAGATTCGACCTCTATCGATATTTATCAATAATAATGAATTGAAATATTTCAATAAGATTTTCTAAAAAATATTCAATGTACAGATTTGACTCAGAATTTTAATATATTATGTATAGTTTTTCATTGTTTTAAAATAAACAATTATTTTTACTGTTCTAAATCAGCTAATTTTAATTTTAAAAATAATTATGTTGTCTGTCTTGTCTTGTGTCTTTAACAGTTTTTAAAGAAAAGCTTTCAAATAAAACACAACAATTATTATTAACGCATAACATTTAATATTTATAGTTCATATTATAATACATTTCAATATTAGCGTAAGAATGAGTGTATCCATATAGTACGTGTTAGTGCTCAATTATTTAATTTTAACATTACAAAATGGAACTTAATTTAAATCTTATTCTATGTATATATATTATATTCATTCCTTACACGTTATCTTCCTTACGACTACTGTGCAAGTTCCAAGACTCGCTGGTTGAGCTATCGTTCTAACCGTACGGCAGAGTGCATAAACCTTAAAACTAAAGTGGCAACATCCGACTGCATTTACAAATCGGACCAACAGTGTTGCCTAATGCTATATCTATATTAGTGAATATTGAATCGAAGTCTATTATTCCTTATAATTATTAAAATAAATTTAGGAATTCTCGTGTCTATCTATCAACAATAATGTTATACTTATGTGGTGTTCGTTTGTATACGCCATTTTCACCGGTCGCTAGATCTGTGCGAAAATTGTTCAAGTTAATTTTTTTTTAATTTCTCCAGCCATTTTTATATTAAATGTAAATTTCAAATTATACAACACTTTTATTGATAATAATTATTATATATATTTTAATAATGACAAGTTAGAAGTTTGTTAATTGTTATTGTTGTTTTTGAATTAATTAAACGTATACTTTAACAATTTTCGTACATAAATGCCGTTACTCGTGACTAGAAATGTAAAATAAAATTCATAAAAACTAAAAATTCATTACATCTAGTAGTAAAGGACATTAATTATTTTAATATTAACAATTTAAGACGAAATTACCAAACGTACATAGAACCTTATTCTAAACATCTCGCCGTTGCGATATTTAAAATAAATTCTAAAGGATTTACTAAAAATCATATATAGAGTACCTTATAATTGATTCGAAATTTGTTACAACAAATAGAAATATTAAGAAAAATCAGCTGTAGAATAAAATAAATATTAGATATTGTATGCAGATAAAATGTAAGGCACAAAAAAGCGAAGAAATAAACATTAAAATGAGTAGATACTACAAGTGCCAAATTTAGATCGAATTATATATTCGGGTTCGTCCCTAGGTACGTTTTAACGGTTAGTGTCAATATAATCTAATATATAAAATTTCCATGTCACAATGTTAGTTACCGTACTCCTCCGAAACGGTTTTACCGATTTTTACCAAATTTTATATGCGTATTCAGTAGGTCTGAGAATCGGCTACTATCTATTTTCCATACCCGTAAGTGATAAGGGTGGCCCACGTTAGGGACGAACCCGAGCGGAGCGAGGGTGAGTCGCTAGTATACATATAAACCTTTCCCTTGAATTACTCTATCTATTTCTGAAAACTGCATTAATATCGTATTTAGTATCATTAATAGTAGTATCATTAAAATGCGTTGTTTAAAAGATCTAAACGCACAAACAGCGGAAACGACTTTGTTACTATGTATAGATGCAATATTATATGCATATATGTCATTGTGATAGTTGCGTATTCCTTTGAAAGGGACTTTACATGGTTTTATATATTATTCTTTATTTATATTTTTTCTTATCATCTAAGGGTTTATATTATTGCAGCATTTTATTATATGTTATTTTAAAACAGACTGACAGAAAATTATATACATAAAGTATATATTTAAATGAAAATAAAGCCCATGCTTGTAGCATAATTCTAGTATAATTATATAATATTTACTGATGTAATATAATAGATAGGTATGTCACAGTAATTTTTCCAAACTTCAGCTCACAGTACAGCTAAAATTGTTTCCGACAGAGTATCATAAATACGTGGTTATTACCATTCGATTACGTAGATTTGGCCCATGTAGTGAGGTCATAAACAAACTTAACTAATGAAAGTGAAATAACAAATATTTGACGACGAAAATGGTTTAACAAAGCGCTCACATTGAATACATTTATTATTCATATCAATGTTACCAGAAATTATTCAGTAGGTTTTTTTTTTAATTTATTTCTGTATTTACATCTAATCGTGTTGGAAGCTCAACGCAAATTTCATGTGGTTTTTTTCTACATTATTCATATTACTTATATTTAAATTCTTAACTAGTACACATATTAAACTATTAGAGAAAATTGAAAATTTTAATTCAAAGAGAAAGCTAAAAAGAATGATATACATATATAAATTAAATATATTACGCCATGCTACTAGTTGAATTGAGAGAAAATGATAATTTAAAATTTTTGCTTGAGAAAACCACTTCTGTCATAGATCTGATTACAGTTGTAATAATGCCGAATGTATCAATTCATTTAAATAATAAACAAAATGGATTTTCACGTCACTTTTGGAAGACGTTTGATTAAAGATGCAAATACGCCTAACTTATGTACATATTCATAAGTGTAAAGGGTATTATAATGTTATTCTTTATAAAGATAAATGATAAAAAAAATTATAGACGTGCAATAAAATGTGATTCCAAAAGTGTTGTAGAAGAAATTGCTATATAAAATTCTAGATTTCGATGAACCTAATTATAAAGCGTTACGGATTACATTCTGTCAACCATTCAAGAACCAAAGCTTAAAATTACGAGTACAGTGAATGGCATCAAAGAAAACAACAAAAAGTACCTAAATCAAGTGATTCAGAATTATTGCTAAATAATATACAAGTATTATGTACTTATGGGTAAATGAAAAACAAATATATAATACATCTACGACATATATCCGCTACTCATCTAATTAGCACTAAAGGTACTGTGAAAGGAACGTAGAAAAATAACTTGTCAATTTAATATTATTTAAATTTCTATGTTGATCTGCTATATTTACACGTCAACATTTCGGTTACGTTGATTCTTAAAATTACTGACAGCCATGTGATAGCTGACAATGAGGTCTTAGTTCCATCACACGACGTCGACAAATTCGTTGTTGTTAGTTTGAAATTAATTTAAGTAATTTATGTTAAAGTAAACGGCATCATATTATGTATAGGTCATATAAATTTAGGTTTTGAAACAATTATTTTTACTGACAAACTTTGAGATTATTAATCAATCAATTTGCCTAAAATCAAATTGCAAATTGTCTTAGATAGCAAATACCTTCAAAAATAAATGACCAAATTATGACGCCTCCAATTAAATTGAAAATGACAAAATTATTGACTGACTTGTAATTAAAAATAACAATTTTAATTATAATTGACTCTAGACCATTATATAAGGAACTTATACAACAAATTTGTCTGACGTCACGCTTTCGAACCGACTCATTCGTCGACTAACTCTAATAAACATTGAGAAGCTAAAACACCACTTACAATAATAATTATGTTACGGATAATATAAATCTTACATACAATGACTAGCAGTATTATTGTTAAATTTATTATTTACCTATCTACCTCTGACACGAGACAACTACATACTTTCACTTACCCGTTTATCACCCGAAACATCCATAAACATACGTAATCTATAAAAACCACCTTCCAACAACGAAAGTATAGATCAAACTCAACAGGGAAATAAAGTAAGGTAAAACTTACTTAAAGATGCCTTTTAGACGAGAATAACAAGGATACAACCAAAGTAATCACAGAAAACGTTTAATACCCTCAAGCTTAGGAATCTTTACTTATCGGAATCAATTAAAAGATGATTTTAAATATCCAATCGAAAATTCTGGTGTAATCAAAATTTCACTCTCTCTAAAGAATTAGGGATAATAATCGTTGTATCGGCTTAGCTCATCCAGTTTCAACAAATCTAAAGGCTTATGCTAAAATTTACATACACCATTTAAGTTTCGAATTTATGAATTGTTGTGATGTTTCAACAATTTGTTACCATTCAAGCGATGGGTCATGTCTGACTCTCGTACCATACTCTCGACATAGAGTTATTTACAATGTTATTCACGTTTACTTCTAACATTTCCGTCATCTATCATTCAATGTACTTAACCAAGACAACACTCGTCTCTAAATATATTAGCCTATGGTGTTTCTTTAGAAAATCTATCTATTATAATATTATTTGCAGTCATATAAAAATAACAACAGACCGTTTATTTTCTAGCAAATATCTACAATAAAAGTCAGATTACTGAGTAGTGTGGGAAGCCAGTGTTCTTAACTAATCGTTTTATTGATATTATTATTATTATTATTACTAATTTGGTGTGTGTTTCGGTGCGTGCAATAGCACATTCCTACTGAAATTATTTATGTGACTTTTATTTTACCTTAGAAAATTATTTTTTTTAGTATTTATAGTATAATGAACAATTCCATCCAAAAATTCCATCGAATTTAAAATCGGCATGTTAGTGCCAAAGTCACGACTTCAGTTGCAGACCATACCGTTTTAGATGAGAACACTCCATTGCTATATACCATAATATATATGGCACAGCGCAATACTTTCGCACATAAAGATTTCACACCCATAGCTGTCTAAAGAACGAAAGTGACTTTTCTTAAGCCAGAGCTAATAATTTTAATACTTTTCAACCTTTAGCGAGCTTTCAATGGATGCTTACAAGTAAGCACCACCTGTACCTCTCGTACAACTAACTGTTTTTACGTATTTTCTATTCTACTCTAGCCGAATGCATTATTGGCACAAACAGCTATACACAATCAATAACACTTATGAATATAAAGACAAATCACACAAAACAATTTGAATAATTTACTATAACCATCCCTGTTTTCCTAACTGCTCGCTGTTGAATTCATTAAAATATGAAAAGAGTTATCTAGATAATCATTATCTAATTAATCATTATTATGAGTTACTTTGACATATCAATAACGCGGCTCGAAATATTTTTATATTACGACAAAAGGCTACGTTACGCTACGTAATGGGTTGATGTTACACGTAATGTTATATGTTAAGTTAAATGTTTCAAATGATTTGAAAATACAACCTACCTAGCATATGAACGTGAATTAACAAAAGATATCTAATATTGAGTCTAATCTAATACCAAACGAACGTTAGGCTTTCTAAACGTCACTAACTCCCACCAACTTCAACAATGGAACTATTATCTAAGACGAGTGGGTAAGTGCCGAAAAGTGAGTAAAAGATTTTACAATCTGTGTAATCGTGAGAATAAAAATTAGGGGAAGAAAGTGTACTAATTTTACCCTGTACGCTAGGATTAATGAAACACGGCATGTTACTTTGTGAATAACCAATAGCAATAAATCCTCGTAGATGTATTGAAATAACTCTCAGTCGTTGCTTTATAGAGCAAGCATTAGATCTTACAGAATGAACAAGCTTACTGAAAACCATACGAACGATAGTCCTTACAAATTATAATAGCAGTACTTTACTTTTAGTTCGAAACTATGGATGCAGCTGGTAATATTTGGCACTTTTGAAAAATCGTAACTAAAAAACTTATCAAACTATCTAAGAATATCGAATATTATAAAAAATTTTAATCGCAATTGGCAGTCAATTGTCTTTATAAATATATCTAACGAAATAATATATCACCGTCGCAATGTGACATTACAACTATTTGGCTTAATACAAATGAGTATTCATCATTAGTGATGTACCACTTATGTATTAATATCTACAATCTCTTAATCGATTACAACTACCGGGGAATTACGAGTATGAAACCATCAATATTAGTTATCGATATTGTCCTTATGATTTTTACGCGAGTACGTAGTTTATAAAATACTAAATGTATATTTAATACTTAACCCATCAGTATATGCTAAGTACATCATCTACTGTCCAACACTCACGAGGACGTTTTCAAGAAACTGTAGTTACGAGTACTTCTGAATAATTATATACGTTTAGATGAAAATTACTTCTTTACAATCTAATTTAATACGAAATTGAGCTCTTTATTCGAATTAAACCTTATATTATGGTAAATGTCACTATCATTTTCGATATCCCATAAAGCAACATAACCCAATGTGACAGAATACTCCTAACGTAAAGTATATGTTTGTGCGCTCGTATCAAATAACGATTACAAAAGAAATGATCTAATTAAGGAATAAAAATATTATTAATAATATATATGCTTTAAAAAGTATATACTTCAAATACGGCGATTCAAATATAAAAATACTGACAGTAGACGTCAACACAAACGATCATACATGAGGTTTTTCCGTTCTTGTTTCGAATATCGACGGACACAGTCTCGCATATTAGTTTATATATAAAAAGACGGTTTTGGACACGCAAGCGGCGTAACAACGTCCCGCGGCGCATCGAGCGCTTGGCACCACACTGAGCACAAAACACGTTCTCGCCTCACTGTTCCCATCTGGGAGCTTTACATTGATCATCCATGCCACCACATCACGATCAGCTCCCAGAACGTCTTCGGCGGCGAGTGGCCGAAGACGTAAGACGAATTTCAGAGACCCGGGTCACTCTCCGAGCCCATTTTGAGCAACTCCAATTTCTTTTTGGCAATTTTCGAATACAGGATGTCGATAGGCTTCGCGTTGTCGTAAAACGTTGGCGCCCTGAATATTATCAGAGCAGTTCCAAGTAAGCAAACTACTGTGAATGCGAACAAGAAAATTCTGTCCAGAACCATGGCTACGTATTTCCAATCATCCTCGACCTAGAAAAAAGTATACAATAAATACCAAGTAACAGATAGAAATATTTTGAAGTAGAAAGTAATGTAACTTACACTTTCAAATTTATCTTTATTTTTAACATGCTGCGCAATGAATCTCGACCCTTCTATAGTCTTTTCCATCTCTCTAACATATGGTTTTTCAAGAGAAGGACTGCCATCGTCGAGATCCAAACGACATGGGGAACCCGGCGGTGGGGAGAAAAGTTCGTCATCGCCGCCAGGAGGAGGTGGGGGTGAAGGAGGCATACCCGGCAATTCATATTCCTCACAACCCCACTCTTTGAATTTGCCATCCATATCGTCGCCGCTAAAAACATCCGTGAGTACCTACAAAATAGAATAATCATATTAATAGAAATATATAATCTAAAAATTTATATCATCCCTTATTTACAAAAAAAAAGAAGTATCTTAAATATTTCGTGATTAAAATGGCAGCCCGTATTCTATAGATCTGTTGTATCGATGTTGCTTAAGCCGGCGTACAATTAGGTAGGAGTGGAGGATTCGGTTTCGAGCCGCGCCTGCCGGCTCGTATATCGCGATCCGTCCGCAGCCACCAGAGAAACATAAATAACGGGGGCCACGCGCGCTTGTTAAGCCCTCCGGCATTGAGTAATAAAGGAAAATCGAAATGGAATGAAATTGGGCTGGAAGCGATATTTTCGCGATACACACGAAACACAATGATTTTAGAATATTGTTGAAAGGAGTGTTCCCCGAAAGAGTCCCGCGACTAAGGACAATTAAAATGGTTATTGCTGAGGGCTTCCAGTTGACTGTAATAGGGCTGTTTGTATTGAATTCATTCATATAGAAAATGTTTTGAATCCAGGAAACTCATTGAGAAAAGGCGTTGTGTATTTTCTTTTAAACGTATTCTCTTACGATGAACTTGTTGTAAGAGCTTTTATTTTTATAATGAAATTAAAAATCGTTATTTCTCGTTCTAGAGTGTTATCGAGACTGAGGCGAAATATTTTTATAAATAAAGTTTTGTTATGTCATTCTTGAGTGAATTGATTGATTCATTGCATTGATGCAAGAAAACTGTTATTGTGTGTAATATAATTTATTTTCTTACCTCGGTCGGCTTATCATTTTCATCATCGTCAGGCGGTTTTTCCGGCCTTTGTATACATAATATTCGGGGTAAAAAATCTATAAAGAATTTTCGTACCCAAGGAGCCATGTGATGAGTAACTGGAGACCTAAAATTTACATTTAGCACCACAATAGTGACTACAACTGATAATGTGACTAGCATCATAGTAAATAATAAATATTTTCCTAGCAAGGGGACAGTCAGTGACGTTGGCGGAATGATTTCTGCTAATAATAAGAAGAACACGGTCAAAGACAGAAGAATAGAAATGCAAAGCGAAATCTTTTCACCCGAATCTGACGGGAGGTAGAAGACAAGCACTGACAGAAATGAAATTCCAACACAAGGAATGATGAGATTGACCGTGTAAAACAGAGTCTTCCTTCTGAGGGTGAGGTTGAAAATAATATCTGGATAAGGTTCTTCACAGCACGAGTAGAACTTTTCGTTCCGCGTTGCCGGTACCCGCATGATGTCCCACTCGACCGAAATGTAGTACTCCGACAGATCGATGCCCATCCCTATGTGATCAGAGTCCGGCGTTTGCTTCAAATGCCTCAAATCCACCTATAAAAATAATAAGTTTTATAATGTATAAAAGTAAACCAAAATACTATAATGTTTAAATTTCTTAATTTATATTGCCACTAGATGATATTAAAATAGAAAAAAGTATCAACAAATAAAATAAAATAATTCATAACAAACAATGACTGATATAAAAGTATGGTCAATTTGGTTTTTGCTCTTAAATTTAATGTCTAAAAACAACTCAAAATATTTTTAAATAATTATATTCTAACATTTTTTATACAAAAAATTTATAAACATTTGTATAAAAACACAATTTGCGGATGCGGTTATTTATAAGAAAGTCGGAACGACCCAGATTTATTAGCTTCCTCACTTTGATATAGATAGATGCCCGCCTTTCAAAAGCCTATCTCTAAAGTCCATTCCGAAGTTTTTATAATATCCTGCCTTTCATTGCCGAGCATATCTCATCGCTTGTATCGTGAAGTATTATTTATAAGTAGAAATAGATTATCTTTTCAACCACAGTGTATAAGCAATTTCTGATATAAGTTTTTAAAATATCTCTGTAGGGTTTATATTATATAGAATAGAATATCATAATAAGAATAAGAAAATAATGTATAACATTTTTTTATCAATATTATATTTTAATTTCAATAATTTTAATTTTTTCGATATATACTTATACACATATGAATTATAAGTTCAACACTTTGAATTTTATAAATGGAATTATTATTAATCATGTCACAAAGATATTTCCTTACCGTGTAACCATCGTAGCTCCAAGAACCAAATTTCATGAAGCAGGTCTGTTCATCAAAGGGGAAGTACTCGACGTCGATCTCACAAAAGGACTTGTAAATGGCAGGCGGCTTCCACACAACTTTACCGTCGTGATGTAAGATGGCTTTAGTCATAATCGTCACCTCATAGTTGCCATCCGCACTGAAACACAATAAACAGTTATCTTACAAGCCAAATTACTTGGCTCTTCTTCAACAATATATAGCATCATAAATTTAAGCAATATTATATTCTACGAGCTAGTTTTAAAGAGCTTTCGCATATACTCGTATATTTGAGGCTTCTAAAATATCATTTCATTTTGATTGTATTCTGCCCTTTTTAACGTCCCACTGCTGGGTACGGGCCTCCTTTTGCAATACGATTCGAGATACATATGTAATTATAACATTTTTGGGGACTTAACGATTAAAGCCTGAGTTTGATTAGTTATATCAGTAACAGATAATAATTTAAACTCAAATTTAAGCATAAATAATTCAAAACTTTAACTTGATTATTATAAATATTATTTAAACCATACTGATTCATACATTTAACCGAACATTTAATAACTATATTGCCTTCATAATGATTCCACAACACTATTTTATCACATTACGTAAATACTTCAATAAAATTTACGAGATCAGAGCCGTAGTACAACATTAATTTACATCTACTCGTTTGTTAATTTAGTCTAGTAGCCCTTTTGTGCTATCAACAATAAGCACTGTGCGATCTGTTGCGTAATTATCAATTAAAACGCTATCCAAAGCTGGTTATTTGCGGGATGAATGTTATCTTAAATACAAACGTCCGCCAATGGAAATCGATTAAGAGACAGGTTGTAGGTGGATCGTGCTCCGTCCACAACCGCAAATAGCTTGCTGAGCTCGTGAGTACATGGTTCAAAGTGATACATTGGCATTATATATTGTGTTCCCACTAAGTCCCGAGTCGACATTCTCGTAAGAAGACAAATCAGACGTTATAAAACTTGCGAGGTTTGCAGCTTAGCATTACTTTGCGCTTGGAAGAAATGGTGATCGTGTTAGATATTTTTCTTGTTAAAGGAAATATTGGCTTGTAATATTATGTTAAAACTTAAAATTGTATAGAGATTTTCAAAATATTACATTAAAACATTTTAATCAAAGATTCGTTGGATACAATTGTTCCAAATTTCCAGAAGTTGAATACGGTTAATTTGTACCAACAAAACTAAATTATCATTGTCAAAGTGAAATCTTAAAGACAACAAGAGGGCTACAAAGAACGCTCTAAGATGTTAAAATCAGTTTAAGTTAAAATTAAGCTGTCAATTTCGTTACAAGAAAACACTTCATTCAAAGACTTGACTGACTTAAGCAAATTTTGTTGTCGGCGTCTCTAAAAGCGTTGTCACAGCCAAGTTTCGCATCCGTGAAAATTGTCTCATAAAATATGGCTCACGTTGTCTTCCATTATGCTAACGTGGTGCCATTAAAAATAAAGTTTACACCGAATATTCGCGAGAGCTTTTAGGGTAGTCGCAGGTGCATTAAGCAGTAACCTCCACCCGCTTAAATTTAAAAATATGACCTCCATGTCTCGTTATAGTCTATTTGCCTGACGTACAATAATATGCTCTAACTAAAATGTCTGGGTCGTAAATATGATGAATCGTGAAAGGACTGTAATCACTTGAGGTAAATATATTTTGTTAAAATAAACTAGAAATATATTAATTTATTGAACGAAATTGATTTCTAAAAAAATGATTTCTTATTATGTTTTCTTCCTCATACTACACCTTTTTCAATAATGACCAAAATTAATAATACATATATATCTCGTTTTTAGGTACACCAAATAGAAATTTAAATTATACTAATGTTGCTTTGATAAAATAGTACCTGATTGACGGAGCTTTTTTCAGAAGAGACACCTATATAGATAAACTTAAAAAGCAAAACCTTATGTAAATACAAAGTTCGATCCAAATCGGTAAAGCTTTTTCTGAGATACACGCAATAAATTTATAAATATACAAGAATTGGTCATTTAATATTGTAAGATATTTTATATATTATGTTAACAAACCTAATAGTTTAGATCAATATTCTAATCAAGCGTCGAAATGGAAATCACGTCTGATGGGAGTGAATTAAACAGAAATATTTGTATAAGCAAGGCAAGCAAAGTTAATAGGTAGAAGCTACTATATAAATATACAACAAATCACCCTCGCTCCGCTTGGGTTCGCCCCTAGTTACGTTTTACCGTTTAGTATAGATTTCTCAGAGATGAGATATTTTCCCGTAGTAAAAAGTGCCCTATATTATGGCCCGGATAACCAGTTATCATCATACCAAACTTCATTAAAATCTATGCAGTTTTATCTTGATGCTGTCACAGACACACAGATAGACAAAATTCTAAACACTATAGATTCAGCTTCTGTATCGATAATAATGTCTATTTCAATAAGATTTTCCAAAATATATGTAATGTACAGATTCGGCTTAGTTACAATTTTATTATATGTATAGAATATATTGAACGTAAAACTGATCATATTTCAAGCCTTTTCACACATTAAGACTGGAACCTATTAAGAACACGATGTCGGTCTCGTCGATAGTAATAAAGTTTCTTCGAAGCTATACGTATATATATTTTATCCGCGCTCACACGGCAAATGTATTGCCTATTGATATTTCGGAACGATAAGTCACGCACGGTTGGCGGATGACGAATGAAGGCTGCTGTGTAAAGAATATTTTATTTGTTGCATATTATTTATTGAGTAAGACAAGTATCGAGTAATATTGAATTATTTCATTCCTATTTTGTTGTAGCGATTATATATTTTAGGAACATGTTATGAGTGTTATATGGGATTAATTACAAAATTTAGAATACTAGCGATTACACTCGGGTGCGGGTGTTCGGTAAAAACATATAATGATATTGTATATACATCTATACTTATATATATATATAATAATATTATAAATGTCAAATTGTGTTTGTTTGTCCTTCTTTAACGTCGAAACAAAGTAACGGATTGACGTGATTTTTTGTGTGTTGATAGTTGAAGGGCTGGAAAGTGACATAGACTTTTACCTCTTATTCCCACGGGGAAACACGTTATAATACAACCCACAGCAACTCGTGAAACCTATGTATATATATATATATATATATATATATATATATAATATAGTCTATCTATTCCATACTAACTGTTAAAATATACCCAGGGACGTCTATACCTACTAATATTATAAAGCAGTAAAGTTTGTGAGTTTGTCACGTTGTAGGGAGTAATCTCTGGATCTACTGAACCGATTTAGATGAAATTTGATAAAAATATAGCTTGAGACCCTGGGAATCCCTTAAAGGGGTGAAAATTGGGACGAAGTGTGTATTGGGAAGCAAGCTAGGGACGAGCAAAGCGAGGGTGAGTCGCTAGTATATAATAATGTAATAGTAGTACTATACTGTAACTTATTCAGTTTTTTTTACAAATTTTTTATGTATTTTTTATTGGACATTTTTTGTTTTATTAGTTTAATTTTTCATTTATTTCAATTGTTTGTTTAGATTGTTTTTACATAAGAAGAATCTCACTTTACATAATACTAGCAACAAACTCTCACTTCACTCGGGTTCGTCCCTATTTAATATATACTTTATTATTATCCTTATGTGTATTTATAATATACGTATTATGTATATCTACAGTTTTACAATAATGTATACATAGAAGTCTGTCCGATTTATTGACATTTATGATTACTGCTCCACTCCCTTAGATAGTAGCAGGATGATATATATTGTATAACCTATAATAACCTTCCTCACAAGCTATCTAACGCAAAAAGTTTTTTTCCAATTCGGATTAGTAGTTCCTAAGATAGCGCGTTCAACCAACAAACTGCCTCTATATAATACAAGTATAGATATCAATTATTTAAGTAACTTAAAAGAAATTTAATGAAACAAAATCAAAAAGAACTTTTTAAAGCTTCAAATTTATTTTAAAATGAACTTTTTTCTAGCTATCCTAACTTGAGTAGAAGCCTTAAGAGCAATGTCCGGTAAACATTATGCTTAAAGGATCTCCACTTACGCATGATCGGACATATACCTGTACACTTGAACAAACAAGCTTGTTCTAAAGCAAGCAGTTACGAGCTTCTCCGACTATTTGAAATACCATTGTGGATTGCATTAATGTTTGTTCAGTTGTTTGTAAACATGAATATCTGGATAATCGGAAAGATAAATATCGATAATAAGCTTAGCTTACGTATACAGTAGCACTAGATTACTAAGAAATTTAGTAGGTTTTTCATATATCTATTATATTACTACACAGATTTGTTTTTTTTTCTAACATGAATGACTTCAATTGAAATTTAAAAATATAATTTATTAAATTATAGTTGGGATTCCGTTGAGTTGAACGGAAAGAATGGTTGATCTGTTTTAGTATTTTTAATTTATTATTTAATACAATTTAATTCAATATCTTAAATTTAATATTGCATTTTTATAATTCCTATAAGCAGTACAGAAATGTGACCCCAACTGATTGGGAAATGGGCAGGGAGATGATGATGATGATAATGATGATGATTTAATACAATTGTATACAAATCTGTTATTTTGTGTTCTAAGAGGTAGAGTGAAGTGATAAAGTCATAAAAACATTGAAACACTTCGAAGTCAAACTCTCATCGAGTGTCAAGCAACTTATCGTGTGGAAAACTTGATTTGGATCCGATGGCGTCTTGAAACCTGCTTATACGAGAAGACTAATCTCCAGGGAACCCATGAAAAAACAATTGAACTAGAACATCCGTGTTTTTGTGCGATTTATATCAATATATCGCTTGCCGTTGGCATAAATAAATCTTTTTAAGAGATTTGATTGCCATTAACCAAAAAGTAATAATAATCAAAGATAACATAATTATTGTTCTAAAAAAGCTGTAAATAGTTTTGCGAACGTAATATTATTCAAAATTGTTTGTATTTATTGCTTTAATTGTGGCATTGGAATTAGCGTCCGTATTCTCTGATTTTTCTATACGAAAAAGTTATATATACGACACAATATAAAAAAAATAATAGGTAAAATTTTAAGTCAAGTGAATCTAAGAATAAATAAATATATTGATAAATATGTTGGGACATTAACACATAGCACAATCTAGTTCCATGGTAAGCTACGAGGATTTATGTATACCAGAAAGCTAATACACTACATAATGTATATAGCTTTTAAATACATACATATTATAAATGTAAACACTTATGACTGAGTGCAAGCATTCGTGCTCATCACACAAATGGATGCCCCTAGCGGGACTCGAACCGGCGACCGCTGGCAGAGCAAGTAGGGTCACTCCACTACTCACTACAAACTGAGCCAAACGTGTCGTCAGCTAGATCAATTATTTTACTAAAGTTGTGTCAGATAGTTTAATTTATTTTACTTTTATCTACAGTCATCATAGCTTTTAGTGAACGGAGCTAAACCTTATAAGAAAAAAAAACAGGTTTAAATTGAAAGTGGATGAAGATAAACAATTTTTTAGTTTATTGGCTGAGTTAAGTCTACCACTAACTCTTCAATTTTCTTTGCAATTACATTTAAAAGAAGCGTCTGTTCTTTCTCTCGCGATTTAGTTAGTGTTTATCCTAGCGTACCTAATGTTACCTTGATGCTATTTAGATTAAAGCCTGCACTTATCGTGCCTTCCGCCTGGCCAACTTCAGGCAGATTCTCTGCTTTAGCGTTTAACTAGCCACATTTAAAATTCTACCTTATTTCAAAGGACTTAAGCATGTCTATAGTTTGGAAAATACTAGATAGTGTTAATGCATAGAAATGCGGTGAAGAACCAGTGATAATGACGATGCTGATAAAATGTGGGTTTTGATAATATGCGTTTAATATGTTATGAGGAATAGAAAATTTTTAGTAATTATAATAATATAGCATGTTATCTATACAAATAGGTAATTGTAAATAAGCCGAATCTGTACATGAAATATTTTATGGAAAATCTTATTGAATAGACATATATGTCTGTCTGTCTGTTACCGCATCACGGAAAAACCACTGGACGGATTTTGATGAAATTTGGTATGATGATAACTGGTTATCCGGGTCAACATTTAGAATACTTTTTATTGCGGGAAAATATCTCATTTCTGATAAATCTATACTAAACGTTGAAATGTAAGTAGGGACGAACCCGAGCGGAGCGAGTGTGAATCGCTAGTTTATTATATAAATAGCATAAAAAATAATAATATATAATTAAAGGAAAAAGTGCTTTAAACTTTTATAAAAATGTTTACAAGAAAATCTCTTGGAAGTGACACGAGGATAACTCCAAGTTTCGCTCTCTGAAAGGGACTTTGGAGTTTTGTCGTGGTTTCGAACCCCCGATAAAGTTGTCGACTCATCGTGATAATGCAAAATAATGGCAGTCGTCCGAGAAAATAAGGAGATAAGGGGACCGCCAAATAAAATCACGTTTTATAGACAAAGTTTGTGTTCATTGAAAGAAATTGGAATAGTAAAAGTTGATATAGAGGGTCGCAGGTTTCTATAACAAATCTTAAAGTTTCTTTTTTCTTAGTCCTTAATCGCTTTAGGTAATTTAGTTGTATTTATTTATTATTTAAAAATATTATTATTAATTTTGCACAAGAAATGCTGACTAACATTTGAATTTTTAAATTTATTTCTTTCATTAAATATTATATTATTATTAAAAAATCTAATGAACTATGAGGTACATTAGCAAGATATTTCAAATGAATAAAAGAGCATACTTGTTATACAAGACGATATCTGGCAGCCATATATGTTCAGAAGGCACGTGCAGGGTTTCCACGCCGCCATAGTCGTCTGGGTTCCATTTCAGCTTGTAGTCGTTCCATTCCTGTTACAACAAATAGAATTGCACAATGAAACTTTTCTTATAATAATAATATGTTGGGACATTAACACACAACACCATCTTGTACCATAGCAAGTTACGAGGCTTGTGTTATGGATACCAGATAGTTGATACATTACACATATATAATTTTTTAAATATATACATATTATAAATATCTTTAAATATTTATTACACAATAACCTATCTTAGTTATTAGTATCCTAAAAATCTAGTACATTCTAAAAATAATAACATTAATAAGTTTGTTAATAAATTTTATTTAAAATTAGGAATTTAAATAGCTAAGTTCTGAATAACAGACCACTTTTGATCAAAGAACTTATTATGTGAGCGCAGTCGCAGGCAAAAACAAGTGGACTTTCTACGTATATCAATACTTACATATCAAATACCAATATACAATTCAAATACTTAGTAGCTTAAATCATATATTACTATTCAAAACCAAATTTTCATTTATCTTTTCATGTAAGTATATTACATTATCTGTTATTACTTATAGAATAACACAATTTTCCACAAAAAACCATCCAGAAATAGGCACTTGCTAAATTAAAAGTCTTCTTCATATACCGGAAGTTTTGCAAGCGCCATTGAAGCATTTAAACCCAAATGTTCTAAAGCAATTCGTATATTTAAAAAGTATTCTTAAAAGAGTTTTCACTAGAACCCAAATAAATCCGGTCTGTTGGTTTAGAGCCGTTAGCGTCGGAAATTGCGGGCCTTATTAGATTCCGGTAGCAAGCGTCAATTGGGCTAGATGTAGGTGAAAATGGACTTGGCTATTTTTTACTTGTAACTCGTTCGGGTCTTTTGATTCATTAAAACGGTTAACTTTTTAATTTGACGTTATTTATGTGAAAGGCTTTAATGCATACATATCCACGATACGGCATCGTAAATTGGTCGGTAAAAGGAGAAAATTGACCTGCCAATCAGGCCATAAGTGCACCAAATTATCTTTTAAAACATTTTCTGAATAATATTACCTCAGAATATTCTTCTCAACGTTTATTCAGAACCGATCAAAAACAGTATTAGAGTTGCAAACAACGTGATTAGTCTATTATAAGTAAAATGAATTTAAAATGAGGCTCCTTAAAACACAACTGTGTAGCAGCTTCATCATAGAACTTGATTATTATTTTGGCGAGCTTTGTACGTTAAATGAAATTACTGTTGGCAAAATTCAATTTAAATTTGACGACGTGGCCTTAATTCGAAAGCGTCTTTGTAAATAACCGCATATAGGTCGCATAATGCTAGATATCTAATTGTATTACGCACTTGATGTGCGTTTTAGTATTGTAATCCGGGTATTACGCTACGGTTACAATGTTACGTGTTAAGGAACCAGCGGATGGGTTTATAGTATTTAAGCTTCGAATTTTGTGGTTAATACACATTTTGAATTTACTTAAAGTATATATATATATATATATATATATATATATACTAGCGACTCACCCTCGTTTCGCTCGGGTTCGTCCCTAGGTACGTTGTAACGATTAGTACAGAATAGAAAGACTATATACTGTTATATACATATATTAATTTTTCTAACTTAAACTTGACGTATTGTTGTAGATAGTAGGCCCACCACTATTGAAAGTAATCCGAAATAGTGATTCCTATATAAAATAACCAGTTCTGAACTTTTCGATTTTCCAGCTATTCTTATGGGTTTTGCCTTATTTTTTTTATTTGAACCATCCCTGATATACCTCCAACAAAACAAAAAAAGAATTATTCAAATCAGTTCTGCCGTTTTTGAGTTTTAGCGAGACTAACGAACAGCAATAGATTTTTTATATATAGATTTTTTATATTTTCATTATAATAATAATCTCGGTTGCATTAAATGTTGGTATTAATGTCATGCAGATCAGTTATTTTATAAGATACTCATTTTCTTCAGCAACTTCGTCGCATACACTTTTAAAAATTGTCTATGTAACTAAACAATACTTTATAAAATAGCTTTTTAAAAAGAAAAAAAATACATTTGATACATTTGCCCAAATCAACAATTCTCAATTTTAAATTTTCTGATTACGTAACATATTTTAGACATATAATAATGTAATTTACTAAAAACTAACTAAACTAAAAAAATATTACTAAAAACTAACTTTAGAAACAATTTCAAAAATTTTAACTGTACTCTTTGCTATTTTTTATATTTAAGCTCTACGTTCAGAATTTATTTAAAAACATTACGCTATTAAGTAAAATTCTCCACTTTTACATTGTAATTTAAAAAAGAAAAAGTAATACAAACTAAACTAAAATACTTTTTAATAAGCAAAAGGAACAGAAAAAACTTTCTTTCGTGAAGGACGTAGCGGAAAATCCTTTTATAAAGAAGCATTAGCTGGAGTAACGCACAAAGTTGTACCAAAGTGTTGTTACACTGTTTACTGAAACAATTCAGACTATGAGAGACAAAGTAACAAAATCGTCTACGAATAAATGCCGAATATAATCAAGGAGAGCAAACCTGGATTTACCAGTACAAAAAATATAGGCAAGTTAGCTGCCGGCGAGTCGGAAGAATTCGCTAAAGAATGCGTTTCAAACGGAGCAAATCTCATACCTGCTGAATGATTAAAAGATTTCATTGTTGGACTCATTAGATATGCTTTTTAATTTTAAAGTTCCATGAAAAATGTTTTAAGTCTCCCCTCTTTGTGACGATTATCTTTATTCTGGAGTTGGTTATTAAAGTCTAAAGCTCGTGAGTTAAAATATTTCTGCTGAAAAACTACGGTCGAAATTCTAGGTTCGATTTTGCGGAAAATGATAGAACTAGATGTTACAGTAGTTAAAAAAACGTTTAGAAATTAGAAGTTAGGTATAAAAAGTATTTTATGGATTACAATATATCATTGTACTCTTTCATTTGTGGGACGCCATAGCTCGGTCTTTTATATATTACTATTAACTAACCGTCGCTTCGCTAGGGCTCGTCTCTAGTGAAAAACAAGAACAAATCTATCCCACGGGAACCGAACATTTTACCGGGATAAAAAGTGCTTTATGTGCTATTCCAGACTATAATCTAGCTTTGTGCCAAATTTCATCCAGATCTGTTCTTGCGTGATTAAGTAACAAACATCCATCCAAACTTTCGCATTTATAGTATTAATAATGGGACGACTAAAATATATTTAAGAACTTTTAACACTGTAGATTGTTCATACAATCTTTAAATTACTAATGAAAATGTCAGGTTTTAGTAAAAGCTGCTCTCTACTTATAAACAATAACATATAAGTACAAAAAATTTGTATTACAAATTTTACTACGCCTCGTTCAGAACCTTTTAAAAATCTATGGAAGCCATCACCGCTCTCTGGCTCAAAAAGTATCAAAACATAAATTTATAGCTTAGTACAATAAATCCAATTTATTTATAAATACAATTTTACTTTATATTATTTAACATATTGTAACACACTTCAATAACAATATATAAAGAGACAAACGCGTAGTTAATTATCTTTTGAAAGTAGTTTGTACATTTTTATATAGGTAAATTCAATTCATATATTTTTCTCAAATTTTCTTAGTTACCGTACTTTCGAGCACTAATTTTAGTAATTATATTAGGAATTTACTTATATATAACACTAGAGACTCAACCTCGCTTCGCTCGGGTTCGTCCCTAGGTTAATTCCCCATATAAACTTTCATCCCCATTTTCACCCCCTTAAGGGATGATTTCCAGGATAAAAAGTATGTATGTCCTTTCCAGGGTCTCAAACTATCTTCTTAGTAAATTTCATCTAAATCGGTTCAGTAGATCCAGAGATTACCCCCTACAACGTCACAAACTCACAAACTTACAATTCACAAACTCACAAACTTTACCTCTTTATAATATTAGTATAGATTAGACCTATATTATTTTATAAAAAAATCGTTAGGTTGTACGACACACGCCCTTACTTTTACTACAAATATTATTAGCTCGGAAACTAAAGAAAATATATCAAAAGATCGCTGACAACTTAGTTCATATAAAATTCAATATCGACACAACACGAACCTGTTTAGAAGTTCGCCAACGCCGTATCACGTAGAGATGAAGGCTCACGTTTTCTTTAGGATGAATTCATAGATTCCCCATCTTTCTTCTTCATATGATACGAAGGGATCTTCGCCCTTCACATCATAAATCATAGAGGACTTAACTTACATTTAACAGGTTTTTGAGTAACGACGTATACGATATATATCTAATACGTCACATTGGGCGTACTTTTTGGATATTAAATGTATGTATGTGTGTATTCCGTCCTTTTTAACGTCCCACTGCTGGGCACGGGCCTCCCTTCAGTACGAGGGGGATTAGGCCATAGTCCACCACGCTGGCCAAGTGTGGATTGGCGGACTTCACATGTCTTTTAAACTTGCTAGGTTCTCTCAGACATGCAGGTTTCCTCACGATGTTTTCCTTCACCGATAAATCAAGTGGTAATCATGTTGGAAATGATTCGCACATGAAAATATCAGAGGTGCGAGACTCGGGATTTGAACTCGCTTCCCTCGGTTTCCCAAGCGAGCGCGTTACCACTGGGCTACCACTGCCTACTATTATTATATTAAATGTAATATCCTATAATTTATTTTTTATTAAACATAATAACAATTTTATGTTATGTTACGTAAAGTAAGTAATTTTTAAGTTAGTCCTAAGTTATTGCTTCGCTCAATTTGCTATGTAACTATTTGCAGGCGTATCGCTTATTATACTCAGATAAATTTAACTTATGCCACTCTTCGTTCTATTAGCTATATCTAAACACAAATTCATCAATTCAAAAAATCGATAAATTATCGAGTGGAGTGTATATGTGGTAACATGTATGCAATATACATAATCATTATTTTTTTCTCATTTAAAATGCCGTTTGCCATTAGTTTCCAGAATGTAATGGCTTCTAAGGCGATTTCGGTCATGGCTATTTAGTATTTATGTCTTGTTTTTATGAGTAATATATAATATGACTCATATACCCTATTTTAGTAATAAATGTTCTTATATTTATACATATAAATGCTACTTGTAAATTATCACATGTCATATTAATTTGGTTCTTATTCAGTTGATTTGAGCCACAACACGAAGTAAATTTCATTAAATTTTTTCAAAAGCATTTATAAAACCTATTTAAGTTTTAACTAAAATTTAAAAGTTTTCCTATTACTTATTCTTACAAACTTACATAAAAATATATTGTATATGAAAAAAATATAAAACAATTGTAGTGTTGTTAATATTTATCGCTTTTATTTTTTACATTTTATCAACTTGACACACCCTTCTAAGCTTCGGCCATGTTATCACATCCCTATCTCCTATCGTAGGACAAGTTTCCAAGCAGAATCTAAGTTGTTGTCATGATGATAAAATTGTTATGATCGTCGAACCCAAGTTTATGATTTATTTATTCAGCCTTCTTTAGTTCGCGACGCTGCAGAATATATCTTTTTGGTAATAAAATGGTAATCCAATACATAAGGCAACTGAAAAGGTAAAAACAAACCAAACTTTTCATCCTTGAGAGGGAAAACACGAGGAAAATTATACGCGACTTGAACTCGATCCAAATATTACTTATATCCTATATATACCTACTTGTAATGTAAATGCTGAGCTAATAAAATCAATTAAGCAGTATGCATTTAATATATACATAGTCTTTATCTTTATAATAATTATAATAAGATGTTTATAATGTTACTAGCGACTTAGGGCTCGTCCTTAAGAACGTTTTGACGGTTGTTATTAGATAAAAAAACTATATATTATATGATATATAGCCTATAGCCTTCCTCAATAAACGGGCTATGTAATACAAAATCAATTTTTCAAATCGGATCAGTAGTTCCTGAGATTAACGCGTTCAAACAAAGAAACGAACGAACGAACAAACAAACTCTGCCTCTTTATAATATTATTATAGATAACATTTTTAGGATAGAAGATAATGTATACTCCACGAATACTGCCTTATATTACATAACAGTACATATATAAAGACAAGCTAATAATTGATATCGAAACTGCATATATTAATACCAATTAAAAATATAAAACTACTGTACATGCTGTACATGTTAATAGTTTTAAATTAAAGAGTTCCGTCTTATCTTATACAGCTTAGTACACATCAACTTATGCACCTAATTTAGTAAAATTTAACATTCTGATACCTTATATTGCCGGTCAAATGTCTATTAATAAATAGGCAAAGACAAAACAGTTCATAACCTTTCTCTCCTCTGTTTGCCAACCGATTTTCTTTTTTGTTTGTTTGCTTAATGTTTATTATCTAGATGAGCTTTATTATCAATAAAAACAGTGAAAACAGACAGTTTTTTATATATATCTTGATGGCAAGCACTAGATAAATTAAATATAATATTATTATCTATACATGTGATAAAATTCTGAGTCGAATCTGGACATTTTTTTTTAGAATATCGTATTGAAATAGCCATTACAATCGATACAGAGGCCGAACCGGAAACAGTGTTATGTAAATAAAAAATCTAAAATTCTGAAAGAACCTCACTAGTTTTGGAAAGACATGTACGTCCGGTACATGCGGGTTACATTTGGCAAGACTACATACATAATTTTAGTAGACTATGGTTTTGTTCTCGCATTGAGGCACGTAGTACTGCAGGCACGTTTATAGAACTGTATTATATATACGTACTAGCGACTCACCCTCGCTCCCCTTGGGTTCGTCCCTAGTTACGTTTTAAGTTTTAGTATAGATTTCTCAGAGATATTTTAAGAAAAAGTATTCTATATGTTGACCTGGATAACCAGCTATCATCATACCAAATTTCATCAAAATCTGTCCAGTGTTTTCTCCTGATACGGTCACAGACAGACAGACAGACAAAAAATCTAAAAACTATAGTTTCGGCCTCTGCGGCAATAATAATAACTATTTCAATAAGATTTTCCAAAAAAAAATGTACAGATTCGACTCAGAATTTTATTATATGTATAGATTTTAAACTATCAATAATGATTTGTGTCGAATTTCCACCACTCGACGAACCTTAGTCTACATAAACTAACACTAGAGAATACGTAAAAATTGACAGTTGCGGTAAGGGAAGCTTTAACAGATTTCTTTTCTGTACAGAACAAAGGCAAAAAACGGACGCATACTCGTATAGACTATTAGTCACGTTACGAGTTGACAACTGCTGAGAAATAAGGGACGTCTTCTTTCTACATCGATTCCCGAATGGCCACTATCATTTGTTAACAGCGTGATGGAGTGATTCGTATTCACGCTGTGTTTTCGGATATTTTGACGTGATAATACTTCTGTCAGCTGAGAAGGGTTTAAACAGTAATATATTCAGATGGGTTGAAAATAAATGACTTAAATTTGGTACTGTTTCATTTTTTTTGAAAAAAAAAGAGATATTTTAGCCATGGGTTGTATTATATTTTTCATAAGAATTATATTTCTCTTGAATGTGATGTGTGTGGTGGTGATAATAATAATAATAATAAATATGTTGGGACATTACCACACAGCACCATCTAGTTCCATGGTAAGCTACGAGGCTTGTGTTATGGATATCAGACAGTTGATATACTACACATATATAAACTTTAAATACATTCAAGTTATAAATATAAACACCCATGACTGGAGTACAAACGTTCGTGCACATCACACAATGAATGCCCCCGGCGGGACTCGAACCCGCGATCGCTGGCACAGCAAGTAGGGTCACTACACACTGAGCCAAACGTGTCGTCGTAGTGTAGCTAATAGGTGGAAATGAAGAAGAAAACGTGTAGTGCCGTTACCACATGAATTGGAATAATGACAAGGAGAAGAAGAAGAAGATCACATAATATATGTAAAAATTATATGTAGTAAATCATGCATTCAACTGCCACATTTGATTTATATATATATATAATAAAATTGTAACTAAGCCGAATCTGTACATTAAATATTTTTTGGAAAATCAACATCAACATTATTAACGATACAGACGCCGCATCACAGAAAAACCACTGGAGGGATTTTGATGAAATTTGGTATAGTGATAGCTGGTTATTCAGGTCAACGTATAGGATACTTTTTTACCGCGGGAAAATATTTCATTTCTGAGAAAAAATACAAAAACTGCGATGTAAGAGTATACTAATATGTAAAACCTAAGAATTTGGTTTTTGATCATCTGAACACGGGCGGAGCCACGGGCAATGCTAGTTATAAATAAAATACGAAATTATTAAAACTATATAATATATTAATCAAAATAATCTCTCACCTGTTCCACCCACACGTTCGTTGTCATGATTTGATTCTTAAGATTCTGGAAAGAAGAGAAGTCATGGTTAAATATTATATTTAATTATTTATATAGTTAAAATAAGTACCTATATGTATATTGTTTGTTAATTATTGATATCCACAAACTCCTTGTTAATTAAACAGAGAAAAATAGAAATTGTCCTTGGCATAACTAGATTGCTAACATCTCTTAGGTTATATTTGTATTGAAATACTGCAGTGCAAAACTGTTTTGGGTTGGAATTATAGTTATTTTGCGATAAGGTGGCGCTAACTGTTTGTAATAATATAATATCTATATATAAAAGAAACCTACGGACATACCCGAGCGAAGCGAGACTAATTCTCTAGCCTATATAGATAATAAAACATTGAGTGGAATCTGTGCATTATTTTTTTGGAAATTTTATTGAAATAGTCATTATTATCGATACAGAGGCCAAATCTATAGTTTTTAGATTTTTTGTCTGTTTGTCTGTATGTTTGTGACCGCATCACAAGAAAACCACTTGACAGATTTTGATGAAATTTGGTATAATCATAGCTAGTTATCTGGGTCAACCTGTAGGATACTTTTTATGTAGTGCGGGAAAATATCTCATCTCTGAGAAATCTATACTGAACTTTAAAAGGTGACGAACCCAAGCGGAACGAGGGTGAGTCGCTAGTGTTTGATAAAAGCTTAAAAATTATATTAAGCTTAAGAAACCGCATTAAGAATCCAATTCTTTTAAAAATGAGAAAGTTAATACAATAAAAGAGGTTTTTGAACCATTTTCCCTACAATACCAATTTAATAAAAATCAGATCGTAGCGCTGAGGGTGGAATGCAATTTTATCTGATCTGAAGTGTGAAGACTTTGGTGAAATTAAAGTTAGAGGAATCCGAAAGTTTCTAAGAAACTCGCAGAGTGTACTTTTGGTACATTGAGTAATGTTCGAGATACGAGTTTGTTTTGTTCAATTGCTTAAAAGTTTATTTTCGAATGGAACATCTGCAATTATAAAGTTTATTTAATAATATGTATAGTTGAAAAATACTTAAAAATTACTCTCAATCTGTACAGTAAACGTTGATACAGATAAATAAAATTGTAAAGTGTTTGTAATGTTAAAATTACAAATTTTTTACTAAATGCATATGAAAATATATATGTAGGTACGGCACATATAAGAAAAAAAAATTAAAATGTTTGTCTGTCTGCGTCTCTGATTGTTCCCGCTAATTTTCAAAACGGCTGGACCGATTGTGACGGGATTTTTACTGGCAAATAGCTGATATTATAAGGAATAGCTTGGGCTATTTTTACTTAAGAAAAATAATTAAGGTTCCTCGTAAAAAATTAAAACCCATGAAATTGTGAAGAAAATCCGCGTACTAGGTGTTGTATTAGTATATTTTATAATTTTATAAGACATATACAAACTTTATGATGTTACTGTAAATTATATGAAATATAAAATGATGGCATTAGAAGTAAAGATCAATTCTCAAGCTATCATATAGTTTTATTTTAATTAATATAACATTAATTTAATATAACACTAGGGACTCACCCGACCGAAGCGTATCGATAGTAAATGATAATTGTCATTTTTTTTAAATATAATATATAATAAGTTTATAGGTAACTGAAACAGCTAGGTACCTAATTTCCAATGGTTTTTTTATTTTGTATAGTACTTGAAGTAAAAAAAAATTATCTTAGATTAGTTAACAAACAAAAAGGGTCCTTAGGTACAAACGGTTAAAGAGAGTTTTAAGTTGGCATATGTATAGTTTGGTGACTCCATTAATATTTTGGGTTTGCGGCCCTTCCTATAATTACATAGTAACTCATGAACTATTCATCGATGGGACAAGATGTCTGACAAAAAATGCAGAAAATCTTATGCTCTACAATTTCTATCTAGCTGAAGAGGAGATATTTTCAACACGTAATTTTCGAAACATTTTTCCAAATTCCAATATAGCACGTTCTCTCAAACTTGGAAAACTTAGGATCGAATTGCTTAATTTAGAACCTAGCTATTATTTGAACTATTAGTACTAAGAATAGAAGTCTAAAAGTGTAGTGACCCTACTTGCTGTTCCAGTGGTCGCGGGTTCGTGTTCCGCTGGGGGCATTCATTTGTGTGATGAGCATTTATATTGTGTATGTATTTAAAGTTATATATGTATGTGTAGTTTATCAACTATCTGATATCCATAACACAAGCCTAGTACCATACAATGTAACTAGAGGGTGTTGTGTGTTAGTGTTCCAACATATTTATTTATTTACTACAAAGAATAAAAAATACTAATGTAAGTGTAATTCTCTGAGCAATTTCTCCATAGTGATAGTATATAGACCAGAGAGTAATATAGGTTAACTTTAAGTAGGTAGGTAAAATGTTTGAATAATTTTTATAACAACCTCAATTTTGATGAAAGATGCACGTTCATTAATTAATATTAAAGAAAATATTTTAAGTCAAAAATTCAATATTAAAATAAACAATGATTCACTCATTATATCTATACATATAATAAAATTGTAACTAAGCCGAATCTGTACATTAAATATTTTTTGGAAAATCTTATTGAAATAGAAATTATTATCGATACAGAGGCCGAATCTAGTTTTTAGAATTTTTGTCTGTCTGTCTGTCTGTTACCGCATCACGGAAAAACCACTAAAGGAATTTTGATCAAATTTGGTATGAAGGTAGCTGGTTATCCGGGTCAACATATAAGATACTTTTTACCGCGAGAAAATATCTCATTTCTCAGAAAAATACAAAAACTGCAATGTAAGAGTATACTAATATGTAAAACCTAAGGATTTGGTTTTTGGTCATCTGAACGCGGGTGGAGCCGCGGGCATGGGTAATGCTACTTATAAGTAAAATTAAATATTCTCTTTGATTACTTCCCTGTAGTTATTTCCACAATACTGTACATCACTTAACCCATCCTGTAGCCAATTATAAAGTTTAATGAGTCCACACTCTTAGCATCGGCAGTGTAAACTAATTAAATGAAATGATAAAACATTCACGTTTTTATATAATACTAGCAGAACCCGCGGCTTCAATTGCACTCAAACTACAAAAAGAACTCTAAAATGTAGGTTTTATACAAACTTCCATCCTCTTTTTTATCCCCTTCTGGGATGAATTTCCAAAAAATGCTAACACACGTATTTATTTAATTGTATTGAAGTATATTAATACCGAGTTTCCAGTAATTCTGATCATATTTTTTTGGATTGTATTATATCGTATTTTCCCGTGGGACTAATGTGAAATAATCTCCCGCGATAAAAAATAGCCTATGTCACTCTTCAGCCCTCTAACTATCTCCACACAAAAATCACGCCAATCTGTCTGTTTCGACGTGAAAGAAGGACAAACAAACAAACAAACAAACAAACAAACAAACACACTTTCACATTTATAATATTAGTATGGATTCATTTAAGTTAAAAAAATCATTATGTGTGTACGTACACACACGCTTATTATACAATATACATATTATGTACATTCGCTTAATTGTATTGAACCGCTCCTTGTATTGAATATGTTTTGATTTTTTAATTTGTTTTCTTTCATTAGTCAGATTATACTTTAGATTTCTATTATAATAAATCGACAAATAGTAATAATGTATAATATTTCTTAATTACTATTCTTTAAGTAGGCAAGGGCTTTCGTAATACAGATCTAGCAAGTACTTAAGCACTCCTCCCGAGTTATTCTAATAGATGTAAGCTTAACGTTCTGTGAACAGCTTTTGTTGTTATTTACTTTTTTATATTGACTAAGCGCCTTTACTTTTTGTATTGAATAGCTTTTTCGTAACATAACATCATTTTTTTATTTAATTTATTCGAATATATAAAAATCTTGTGTCACGGTGTTTGTGGTCGCTCTCCTACGAAATGGCTCGAACGATTTTAATGTTTTGTATTTGTATAGTTGGTAGGTATAAGAATAGGTTGTAAAACGAAACAAACGAAACCAATTTACCAAAAGAGTTTTTAACACAGAGCTATTGAGTTTTAAATGTTAATCTATGTAAATAGAAATGAATCACCGAAATGTATGTAAGCGCATAACTTCCGATCGACTGCATCAAATTGGATTTTTTTTGTGTTTGTTATTGTCAGGACAAGTTGTATAGAAGAAAATTAAAAGAAAAAAAAAAATTATTAATCATAAAATGAAAAGTGAGTAAGTGAAATAGTTTTGATCCCGGAAATCATCCCTTAAGGGGGTGAGAATGGGGATGAAAGTTTGAATGGGGAAGCGAACCCGAGCGAAGCGAGGGTGAATCGCTAGTTCTATTGATATAAAATACACATTTATCTGTAAAGAAGCTGAAGAAACGTATTTTATCTATATTACGTATACCTATTAAATATAAGAAAAAAACTCTACTCTAAAGTACAACATGTATTGGGAGTTTGAACAAATAAGCACTAAGGCGGACTTAGTGTTAGGTCAAGCTTGCCTAACTTACCTAGGGACGTAGTGGGTTGGTAAAGGGAGGGTACCTATGTCACTAATCGTATCATAATCAACAAAAGCATGTTAATATTATTATATAAAGAAAAACACGTACTATCGTGCAAGATATAACACTATGTACTAATCGATTTTTTAAATCTGCATGGCGGCCTTTTTGAATTTCACTATCTTATTTTTTTTCATTATGGCAGTAATGAAAATAAAAATCTTTGTGAAAATTTCAACTCTATCTCTATGTATAATAGTATGGTTCATGAGATATAGCCCGCTGGCAGACAGACGGACGGACGGACAGCGGAGGCATAGTAATAGGGTCCCGTTGGCACTCTCCGGACTCGGAACCCTAAAAACGTAATAGCCTATTAACCTTACAATATTAGAGAGGGGCCATCAAGCGGAGTGACCGAAGTTACACCGTTGGAGCATGACGGGCACCCAGTATCTACTCTGATGAGTAATTAAACTTTGTAATTGGATCAGGGCAGT